ATGTTGCGGCTTCCAAGGTGGTTTGATTTTTGTTGAAAGGACAAAATGGCTCTTCTTAACATTTGAGTTGTGACCCCTGGGTTAGATATATCAGCTCCATTAAATTTTAGTGTGTCATTTTTAATTTCTAACATTTATTCAGAGTAAGGAAAAAAAATCCTTAGAATCTGAAACACAGTTAGACCTGGCTATGTCATATAATTATATTGTAGGGAAATAACATATTTGAATTATAGCACATTGTAGGCTGTAGTGCCATTACATTAAGAAAGCAGTTTTTATATGGTCCATATTGTGCAGTGCCAGTTGGTAAATGTGTTAGCCATGTGGCTAATTTTTGGGTGCTTTCTAGATTGCCATACAGCTTTCTTATGAAAAGTGATTTAGCCGAACATGAGCGCATCACTACAAAGAAACCCGACTAAGAGGAGTAAATCTTAATGTTTGTGTTTCATTTAAAATTAACTCTAATTTTACATGCATGCTATCTGAAACTCTACAAGGTTGCTGAAATGGTCCTTTTTGGTTGATCCCTTGTTTTGTGCTACCCTCCATGCTTCATTGTGCTTGTTACTAGTGATGTACATTCACCAGTCACCTTATTAGAAACACCTTGCTGGAGTACAGTTAGACTACAGCTCACTTGCTGTGCAGTTTGTTAGCCACGCTCAGTGATTGGGTCAGTGGTCTGGATGTTTTGGGTGGTGTACTAAAAAATGTCAGTATTTGTGTTAGGCTAGCCATGGTCCATCTTCCAATGCACAATTAATATTAGCCATTCTATAATCCTTCATCAATGATTCAGTTCTGACTTGTCTGGATGTTTTTGGGTGGTGGTCAACCGAGCAGTGACACTGACATGGCATGAAATAGGGGTGTGTGTGTGTATGTGTTTGAACAAGTGTATCAGCTGCATTATTTGAGTTTTAAGATGCATCGGTGTCGCTGCTAGGTTGAGAGCAGTCCACAATGAAAAATATGAAGCCAAGAGCAGCTCTGTGGTCAGAAACTGACCACTGATGTGCTACAGCAGGAGTTTCTGAAGTCAGTTCTGACCCAACACTTATGCAATTACCTGATCTGGCACAACTGATTCAACATTCCAGCAATGCTGCTACTCCTAACACTCATTGCAGCACCAAACACACTGCACTGCCACTATAATTTGAGTGTCACTACTGTGCTGAGAATATTGGGTGGGCAGTGGTGCTATGGTGGTCCCTTTCCATTTGTGAAGAAGGAAATGGGTGTTTGATAAGTTTTGCAACACATGAGCTACAGTTAATAAATGTAAACCTTCAAGGTGTATCGATATGTTACATGTAGCTGATAAAATGGCCAGTTAGTGTAGTTTCAGTATAAACTAGTACAAGTGACATTATGACTGAGATTTAAATGCTGTAAATAGTGTTTGTTTATATGGTCACATTTGAGACTCACTTTCAGAGATTCAGAAATAACTGGTTCTAAAGAAACATGCTTTTATTTTTTGCTTGCTCTTTGATTAAAACAGTTCTGGTTTCTTCTTTGTTTGAAGCCCAGGCTGCAGTCCAAAACAATCAGAAGGGTCAGCAAAACAAAGTCACGATTGACCTAACAAAAGATGATGTGGATAGGGGTGCAGGTAGATTATCTAATCTCCTCAGAAATATCTCCATTTTAGGTGCACATGAGAAAGAATTTTGCAAGGAATCTAAGTAGTTTGGGTAGTTTGGTTAATTTTAGTGTTTCTTTGAAGGGCTATGTGGATGGGCTTCCAGTATATGTAATAAAACCTCTTCGATTTTTTAGCAGTGAGCTCTCACAGCTGTGCAGGGATTTTCAGCAGCAAGCAGCAACTGGATAAAGACTCTTAAGTATCTGGACTTTTGTACCTGAAGAATTCAGCTACAAGAATCACAAGGAGGATTCGGCTACACGAACAGCAAGGATTATTAAAAAGGCACTTTATAAATAACTTTGAGAGAAAATGTCTCAAGTATAATTGTACTGTTGAAATCTGGTCACTCGTAAAATGTTATTGGTGCTTTGTTAATGGGCATGTGAAAGTATCTATCTTGCACTAAATCTTTTGTATTAATACTTTTATTAACGTCACTCAGTTCTGGCAAATTAAAGTGTATTGCTTTAAGTGAGTTGCATTAGTAATTTAATTCATTTTAGTTTCAGATTAACTTAAGATTTTAGGCAAAAAAGAAGAATTACTGTAATAAAACAGTATTTTCTATTAGTTATTTACACAGGTGCTGCCAGGGCCTTGGGTGCCAGCGGGGCAGCGATGACATCCACGCGGACCTGCTGTGACGTCCTCGGGGCAGATGGACCTGCAGTACACTGAAACATACTGGGTGGCACTGTAGGATAGAGCACTGACTCACTGGTGCTCTCTAGAGCACTGGCTGAAGCCGTGAATCTAGGGATCAAGCACTGGCTGGTGCTGTGGATCCAGGGATCAAGCACTGATGTCATCAGGGGTGCCTGAGAATGAGAGGCCTGCAGAACAGCAGACCAGGAAAATCATCCTTAAAATAATTAAAATAATCTAGTATGATGTCGGCGGCACGGTGGCGCAGTAGGTAGCGCTGTCGCCTCACAGCAAGAATGGCCTGGGTTCAATTCCCAGCCGGGCGACCAGGGTCATTTCTGTGTGGAGTTTGCATGTTCTCCCCGTGTCTGCGGGGTTTCCTCCGGGTACTCCGGTTTCCCACAGTCCAAAAACATGCAGTCAGGCCAATTGGACATGCTAAACTGCCTCTAGGTGTGAGTGAGTGTGTGAATGTGTATGTCTGTCTGTCTGCCCTGCGATGGACTGGCGACCTGTTGAAAACAGCAAGGAATAAACAAATAAAGGAAAAGCTAAATTAGAAAAATAACATGTAAAAAACTGTAACCATGAAACAGAAAAGAGCTAAAACATTGGGGCATAAATACACTAAACTGGAACCAGAGAACACGACATACAACAAGCAAGGAACAGCTCAAACACAAGGTGTATAAATACAGGAGTACTAACAAGAAACACTTGGGACTAATGAAAGGGTGGGCTACAAACAACACATTGGTAAGACAAATTGGTAGACACACGAAGGAAGGTAAACAGATGTAGACAGACAGAAACAGAGCTAGGATGTTACACCTTCCTAATATAGCATCGAAAGGGTGTGAAAAAAGACTTTGAACTGAGATGCTTTAAGTTATAACACGATGCTAGTTTTGAAAGAAGAAACTGATGTACACAGGGATGTTTTTTGATGGTATTAGCAATTGTTTAGGGCCCCTGACTGACTGAGCCACCAGGGGGCCCCTTGAGTATGTGACAAATAAGGCAACATAAAAACACACTGTTGTATTAATGTATTTTAATTATTTTTACAATATATTCACAAATGTCTAAATAATAGGTGGTCATCATATGTAATATACATACAATGATACTTAATATTCAGTGTATATATATATATATATATATATATATACACACTGAACATTAAGTACAAATTATTCATTTTTCTGCATCTGAAAAAAAGCCAAAAACATGTTTTCAACAGATTACACAGCAGGCAGATTCAACAACTAAATATAATATCAAATGTATTTTTTGTTACAGCTTCCATTCTTTTCAGGAGACTCAGTTGCAGTTTTTCAGTGGAATCTGTAGAGATATTTTTTGCACATCCAAAGTTCAGTTTTAGAAGTTAGTTGCATTGTCTCTCAGCCAGTGTAATTCCAAACACATTCAGTGACGTTGAGATCTAAACTCTGAGGTGGGCAGTTCACTGTTCTAAGATAACCAGCAGCTTCTTTCTTTGATAAATACATCTTGATTTTCTCAGATTGGGATCATCATTATTGCTGTAGAACAAATTTCTTCCCAATCAAATGTCTTCCTGGAGGTTCTGCATGATGCATTAAAATTTGTTTGTATTCATCAGCAATCCTGAGGCCTTCAGTTAAGAAACAAAATCACCAACTCCAGATGTTGTTATACACCCCCAGACCTGTACTGATCCTGTAGCATGCTTGACTGATGGTTTGTAGACGTGATTCAAAGAATCTTTTATTGCTTTGGTGGAGTTAAACTGCTTTCTGTTACTTCCAAAGATCTCAAATTTAGACTCAGCAAATCCATAAAACCTTGCTCTACATCTCACATGTCTGGTTTTGGTATTCTAGCGTGACTTTTCATCTTTTTTGTCCATTTCCTATTTTCTCAGTAACATTTTAAGAATTTGTTTTAACTCAAGGAGTTACGCAAGGAATCTAAGTAGTTTGGGTCATTTGGTCAATGTTAGTGTCTCTTTGAAGGGCACCCCTTGGAAAGATGGCAGAGTGAAAGTGGCAGCAGAGTGAACAACAGTAAAGAGTGGACATAAGAAATACTGACAGATTTAATATGACATTTAGTGTTTGAGGTTCTGTTAAATATATTCCTCCTTTTCCTGACACTAAAAAAGGAATAACTTACAGCTAATGGCTGTTTTGACTGGAAATGTAATAAATGAAAGAACACTTTTTGACTTCTGCACAGCTCTGTATTTAATGTCTTTTTAGCATTTAAAAGGAGGTATGGAAAAATGTGTGGTTCAAGAATTGGTAGTCAAAGTATTATTATAGGTATAGGTCTCTGTTTTGAAAAATTTCAAACAATACTCAGTCCAACATATGGGACACCTTACTGAAGGGCAGCGTTCATAAGGTTTACAACCCCTATATTCAACTTTATGACAACTGACATAAACCTATATAGACATTTACAAAGGTTTATTTTAATAAATGCCAGTTGTCATAACTTGGTGTAATTAAATTACAACAAAATTGACAAAAGCAGCCTTTAAGATAACTACTGCTTGTTGAAAGAAGCCTTTATAAATGTTTATGTAGGTTTATGCCAGTTGTTATGTAGGTCTCATGTAGCCTTATGAATGCTGACCTTTAGTAAATACCTTATAAGAGACTTGCAATTGCAACAAGATGACCAAGTAATCTACAAAAGAAACCACTTCTGATTGGAAAATAGATTTATTTTTGAAAATACTGTACTGTCAAATGAAATATGACATACAAAGCAGCCATGTACAGTAAATTTAAGGTAGTTACTTTGGCGGTTCATTCGTTTTTTTCTGCTGCCTAAAATGTCGATTCCTGCATCTAAATGTGTTTGGACAGATTCACCTTTCATTGGGCTTAAAAATCCAGTGTCCATAGCGCAGATCACCACATGCTTTTGGTGATAGGAGAATGGAGCTCCACTGATGAAAAGCAATGTACACAATAAATAGACATACACTTATTGTATATTCATAAGAGAGATGAGAAGCGTTGGTGAGCTATTTACAGAGTCCCTTTGTAGCATCTGTCATTTACAGCACCATTAAAAAATGAAACTTGCATTGGTTAACATCAGGCTCCTGAGACTCCTCCCCTTTTCCGCTGACAAATGAAAACCTCTGTATCAAAAAACGGCCTGAGAGGGGACTTGAGACGCCAGTAGTCGGCTGGAGGATTTTTTTTGTTAGCCTTCTAAGAAGCGGTCGGGTGTCTACTCTGCTTTCTTGGTCTTCCTCTTGCGAGTGCCTTCACTCAGTTCCTCCTTGGTTTTGGCTGGTGAGGCAGGGGCAGCGGTAGCTGCTGGAGCAGCATGATGATGGTCATGGGCTTCTTCACCACCGAGAGGAGAGCCGAACAGAAGATGGCACAGCCAGGACTCAATCAGAGCGAAAGGAGAGCCGTGAGAGTGGCGAGCGGTCATAACCACCTACAAAAGAAGTAAAGAGGGTCCAATGGAATAAGTGTAATTGGTTTACCACCATTGTCATAAGAAAAACATGTCTTTCTGAAAAGGTAACTTTACAGCAGAAAGAAAAGCATGCTTAAAATCTGTTAATAGACAGTTATTTGCAAATGTTTGGGCGCCCCCAATTGTATGTGTTGTTGATTTTCTAAGTGAAAATTAGTTGACATATCCTCTACAGAGAACATATTTCTGTACATTTTAATGCACAATTACTGTTTGTAATTTGTATTTAACATATTGGGGGGAAAAATCAAACAAAATGTGGCTTATGCTAAAGTTATGGCACATTACATTTTATGCTTTTTTTCCAGTATGTTAAACTCACCAAATGAACACGAATTGTGCACTAATATTTGAAATGGCATATTTAAATTTGTCATTTCACATACTTTTTGTAATTGAAAATTTTCACTTACAAAAAAATTGTACTTTGGCTGGGGATGCAATTTTGCATACAAGTGTAGAAAAAACTAAAATGTTTCTGTAGGGTCTCTTGGTACTAAATGTTCACATAGCATAAAGGGCAGCTTGTATAAAATAAAAGACAAAACAAAATGGAGTGAGAAGTCTGGGTGGACAATATGGCAGAAATAAAATGATTGCGAAAGATACGTTCACAATACATAAGCATACCGACATCTCGCTTTTTGGAGATTTTGCAAGCAATTTGGGACAAAATGCACCAGCAAACCACTAAATTTTTTATACTTCCCTTAATGTCGACTTAGGACATTTATGTGTTTTTATGTTTCAAAATAATAATAATTAAAGGCTATCAGGACTCGACGGAAAAGAGAGCAGGCAATACCTTGAAAGTAGCCATGAACAGAGTGAAGATGCAGATGAGGGTGCTCTTGGACACAGGAAGCCAATGTGCCTCCTGGAGTGTAAACAGAATGGCTCCATACAGACTGGCTTTGGTAGGGCTGGAAACACACAATGAGATTGTTAGGGTTACTGATCTTAAGAAAATGTGATATTTCAGTTCTCTAAGTATGGAGAAATGTATCAATATTGCAGTCCATGGTAATCATCTGTATGCCAGATATACTGTGGATAGAGAATATATCGAAAAATGCTGGAATATTCCTTCAAGGATGAGAATCAGACAAGTCATCAAACAATAGCCTCTTTCTGCAGGCCCCCTTGGATATTTTGAATTAATAGAACCAAATAAAACATTTCTTCGCTGTAACTCTGTTATCAGATTAACAAGGACATTGTCGGCTCTCTGTGTGTAATATGTTGTGACTCTGTGTTGAGGTGCTAGTAAAGCAATGAGGGCTGAAACCCCCTGCTGTGAAAACCACTCACATCTCTCCACAAAGATAAAACACACAGAACAACTGCAGCTTTCTTGACAACAAAATATCATGTACTGCCACAATAAAAAAAATAGCATTTACACAATAAAACCACTTTTTGAAAATCTTACACATTACCATCATACAAATTTATTCCATCCACATTATTGAAGACAAAAAAGGCAAAGTTCAACTGAGGGGCACCCAAAACAGGCAGAAATTTTATTTTATGGCTACTTTAAAAAGGGGCTGAGGATAACAGGAGGCTACAGGGCTAGAAGTCATAGAACTTAAAGAAGGGCACAGAACTGAGGAAAGAGCACTTACAATGACATGCTGAGAATTTCATTGGTCTCTGGCCTCCACACTCCACGCAGCAGTTGCTCGAAATTTGACATGAGAGCTACTCCTGACCCTACAAGGACATCAAGAGAATGAGAAAGTGTCAGGTGAGAACAGCCCCTCACGCCTCAGCGGCCTTATGAGGATTAACACACTTCACTGCACGGACTCTGGTGCTAAGACCATCTTAACTATTACACTCCAAAACAATCCTTGCTCTGCTTTTGATGATCCTAGCTTAAAGTCTTGGCCCCTAATCTTCTTTACATCCAGCAACATTACTGGTGGAAATACAATTGTGAAGGTTTTTTACTTTATTTTAAACGTATAGTCTGGCAAAAAAAAATGTACAAAATTTTACATCTTAAATTCCATCAGCAAGTTTGGTGTCTAAAGTTTGCTTCTTTAGTTTTGTGCAGGAGCTACAAGGCTAATGTAGCTAACAAATAATGGAAGCATTCTACCGCACTGATTCAAAGTCATAGTTGAAAAGTTGAAAACACGCTTCGGATTTTTGACTGACCTGGACTTTAGGCTAAAATCCTTTTGCTTTGAGCGACCCTATACCCTAATTACGTTCATTTTATTCAAATAAAATGACTGAACATTCCATTTTGTCACTACAGAAACAACCATAAAACTACCAAATGTTTCGGTGGTGAATGTTTCGGTAGTGACAATTTTAGCTAAGTTTGAGCATAAATCAAAAGCGCTAGCCAAAACAAGACTAGCAAACACAGTTTTGAGCAGCTCTACACACATAAAATAATAATATTTTTCACTGCATCACAAAAAGGTTGACTTAACTGCAGATAATTTACATTTTGGTAGTGAAAATTAATGTTACACACTGATTTTCAGATTTTGGGATTTACTTCCAAACAATGGGACTGAATTGCTCATCATGTGGCCATGAGGGACAGGGATGCAGTCTCACTTCCTGCTCTAAAATGCAGGGGTGTGGCTAAAATGTGGCTCCGCCCACAGACAAAAAGTCATGATAAACCTTAATCTTTCAACTTCACTTTAACAGAAATCAAAAAAATCTTTGAAAAAAATTCAAAAAAGATTTGCTGAAGTTGAAATTTAGGGGACAGACACCTCCCAAAATAACTATCTCATTTAATGCATTAGGCTGAAATAGATCATAACATAATCCTTGTTAGTACCTAAGGTCTGAATACATAATGTATACATAATATATTTTTTTAAGTTTTACTGTGTGACTGCAATTTAAAGTAACTGGTCCATATAGCTATTAGCATTGTGCTAGCATTAAGCACTGTGCTAGCACTTATGTTACATAGCTAAAAACAGCAGTGACAGACATATTCAGTCCTGAATTTTGTGCATAGACATAGGCAAGTCTACAAATTACCTAACTATTTGACACAGTTTGAGACAAGTATCTGGTGTTTTACACATGCAGTTTGCACAATCCTAATTGACAGGGTATACCTTTCAATTGCTTGTTAGCTACATTAGCCTCATACTTTAGCACACAACTAAAGTAGATGATGTAAAAAAAACAAAACAATAAAAAACAATATAAATGTAAAATGTTTCAGGAGAGCGCTTCCTCAATTTTGTTACCTTTAAGGCCATAGTCTACTTGTTTTTTTGACAAAAACATATGCTAGCAGGCCATATGAAGACATGATGCAGCCCTTCATCTCATCTCTTGTAAAACTTCACATACTTACCCTTGACATAGCCAGTAATAACCATGATGAACCAGCCATGGTGATAGGCATGGTGCGCGTGGTGGACTCCAGCAACGATTTTGCGAGTACGGACGACTTCTTTCATGGCCACCAGCACCAGCTTGATGGGCAGGAATGCGACGCATTTGTAGAACAAGTTAAAGGGACAGAAGAAGATGAGATACCTGTTGTGTTCAGCCAGCATAAAAAAACAAAATAATAGAATTAATTTACAAAATGGGAATTACAGTAAATACCTTAATGTGAAGCACATTGTTACAGTAATAAGAAAATCTTGTAACTTTTTTAACATCACTTCTAAACACTAGCTGTCCTGTTTTGGCCAATTTACTGGTCCAAAATAGTTTGAAAATCTTCTAAGTTCATTGGTTATAAAATCTGTCCATTATACCTTGTATCTCCTTGTACAGTCTTTTGAAAAGTAACACTTTCAGGCTTTTTTAAGTTACAATCTCCTGTATAGTTCTGGAGATACTTTAAAGGGCCCATATTACAGAAAACAAATTTTGAAGTAATATGTGAACATTGTTGAACTTTTCTGCCTACAGCAGTTTAGCCCTGCACATTCATATTGAAGTGAAGGGTGCTTTTTGAATGAGACACAAAATAGGACAGCCAATCAGTACGGAATCAGTTATATCAGTCTTAAAGGCACAGTAACAAAAACAGCCTATTTAATTCTAAAAGATAAAGAGAGGTTGGAAAATAGTCAAGTAAAATGAATTCTGCCCATTTTTGGTACATTAAACCAGCCTTTTAATATTTTTACTTAATTTACTTATTTATTCTTTAGATTACTTGATGGTACTTGGTATTTTTCCTTAATTTGTACCCATCTGTGAGTAATTCCTTTTAACTTCAATTTTATTTCACATGTCTGTAACAATGTGTACGATTCATATAGTTAATGAATGGAAGTCTTCACAGCAATGCTTATCATGACTGTTATTATAACACTGTCTGCACCTTTAAGAGCTGGCGCAAACTGGTTATGTAAATTCTTATGGAAATCAGTCCGGGTTAGTGATCCATTCCAAAGACTCTCACCAGACAGCTGAGGCCAGGAGGATGTGGCTGTTATTATGGAAATAGTCGATGGGGCTGTGTCCAAGCATGATGTCTGCAAGGATGTAGCTCCCAAAACAGTAGAGCATTGCACAGAGCCAGGAGGCCACAGGGCTTTTGCGGGACACCTCCACTGAGCCTGCAAACAGCAGATAGCGTTACAATCTCCTCATCCAAATGTCTTTGTACAGGATAGATATGGCATATGGCATATCTGACATATGGCACTGTGCTTTATCAACGTCCACATGAAAACTGCATAAGCACATACTGTAGCAGGTCTACTTAAATACATGTTCACTGCATTAAAAGTAACTAGTGATTTGAACATTTGATTTTCACAATCTTTCATTTTATTTACATTCTTTATTGTGTTAACATTAGCCCATTTCATTTTTGGACAATCCTTTAACTGCATAACAATTAAGTTCATTCATGTGTTGCTTAAGCATTTTTTAATGAAAGAAATGCAGAGATCATATATCACCAATATCAGAGAAGTTAATTGAATCTTCCTACATTAATTGTAGTTTTTCCCTGATTTCTTTTGTCACACCATAGAACATCATTCAACAACATGTATGGTAATAATAATGTGTCTATAGAACATAAGCCTATCTATTTGTTTTCGTGTGTGGTCAGCGAAAACATCTTGCGTCTTCCTGGCAGCCTAGTCAAAACATGGTCTGGCAAATTCAGTAAAATGTTTTATTCATTAAGGCAAATATCAAGGGTAACTTGAGCTCTAAGAGGCCTTCTGAGCCTCTAAAGCTCTATGGATGAAGAGACATGGAACAGGTGTGGCCTGGGCAAGAAAGGACATTCGCTAGGCATTTTGACGGAGAAGTGATCCTATCAAATGTTGACTAAAAATAAGTGTCAGCCTGTTGCGTCTCATTCGTGGCAACTGGCAGGCCTGCTTCGATCTTTGACCTCCAACACGCCCAAAATGTCGGAGCTCATTCATGAGGCTTGTCAAATGGTGCGAGGCTTGCGAGAGCAACTGTCCCACTGCCTGACCATGAACATTAATGGGATGTGTGTAGACCTTTTTTTATTATTCTTGTCTATCAATAAACTGACTGGACAGCATTAGTGAAGATGTGTCACTCAGATGTGATGTGAAACTCGGCTAGAAACTCAGCTTTTCGAGATGTCTAGTGGTAGTTCAGTTATTCCTAAATACTAATTAGTCTACAGCATTCTATGGAATACATAAGCTAGCAAGATTATTATTGACGCACTTCTTTTAGTTAAAAAGCACATTTCGACACCAGGTGAGTTTTAGTTTTAGTTTAGGTTGGACATTGCAGTGCATCAACAGCCCAGTGAATATCATAGTTCACTACTGGAAATTACATGGCTGGTATACTGCAATGACTACATTTGTCTTAACTCTACAGCCACATATGGGAATAAAAAAACAGTCAGTCATAAATGATCAGTCTCACATAGACAATTTCATTTATACTATCCTGATATTTGGCCTGTGGTCATTGGAATATGAACACCTGTCCAGTTGACTAGGGACATTTCTATAGGCTACTCTCACTTTTCATGCATTACTAAACAGTGGTTTTAATAGGCTACAGTGGAGGCGCTCTTGCTGTTGTCTATTTAGGGCAAGTCTATTTATTGCACTCTGCTATGTGCCCTCACTCTATCAGATTTCGAGGAGGGGGCTCTTAGAGTCGCCTTAACTCTAAGAAAAGGACAAAACGTGGGGGAAAAAACTGTAGAATGGCTAAAGTATAAGTTTCAGTGCATACAGCTAATAGCATCACTTTAAGTCCAACAAACAGTATTTGGTCTAGTATTCTAGCCATAGTCTTGGATGTATGTCATGCAGCCTAATTCAAAAGCCTTCACAGGGAAAACACTCAAGAAGGAATGAAATGAAAAAAACAACACTTGCACATGAGTGATGACATCTCACACACATCTCCCAAACAATATTACAGGCAATTTTACATCATATCTCAATAATATTAATAATAATCAGAGCTCCAGACTTACCTGGTTCATACTTGAGGTAGAGTATGGACACGATGTAATAGGCGAGATCGAAAACTGGAAACATGGCCATTTTTGAAAAATAGTGGGCAATTTCGCCCAGGTTTAGGATATCCAACACCTCCATGGTTGTGCGGCTGACGACACTAGCACATGAACAGAGAGCTGTGTGTGTGTGCTGCGTGCTAGACTGAGGCGACTCGCCTCAAGCCCCCCGTGTCCGTCTCCCCGAGTAAAGCAACTCAGGACACATAAACCCTCCTATTAATACACAGCTCCTCATCTGCACCACCGAGCTTAACGCGCCTCTTCAGGATGGCACAGAGCCGCCGTGCAGCGGTGAGCAGCGCAGCGCTACCGCCCCCCATGGGCCGGCCGATGGAAGGCTGGCCTGTCAAAAATTAGAAGAGACCACCATCTCATAAATATGTTTTTTGTGTTTTAGTGTTCTATTATAAACTCTTTACTGATCTTAAGTGAGCAGGGTCAAGGGTCTAAAACTGTGTCCCAGGGAGCAGGATTAAAAATACTGCTGTACTATTATCTAAGTTCAGTGAGAGTCTGCATACACTGTGCTTGCTGTATTGTTTTTTTTTTCAATCAATCAATTAATAAATAGGAGTTAAAACTTAGACCCAAGCTTAAAATCCTGTTGGATATGATGTGTCCTTCATCCTTGTGTCCTTTCGTGCATCGCCTTTCGCTCTAGTAGTAAAGTTTGCCACGGCCGGCAGGTGGCGGCAGTGAGTTTTCAGTTAACGTCATTACGTGTCGTAGGAAGAAGAGGGAAGACACGGGTGTAGGCAAAATGATCGGCGATCTTCTCATTTTTGGGTAAAATGTTCAGATAAGGATAAAACGAGACATGTTTTAGAGTTTACTTTAAATTAATGTCCTTATTTTATTTACCTCCATAACGGTAGTGGACAGGTTACTGTGTTTTGTGTAAAACAGCTAAGTTAGCCGACTAGCTGCGGTTCCACGTCACGCACTGTTTGTGTTTCTGTTTCTCGCAGCACTCTGTTAGTGAACGCTGGAGCCGTGTTAAACTTCAAACTGTAAGTCTAAACATTTGTTGGCATTAGTACATTTAGTATGCCATTGCTTATGTGACGTGTATTCTTGTTAAAGGAGAACGTCATCGCCATAGCTAGCTAGCTAATTAAATGGTTGACATGTAAACAAACTCATTCAGAGTGGTTGAAATGCTCACCTGCCCAGTCAGAATTGGCACAGCGTTGGTGAAAGGAACCAGACATCCACCTCTAAAAGATCCCTCACAGAAAGTTATTACATGAAATGGTTATGAAGATGCTGAATACGCTGTCTTATGTCTGACACTTTCTGACAGTTTTATGTTATGTTTTGTGATAAAGTTTTGGCTTGAAATATGTTTGAATCCATTTATTTTAATCCATTCATGGCGGAGAAAACTAAGAAAGAAACTAATTTTTTCAGATGTATGACCATTTCACCTTTTTTGGATTTGGATAGTAAATAAAATGGCTATGTTTGTGTTGTAGACAGGGTGACCCCTGGTTCCTGTCACCACCACTGTAAAGAAATCAGAGTTTCTCTGATTAGGTTTCTCTACAATACCTTGTCCAAACATATCTTGTCTTCATTGTTTTCACCAACAGGAAAAAGAAAGAGTCGCAGTCACATGGGTTTGGAGATGAAACAGGCGGATCTAGTACAGGTCAAGTTGGTTAACTAATACAGCACCACCACCACCCCACTCCTTCCAAGATGGTCCACAATTTTCCTTCATCTCGATGTGTTGCATGTTGGGTTGAGAACCACTGATCTAATATAAACTTAATGCAAACCTTCTGACTAACATGATTCATACACATGTTCTCTTCCAATACCATTGGGTAGTTACTATTAGGGCTCTAATGACAAATGATACACATTTAAAAATTTAATATGATTTCTGATCATCAACAGGTTTGAACTTGAATTGATTATCGATATTTTATGTGAAAATCTATGTCTTGATTCTGGTTCTGTGCTAGACAGATTGACTAAGAGAAATACAGTTTTAAAACAAAAGATTGCTAGTTACAAACAATTCAAAATAGATAGGAAGCACCGAGATGATTAGTGTTGGTCATTGACAGTGGCTTCCACAAAAGAAGGCAATTGTGAGACCATTGAAAGAAGCAGAGGGGCATATCAGCGATACACCTTTTCAGACTTTCATGTTTTTCGATAATGTATTGAAATCATTACTCTCTTAGCAACTGCTTACAGTTAGTCTGTTTCATATGCTTAAGTGGATTTTTTTTGTAAATGATAGTACTTCTGTTAAAGTGTGTTTGTGAGAACAGGAATCTGTTTTAGCTGCAGTTCCATTTACCATTCACATTTAGTTCCTAATTCATTTTTGGTGTTAATTTAATTCTATCCTGAATGTGTCAGCACCTGGACTGCTTTACTGTTCCCTACACCTCTTATTTTGCCTTAGGATTTTATTTTAGGATCACAAAGAGAAAAGAATAGCACCTAACAAACTAGATATATAAAGATGTTCTACTGCAGTTCTATAGGGAACTCAGTACTGACCTGATACTTTTTGAGTTTTTAAGGGTTACAGCTTTTTGAATTTGAGTCATTGCAGTAACAGCACTTTAACTTGAGGATGATTTTAGACTGTTTTACCCACCTCTGGCTGCTAATGAAGTCATTGGGGACCCTCAGCCAATCCTCACTTTTACTCTCACATATATAACTCCTTAGCCATGTAATCAAAAGATGTAGAACACTGTTTATCTGACCTTTTAGGGCAAGGTAGTCCTATCATATCTACCAAGCACTGGTGGGATTGCAGGTTTTCATTTAACAAAGTAGGAGCACACCAGTAGGATAATTTGTTTAACCCCTTAACATTCCAAGCTTATTACATACTTATTACATACAGGCTTATTATTCATTAACTACAGGTACTTCATTGCAAACTAGTGGAGCTTTTCTTAGGTTATAGAAGTGTGTAATAAGACTTTGGGCCTGCCGGCAGGCCTATGGCTTTGTAAGGGGTTAAAGAACTGTTTTTACAGTTTGAATCAGATGTGCCCCTGCCTAATTGGAATGAAAATTTGCAGCATTCCGGCCCTTTGCAAAGGAAAAAAATAAAAATGTGAACTGGCTTGGGGTGCCTAGTGACTGGAATGAAAATTTCTGCTTTCCACTTCTCAAATGCAGGTGATAACATCAGAGAGTTCCTACTGAGCCTGAGGTACTTCCGCATATTCATAGCTCTGTGGAACATCTTCATAATGTTCTGCATGATCTTGTGAGTATCTTGATTGGTATAGACTAATCTGTATATGAAAATGTTCATTATACATATGTTTTATGTTTAAGCTGTTTGTTATAACAATTTTAATTTGCTCTAGGTTATTTGGATCATAACACACTACTGACCTGAGAGACCTAAGACCAGTTTGAGCATAAAGGACTATCCTCAGCCCTTTTGAGGTGGGTGTTGGTGGGGTGGGTGTTGGTTTGTGGTGTTGGGTTAAACCTTTCCAAAAAGCACCAAGAACTGTGTCTCTTGAAGCAAGATATTTGTCAGTAATTTCTTACGTTTTATTTTCTGTCCCAGACAGTAAGACAGAGTCTTACAGGTCAAGTGTTTGGGACTCACACTGACCATACTGTTTTTGTCAGTGTCAAACTGCCATGTCATCTCGATTTGCATGTCAGTTGATGTGCTTGTGTTTGCAGGCAGATAAGAAGTGTTTGTGAATATTTGCTGCACACTTTATTACCTATGGATTAATGCAGCAGTGCAGTCATATTAATTGTTATAAAGAGTTTATTCCATTAATTTAAGCTTTCAGTAAATCTAGAGTTTCTCAATATGTTATTTCCTGTGAACTTAGTGAGGTTAGTAGTTAAATGTGCAAATGATATCAAGATTCTTTTATAAAATGAGACATTTTTAACAAGCGATAAAGTTGGGTTATTTTTGTTTTTTTTTTGTTTTTTTTAACAAATTCTTTCACAGTCATCCTAAAATGCATATATATAGGCCATAGCTTTAAATGGATGTTTTAAGTGCATTTTAGTCAGTTCAGATGAATTTTGTAAAGTTTACAGATGACTTCACATTTTCTTTCTGGGGAATTAAACAGTTACCTTTATTAAATGTGACTTGCATTACCTCAGCTCATGCTATCAGGTCACTTATCAAAAAAGAATAAAGTAAAAAAAACTGAACAAAAAATGTGTTATTAGAGTTTTGAAATTCAACAAATGGCACTTTAAGGTATTGAGCACCATGGTAAGATTAAGATGATTTGCCCAATATATTTTCTTTCAGAGGGTTTTTTCCAGTTCTCTGCAGTAGTCCCACTGTCCCATCACATAGATGAAGACATCCCAGGAAGCCCAATTTAATGTTGTTTTCCAAAAAAGCAAAACATTAAAATAAGAATTAGTGCTTCATGAAAACATTAAAACTTAAAGCATGAATTTATTTACTTTTGATTTTTTTTAAACATATTTGCTCCCTCAGATCCTGTTTCTAGGTCATACTATGCATTAACTGATCGTTTTACAGCATATGTACAACAGTCTACAGTAAAATGCTGGGCTGTATGTTTGTTTAGAAGAATGTTACATTTAAATATTAAATGACCCATTTGTCATTCTGGATTTCAAATGTTTCAAGAATATCTTACAAAGTTTGTAAGAAAAAATTAGACTAATAAATGAATTTAGCATGATTTTAGGCTCGCCACTAGGTATTTCAGAGCAAAGGGAATTTTCTACTAAAGCATATTTCTTTCCTGTTTTTCCTACACTTTACAAGAAGTAAACAAGTTAAATCTCTAAACTAAATATGTTGTGTAACTGCATTATTTGTAGACCTCACTACTATTTCTGTACAAGAGACAAGGGCACTTGGAAAACAATGTCAATATGACAGACTCAAAAGGCCTTGTGGACTTGAAATAAATGTTTTGGAGAAGCATGTACCCCCCCCCCCTTTTTTTTTAAATAAACTGAAAATTCATGCTCATGACTCTTGACCAGCTGTATTTCTGGAGAAGCCATATAGAAAGTGTTGTTTATATTTTGTTGATATATAAAAAGTCAATTTTAACATGTAAAAATGTCAGTAGTGGTAAAATCATTTGATGTAACAATAAATCTAATTTTACTGTGTCACATAATATTGTTTAATACATATATCTTAGCACATAAGGTTTCAGTTCCCATTAGTAAGGAGTCATGGTTCTCCTTAATTCATTGAAATGAGAAGAGGAAAATTGACAAAATCTTTAAAAATCTCATTTTGACATAGAATTCTATTAGACGTTCAAAGAGATTTCTTACTACACTCTTTAAATAGATGTGTTAAACAACACATTGTGTCTCTAAATAGAGACATAAGTGTATTCAGTTGGAGACAACACAGTTTGTGTTCAAATATTTCTATGGATAACATATTTTGGGTCCCTTTAACACAGAATGTATTCAATCAGAAAACAATATGAAACAAACAGTGTTATAATGGGTAACACAAGTTGTTGTGTTATTTAACATCACTTTTAGTTACTTTTAGTTCTTTGCTGGTAAAGTAAATCTTATGACAAACTGTTTTAGCTTTTATTCAGGTTTTTCTTGATATCAGGAATTAAATTTACATGTGAAATTACATTTCCGCTAGTAAAAATTTATTGTTATCAAAATGTAAAAATGTGTAGTAAAATAGTAAAAATTCTATTTTCACTAGTGGAAATTAAATTTGTAAATGTGTAAATTTAACTCCTGATATCAAGGAAAATTGAAATAAAAGCTAAAACAAAGGCTTGCCATAAATTCTTGACATTTTTACAAGTCTTGAATTTGAAACATGGAACAATTCACTGGTGAGAAATCAGTTAAAAAACGTAACAATCAAATCAAATCACGTTTACTGTCACATCACATTTACACAGGTGGAAAGTGAGTGAAAATCTTAAGTGCGTGGCCCCCTTATAGAATTTAAATACAAAAAATATAAATATCTAAGAAGAAAAAGAAATATATACATATATATATACATATATATATATATATATATATATATATATATATACTGACTCTGAATATACACATATACTCAATCAGAATTTCAAGCATGTCATAATTTGCCATAATATCAAGCTCATTAATATTCATTAAGCTTTGCACAGAACCCCGTCTGATTGGCCGAGCAGTTTTATTTACTATCCAAAACTACCAGTAAAACTACTTTTTATATGTAATAATGATGATGACGGTGTGCGTGTCAAAGCCATGACGTCTTCAGCTGACGCTGCGCTGAAAGGCTAAGACAGGCTAAATTCGTCCTTGTTTGTACCGTTATTTTGTTCTATTTCTCGGGTTAGAGAATTTCACTTTGTAAAATAGTTTGTAACTAAACGCATGTTTTAAAGTATAAAATGTGTTTTTAGCACAGGTTTTAGTGCTCAAACAGTAGGCGCGTAAACATGCTAATGCTAGTTAGCTTTTTGCTCCGTTTTCAACTACTCCGTGTTAACATAGATTTAATGCACCAGTTCTAATTTAATTACTGTACATATAGAGACATTCCGTTGTTCAGACTCCAGTGATTTTTAAGATGTATTGTGGATGTCCCACAGCCTCGTCAGTCTCGCCAAGTGGTGTAAACAGATTTGAAACATTTGAGTGTTGGTTATGTAAATAAAATGCATTACATGGAACAGTCTGTGTTATTATTTTAGACTACTTATCTAAGTGCACCTAGGAAACTGGTTTCCATATAGTCTGTTGAAGCTGGAGTACATGTACATTACTGTTATGGTAGTAATGTGTCTTTTCTTTATAGTTTTCATCAGTGCAGTTGCTTTACACTTGAACACAGAGAGAACAGAGCTACTTGGTACTGATGGGAAAAAAAAGCTTTTCCCCATATATTACAAATTAACACTGAACAACTGAAACTGAATTAAAATGCAACAATAGTGATAGTGCGCATCTGTTCTACCTTTAAACAAGTTTGATCCCTATCCTTTAATAATAAGAACACATAAGGGAGCAGGTTTTACTGGCAGCCTTGGAAAGTGGTTTCCCTTTGGAGAGATACAGCTGGAGTGGATTTAAAGTCCAATAATGATGCTGGTAATCTATAACTGCATGATCATCATAACTTTTATTCATACCACCTTTACAGGGGGACATCTTTAATAAGAGTGTTGAGAAAAGTTGCTTCCCTTTGTAAATCACAACTGGAGTGCATTTAAAGTACAATAATGATGCTGGTAATCTATATCTGTGCATGACATATCTGTGCCCCGTGTTCTCAGTCAGGGGTGTCCAAAGTCCCAAATGGCCCAAATATGGCCCACGGCCAGGTTTTAATTGGAGCTGCAGCTTGTTCAACAGCATGTCTTAAGTGACCGGCCAAAGATTACGTTGCAGTTCTTCCTTTCCTCTTATGGTGGCAGCAGTGCTGCAAAATATTCTTATAGAGCCAAAGCAAATGTGAGTACCTCATATGTCAAAAGACATTACATTAAGTATTCTGGAGAGGACAGAGAAACTAGAACAACTGTGAGCTACCCGAGTCTAACGGAACCAGCTTCTTATCAGAGCAAATTCAGTAGTTCAGTGAATATTAACTGTTCAAGGTCGAACAAAAACGTGACTATATATACTGTTTATTTTGCTCTTATCATTTAATAAAGCGATTTCTGAATGCTGTTGCTGCATTTATTTGATATGTAAAGAATATTATTTAACAAAACAAATTTATAATTTTTGTTTAGTTTGTCTAAATAATGAAATTGTGTAACAAGTAAACACTTGAATAGGAATATACTTAATACATTAGACATTTTATTGTTTCTCTTAAACAATTTAATTCTTTGTCATAAGTGCTTACTGATCCAGATTGCTCTGACCAATCCACCAATAAAAGAAGACTTGTGCATCTTTTATGCAGTGATAGGAAATACAATAGCACACAAAAAGCTCTGATTCCATGTGCTGCTATTTTGAAACCTTAGGTACTTTGACACGGTATAATCTGGCCTTTTTGGAAAACATTTAGACACCCCTGATTTAAATCCACTGCAGTTGTAATATACACTTTTCTCAGAGGTCTAGTTAAATATGTTCCCCTTGTATTCCCAATGTAAAGCTGGTACAGTCTGACTAAAAGTTACCGAGTGAAATGATCATGCACAGACAGATTAATAGCACCTTTATTGGACTTGAAAGCCACTCCAGCTGTAATTTTTCAAGGGGGAACCACTTTTCTCAGGGCTGTGGTTAAAGATGTTTCCCCTCTATTCTCAGTGTAAAGGTGATACAGGTTGACTAACAGTTACTAAGTGAAATGATCATGCACAGTTATAATTTATCAGCATCATTATTGGACTTGAAATCCACTCCAGTTGTATCTCTCTAAGGGGAAACCACCTTAAAGGCTGCCAGGAAAACCTGTTCCCTGCTGTGTTCTCATTAATAAATCATCAAAGTTACTGTGTTTAAAGGTAGAACAGATGCTCACTATCACTATTGTTATATTTTAATTCAATTTTAGTTGTGCTATATTGTAATTATTGGGGGAAACCTTTTTCCATCACTACCAGGTAGCTCTGTTCCCTCTGTGTTCTAACATAAACCAACTGCATTGATGATAACTATAAAGAAAACATAGATTACTACCATAACAGTAAGATGTAAATGTACTCCAGCGTCGATAGACAATAGCAGGGGTGTCCAAAGTCCGACCCCAGGGCCAGATGCTACCCACGGACAGTTTTAATTGGACCTTGGCTTCTGTTTTAGTTGGCCAGTGTTGCAAGTGGCCCGCCAGCCAGTACGTTGCAGTTCTTCCTTGCACCTGATGGTGGCAGCAGTACCGTAAAATTACAGAGTAAATCACAGCACCAACCTCTAATCAGAGCAAATTCAGCACTTCAGTAAATATTAACTGTTTGTGGCTGAACAATAACGGCTATTTATGTTGTTTATTCTGCTCTTCTTGTATATTAAGTGGATTTCTGAATGATGTAGCTGCATGTAAAGAACATTAACAAAACCAAAAAATGTATTTTTTTTTAGTTTGTCTCACAAATTATATTTTTGAATAAGCAAACACTTGAATAGGAATATAATTAATACATTTAACATGTTTTATTGTTACTTTTGAACAATTTAATTATTTGTTATGAGCGCTTACTGATCCAAATTCCTCTGAAAGAGCAATCAAACAATAATCTTTACAATAAACAATAAACAACAATAAAAAATAAACAGTGACAGGAGACAGGGCACAAAAAGCTCTGATTCTATGCACTGATATTTTGAATATTTCAGTCCTCAGGTGTTCTGACACGTATAATCTGGCCCTCTTTGAAAGTGTGGACACCACTGTACTATAGTGAAACCGATTTCCTAGGTGCACTTAGAAGTAGTTTAAAAGAATAGCTCATACTAATTACTGTGCCTGTAATGAGGTTTATTTATATCAGCAACAAAATTTTCAAATGTTTCACATCTATTTACACAACTTAGCGAGACTGACGAGGCTGTGGGACATACACAATAAACCTTAAAAATCACTGAACAACAGAATGTCTCTTCATGTACAGTAAGTAAATTAGAATTTATGCGTTAAATCTGGTTACAAGGAGTAGCTAACTAGCTAGCTGAAAACGGAGCGAAAGCTAACTAGCATTAACAAGTTTACCTGCCTACTATTTGATCATTAAAACCTGTGCTAACAACACATGTTATACTTAAAAACGTGTGTTTAATTCCAAACTATTTTACAAACAAACTGAAACCCGAGAAATAGAACGAAATAACGGTACAAACACGGACGAATTAAGCCTGTCTTGGCCCCGCAGCGCAGCGTCAGCTGAAGACGTCATGATTTGGACCTGCGCACTGAGGGGAAACGGGGGGAACTGAATTCACCGTAACAACGGCCGCGCTGAACAAGATGGCTGAGCGTCGGCTAGCGAGAGGCTGAGAAGACAGCAAATTAATTCCATTTTTAGCCGGGGAAACAGCTGTTTATAGCCGAGAACTCTAAACTATCAGGAAAATAAACGCTCCGTCTTGTTATGCTTATACGTGCGTGTATGCAGGGCTTATTTCGTATATGAAGCGAAGGGGGTGTCCACCCAGCATCACCCTGTGATAAAGTCCTATTAATACAGTTATTTTTCCTCTTACGTGAAGAGACACGAAGACGAAGACACAGAGCTGGCAGTAGCTTTTATAACCGCAGAAAGAGATGTCACTGCTGTGTGTTGGAGGTAAGTGAGCATTATTAGAGGATGGAGATGTGAGGCTGTGTCTGAGCACCAGCTGCTGGTTGTCATTTCTGAGGCGAGCTCAGTTCAGACCCCCTGTGTATTGTCATTTCATGTATATGCGTTTTAAGACGTGTGGCAGCACCGTGTGAAGATGTGGACATTGACTGAAATAACAGAGACTATATAGCAGGTTTGCACCCTTCACTGATTAATACGCCTGATCAGGAATCTGTAGGGCTGAATTCACTAGAGATCCTCTTTAATTTTAACCGCAAATGTCGAGAGAACTGTGACACGAGACAGAACCAGAGGCTTTTCCTTTGGTTTATTGTCAGTTTTTCGTTATAGCCTGTAGTCTTTGTCAAAAATAGTAGTGGAGGATGCTATAGGTGATGAGGGAATATGGGCTCCTCCGTCTCTGTTTCAGCTGCTTTCGGAATTTAGGGGCGTGTTCCTGCGATGCTTCACATTTTTTACATATCAGATTGGGTTGAAAAGAACAGCAGACTCATTAATTAGAACCTTTTTATTATAGACCAATGTATATGTTGTTATTCCATAGTCTAAAATGCCCGTAAAAGGTACGAAACGATACACTGTGTAAAACATGATGGGAGCTTTTGGGTTCCATATACTAACAGTTCACTGTAAAGCTGTTTTATTCTGGAAATCAGAGTTTTTTTTTGTTAAAGTGCTCAATAGCTGTGTAACCAGATGTGAGTGCTTAGTCTATGAGGTCAGACTGTCACGACAGACACTTTGTCATTTGTCTTTACCACATTTGACTGGTTCACTTTGACATGCATTGACACTGACCCTAAGGCTGTCATTTGGTCTAGTGTTGGCTGCCAGTTTTAACATGTGGGTTAAAACTTCACGTGAGTTGCCCAAGTTAATGTGCCTTTCATAATTAGCAGTTGCCCTTGTACAAACAGATAACATCTTTCCTGGGTTGATGGTAAAAGCGCTGCTCAGAATTCCCTGAGTTACATTTGCATGCACACCCACATCTCCTCACGTCCATGGCATGTCTGCCACCAATCTGGAATGAAAAAGGCACAGCTTCCACTGCTTACGTCCAAGAACGACAGTGGGTGTGTGGGTGTGTGTCAAAGAGCTTGGATAGATTTTTGGCAGTTGCTTTAATAACCTGGGCAGATGCACGGTAAGACTTGAGTGGTCCATTGGATGGTTTGTATATTCATAGTCCCGTGCAGTGTAGTGTCTTATGTATTATGTACATACAGTGCAGTATACCAGATCTTACATTTTGTGCTTTATTTTTTGCCCTGAGGTCCACTTATGATGTTTGTGTGCGTTGTAAAAAAAAAAAACTGTTTAGAGAACTTAAAATGTCAAGACAACATGACACATTAATATTCTCAACTTTCTTTAGTAGTCATCCTTACTAAGGTTAATTTGTTTAAGGCTACATTAGTTACCACTGTAACATGATTAGACTGGAAGTCGTTCTGGATAAGAGTGTCTGCCGATTCTCATAATGTAGGTTAAGTTTTCCTGCTTTTTAAAAAATGTTATCATATTCTACTGGCAGCCTCACACTGGACAAAGAAACAAATCTAGGTTGTTTAAACAAATCAGTTAGTATGGATGACTTACAAAATCAGCTTTTGAGAAAATTCAAAAATTGTAATGCATCATGTAAAGTGATCTGAACCATTTTTACAGTGTGGTTTTATGTACCAAAAGCAGTCAAAATACATTTTTATGTGACCGTTTTCCCACCGCTGTTTATCGCTTAGGATTAAACATGCTATTTTTGTTATTTGCATTTGAGACTGATTATATGTAAATGACCTCTGTTATGATTGGCTGCCCTGTATCGTGCCTTATTCTGAAACCCTCTTTATAACTTCAGTGTGAATGGGTGGGGCTAAATTGCTGTATGCTGAATAAGCGGATATATGAAAATGCATGAGTTTGCAGTCAACAATGAACAATGAATTTAAAACAGGCTGTTTTTGCATCTTAGTTTCTATAAATTGTCACTGTTCAAAAAAACAAAACAAGTATCTCCAATTTTACTTTTTATGCTCAAATGCTCAAAAATGCTCAGAAAAGATTTCTTTATATTAACTTATATTGCCCCCTCATGTAGAGTTGCCATTTTGTAGATAAATGTTATTCTTTGGACAGTGCTGATATGCACTGTATAGAAAATGTTAATATACTGTATAAATAAACAATGGAAAATCATATGTTCCATTGTATGGGCCTTTTAATATGGATGAATGTGGATTTAATATTGTGAAGTATACTCAAATATGCTCGTTAGCCTACAGTGTATCATTAATGTTTGCTTAGGAATAATTTTTTCAAACACTCTTATTATCATCTACTCAACTGCTCAGCAGAACTTACAATGATAGTCAGTTAGTGCCTATCTGAAAGCCTCATGTTTAGATGTAATTGAGTAGAATTAATTATTTTATATTCTTTTATAGATTGCTGCTCATAAAATGCTCAAAAATGGTAACTGGGACTGAAAAATCTTTTTCACAACAAGACCATAGTCCTTTCACAAGCCTCAAGATTAGCTACGGCATGTAATGCTGCAGCCTAAGAAATTATATCCATGTAATTACATCTTGTCTATAGAGTCAGGACTATCATAGGCCATTTTCACATCGTCAGGGATTTTCATCCCTTCTAAGACAGAGACAGTGTTCACACTTTAGGCGGCAGCCTTGGGCCCAGGCATTCTAATCTGTCATTCCTGTTGTCTTTTTCATGTGCATTTCATCCTATGTGAATAGAAACATCCTTCAGATGGGCTGATATAAGGATAGTTTCCAGTAGTATGTATGAACAGTCCGTATATATATAACAGTCTGTCCTTCACCAGCTGTTCAAGCAAAGTGCTGTAGGAGATGAACCATGTTATACAGTAATATATAGAAGCTAATATATGTATTACAATAATTATATAATATATACAGATATTAGCCTCTGTATACAAGTGTGGTTGGCTCTCCTGCAAGGCAAGATGAGTTGAGAAACTGAGAAAGTGTTTTTTTTTTTCTTTAAATTTCATGGCTCAGGATGGGGAGATAGAAGCCAGTGGCTATATTACAAAAAATGACATTTGATTATAATTGATATTATTCCAGTCATAATTAGCTTGTGTTTTTTTTTTTTATCGCATCCCTGGAGGGGCTCTATGTTAAACCTTGTACAGTCAATCCGGGCTTTATGCTGAAGGTGGGTTTTTAATGGGAGCTCCCTCTGCCCCCTCCCCATCTCTGAAGTGCACACGTTATTTTTAGCGGCGGCGCCCACAGATTAACTGGAGCGCGAGCGGAAGAGATGGAGAGGGAGAGCACGTGCACGGAAGCCACGTGGTGGTGGTGGGGGGAGCTGGAGGAGGAGGTGGAGGATCGGGAGACGGTCATGATGACTATTCTTTAACTGACTCTCAAAATCTAAAGAGTTTAATTTAAGATTATGGTGTCTAATATTTAATCATTGGTTATATGTTGTGTCTAATGCCAGAGGTGGGTAGAGGAGCCTAAGCATATCCTCAAGCCAAAATGGTGTTACTTCAGTGAAATAATGAAGGTTGAGGCATAGTAACTGGAGTTTCTGTTGCTCTAATTTTGGGACACATGTAGTCTAAAAGAAAATTCTAAATCTCAAAAGGTGCTGACAGAACAGATTGAACTTAAACCAAAAAATAACTAAAATGTAACTGGGTAAAGAGTAGACTTCTTCCTTGTGAATATATTTGAGAACAAATAAAAGTATCATTGGAAAATTGAAGACCTCCAGAAAAGTACAAATGCATCAAAATGGTATGTCCAGTAATGTAGGTGGAACTAGTTACCACCCACCTCTGTCTAATACCGTGAAATACATGGATTGTTGTAAACTGTGGTAGATGAGATGAGCCAACAACATAGATACCTGAAGTATCAGGAGTCAGGAATGCATAGCTTGCAAACTACCTTGCCAGTTCTCATAAATATGAGGTAGTCCTTAGGTAAACCTGTATAGCCTGCTTTGCAAACATTAAAGCAAGTGATGTTAAAGCAACCTGAGAGATTAAAAAGAGACAGCTCAGCCTTTTTTGCTGTGGATTCTAAAGTGATGGGTGGGTGTAGGGGATTAAAAGTGAGCTTTGAATTTTAATGCCGCTTTCACACTGAAGCTTGCCATCCACGTTGCATGGGTTACATGAATTATGAATGGCCCCAGTGACGTCAGGGTGGCTTAAAAAAAGTCGCTTTCTCTGAGATCCACAAAGCACAAGTGACAGCAGTTTTTCTGTCTCCTTCTGTGAGCACCTTCAGTCTAGACCTCTTTCAATTCTTTATAAAGCCTCTTGCATGCACCATTTCTCTAAACGGAACCGATTGACTGGAAGAAAGATAAAAGTAGAGTGCCTCAAATAGTTCTCTATATACTTATGCTACATGGACAAAAGTATTGGGACACCTACACGTTACACCTACAGGAGCTTTTATGACATCCCATTCTAAATCCATAGGCATTAATATGGAGTTGGTCCCCCTTTGCAGTTATAACAACTTTCACTCTTCTAGGAAGCTTTCTACAAGATTTTGGAGTATGTCTGTGGGAATTTTTGCCCATTCATTCAGAAGAACATTTGTGAGGTCAGACACTGATGTTGGACGAGAGGGCCTGGCTCGTAGTCTCCATCCCAAAGGTGTTCGATGGGGTTGAGGTCAGGGCTCTGTGCAGGCCAGTCAAGTTCTTCCACTCGTCCGTCAGACTGCCAGATAGAGAAGCATGATTTGTCACTCCACAAAATACATTTCCACTGCTCCAGAGTCCAGTGGCGGTGTGCTTTACACCACTCCATCCAACGCTTGCTGTTGTGCTTGCATGCAGCTGCTCGGCTATGGAAACCCATGCCATGAAGCTTCCGGCACACAGTTTTTGTGCTGATGTTAATGCCAGAGGAGGTTTGAACTCTGCAGTTATTGAGTCAGCAGAGCATTGGCGACTTTTATACTATGCGTCTCAGCACTCAGTGACTCGGTAGAGTAGCCAGAACCCATAGTCAAGTAAAAGTACTGTTAATTTTGTGAAATAATAACTAGAGTAGAGTAAAGTAGAAGTACCTTTCCAAAAAACATAAGTAGGAGTACAAAAGCAGTAGATTAAACAAAACTATTTATCTTAAAACTAAAATCTAAAATACATCATAAACCTCAAAGTCAGAGGTGTGTCCAATTGCAAATCAGTGCAGATGCTGTTACTGATGTAACATAATGAAATTAAATGCAGAAACAGAATTAGTAACTAAATGCGAATCATTAGTATAGAACTAAATAAACAGTAGATTACCTTCCATATACCTATATACACTTAAGTGAAAGAAAAAGTATGATTAATGAAAATACTCTAAGAAGTACATTTCCACTAGAATTCATTGACAGGGGCATTCCGGCCTAAAGCTAGAGATTAATGTGTTGCTTGTCGTGTTACATAGTATGAGCATCGTATCCCTTAGTCTCATTGTTCTGATATTTGAGTGATCCATTTTCTCCGTTGTAATGATGACGACGACAGTTACTACATGAATGGGACTGCAATAAGATAATTTACCTTTCTAGCAGTATTGTTAGCTGCCTTCGTTCTGCATTAAAAAAATCTCAACAGCCTGCCCCAAGAATCTACCCCAAAGTGGTTGTAGTTTTTCAAAAGCTCCTCCCACCTTCAAGATACATCATCAGAAAGGGGGTTTTCTAGTCTTTAAAGGAAAAACTTACTGTAGAGACCACAACTTCTGTAAGTTTTTTCATTTTCATTTTGGACAGTGTTTCCTTAAGCACACGTAACATAGTAAATGTAACCCGCTACTATCCACCTCTGGATGCAGCAGTGTTTTTATGATAATAATGATGCTAAGTTTATGTGTGTTGATCTATACATATTAATTGAATTAATTGCTTATCCTGCATCTTTTGAACTCTCCCATCTCTTTCTATGTTACAGTGAAGAAAGCCAAGCTAGATGGACCACAAGGTTGGTCACAAAGCTAAGTTCACCATCACTTTCTTCCTGTTTAAATTCAGCATTTGTCTACCTCTTCAGAAGTGCACCTAGTAGCTTGAACTCATTATCTGTGTCTGTTACAGAGAAATTCAACACCTATGTGACACTTAAGGTGCAGAATGTGAAGAGCACCACCATTGCTGTGCGAGGCAGTCAGCCATGTTGGGAACAGGACTTCATGTTGTGAGTAGCATTCTTGTCCCTCTCTGTCTCAGAAGCATGACAGATCTAACTGAAATAAAGGTTGAACTGTTTTGCATAGGAATCAAACCTAGAAGTGATGTCAGCAGGAGCAATTTTATCTACTTCCATAGATGTTAAATAATAGCCCTAGTGTTCATTTTCCTTTCTTACTAAACTTCTGCTTTCATGACTTCTGCAAAGCCAAATTCAGCTATAACTGTGATCAGAGGGCATTGATGTTGTTTTCTCAGGCAACAGTTGAAACTCCCTGGGTAGCGACAGATGCACAATTCTCTAACGGCTTTGGTCCCGAATGCATAGATGTTGCCTGGCACTGGCTGCAACGATTCTTAGGATTTTGAGGGCACTGCATTTAAAAGTGTTGCTTGGACACTTGTAAACCAAGTCCAGTTAACATAGACTGGAAATGACTGAAGAGGTTTTTTTTTGTTCCACTTTTTTTTTCACTGAATGTGTATTTTTTTTAACCAGGGGAGTCAATGAGCAACTTTACCCCAGTTAGTGCAAAAGCACTGCTTTGCTTTTAATCTGTCTAATCTATCTAACTAATTCTCTAATTATCTAATTATCTCTTTAAACCAACTCATTTAACTGGTCCTTTTCTGCATTCTGTCTCTCTGTCTGGCATCTACTGTTGCACCATCACCCACCATTCTCTAAGATTGGTCTCCAGCACAGAAGGCTTGGTTTTGATATCAAAGCTGAGGCTATTATTGAGATTAGATGCAGCAAAAAGACCACTGTCCTGTAGAGAGGAACATTGTGTTAAATGGCGTTGCTCAAATTACAGATGACCAAACCCTGACTTGACTATTTTTAGTTTTCCTTTGCTAAAACAACAACTGACATATAAAGGGGCTGATATTTGTGACATATTAGATCTCAAGACTGTATAATAATGTTTTGGAGTAAATAAAATGCCATTTGAACAGGGAGGTCATGGTCATGTCGCTTACACTGAGCTGTTGTGGCAAATCCTGACATTTACAGAGTCATGCAGTATGTCTTCCTGGTGGACATGTTACAGGTCTCTCTCTGTTTGTTTCCTCCTCTCTCTGTTTCCTGTTCTCCCTCCAGTGAGATTAACAGGCTGGATCTGGGACTGACGGTGGAGGTTTGGAACAAAGGCCTGATCTGGGACACCATGGTGGGCACCCTGTGGATCCCTTTGCGCAACATTCGCCAGTCCAATGAGGTATGGCACAGATGGCCTGCTTGCCCCCAACAGCCTGTAGCACTGTTCAGTCTTGTAGACATATACATGCAGATTCTGGCCAGCTGGCATTTAATACTTTTTGGTCTCTCCCATCTTAAATGACCCCCAGATATTTTTGCAGACCAAAAAGGACATTTTTGCCATAGGTCAGTGGTTCCCAACCCTGTTGCTATAGTACATCTCTCTTGCACATTTTAGTGTTTTCCTTGCTTCAAGACACCCACTTCAGATCAGGATCAGATCAGGGCTTGTTAGTTAGCTGATAAGTTGAATCCAGGGTTTGTTGACCACCATTCCCCATCCACACTTTGCTTAAGCTCATTGACTATAGTGTGGGGAATCTTTGATAGATATTGACGATGGACAGTTTAATTGAAACGTCAGTAAATGCACTGTGACTTGAAGTGTCTCATAATTTGTGTTTTTCTGTATATAAATTATATATATGTGGCACCAGGTCTGCCTGCTTGAGCCGGAGGCTGAATCGAGATCACTGCGGCCATTTATATACATAAAATATGCATTTATATACATAAAAAATAAATTAAGAGACACTTCAATTCACAGTGCATTTACTGACCTCTAGTTTAAGAAGGCATCTCTGTGGCATCACCGTATTATTTGTCATGCTGAAATGGGTTACTAGAGGAAGGTGCCACAAATCTTAACTGAGAACGCCTCAGTCTGTAGATGGCAGTATTTATGTTTACCTTTCTGCATGCCTTTTTTTGGAAAGCAGATCTCACTTGCCTGCTACTACAATACAGTCGTCAATCGGAAATGGCTAGAGACGCGATCAGACAATGCTATATTGCACATAAGCCTAATTAACACTAAACCATGCCAGTGACCACACATAGTAGTACTGCTTTTTTATTTCTGTTTTTAGGAAGGACCAGGGCAATGGCTGACCTTAGACTCTCAGGTCATCATGGCTGAAAATGAGATTTGTGGCACAAAAGACCCGACCTTTCACCGTGTGCTTCTGGACACCCGCTTTGAGCTACCTTTAGGTGAAGTCACTGTACACTTTTGTCTCTTGTATTGGGTGTGCCAAAGAACAGCTTTATGTAACCAAAAAACTCAATGATTTTAGACATTCCAGAGGAGGAGGCTCGCTACTGGGCCAAGAAACTGGAGCAGCTAAATGCCATGAGGGACCAAGATGTGAGTTTTTTCTTTTCAGCCTTTTGAGTTTCCACTCCAGCACTGAGCCAGAAGGGCAGAGCAGCTTTTAATTGAACAAGTCTGTCACTCAGACACCCTGAGCGAACAGTGGCTTTATTACTTTTCTCCTCGTCCCACTGGTCCTTTCAAATGCTGTTCCAGTGACATAAAGAATATTAAAAATTATCTTGTCAGCACTTCAGTTGTTAGAGTCTAATATCTAATATGTATTGTTTATTGACGTAACAGTATTCCTACCAGGAGGAGCATGAGAGACCACTTCCAGTGCCATCAACACAGTGCTGTGAGTATACACTCAAATTCACAGACTCTCATTACACAAGATAATAACCAAGCCTCCCAACAGGTCAGAGGTACTAAATATCATTACAAGAAGTATCAGCTATCATAGAGGCTATATCATAAGCATTTCAGTATACATTGAACATGTCATGAGCATATGGTTCCCCAAGAGTCCAGTACAGACATTATACACTAATATTTCAAGTATGTGCAGCTGAGCATAAGCGAGGCTACATTGGACTGATTTCTGAGGCTAGACAGATTTTGAGTGATAGCTCTGATTAGGATTCGATGCTAACATACTACCCAGATCACAGCTAGCCTGCAGCAGGAAGGTCACTCTCCACCTTGGCTAATGTCCAGTTTGCACCCATGTCACGTCTGGCATAGATTCACTGCCTAGATTTATGAATCACCTGCTCATTCATGGTCACAGAGAGGCTGCGTTGTTTTTATAGTTGACTTAGTCTAAAGCTGATTTCCTCATTTCCCTTCTAGGTAACTGGAGCCTATGGGGGGACCAGCAAAGTAAGCAACTTTTTGTTGATTTTTATGAGTGTGCAAGTACAAAAAGTGGGTTTTATGTTTGTGTCTGTGTTTTTCCATTGTACTTACATAACAGAACATGCTAATTTCTAATAACACTAGCATCCCAATTATATTGCACAGAAAACACACCATAGGAGACAGCAAAGTTAAAACAGTATGTCACATTCATATCCAAACAGCTCTTGTTCTTGTACAATATTGTGTATTATTAAAGTAAACAATTCCAAAGAAGTTGGAACAGTGTGTGAAATGCTGCTAGAAACAGAAAGCAGTGATTAGTAAATTCTGTTTAAGCTGCCTTATTTGGTACAAAAATAAGTTATTTGTATTGTTTAATCTTATGAACTTTCTTGTTTGTTTTTGGACATTTACAATTATTATTATTTTATTTTTTTTATTTATGTATTTTTTTTTGTTGTCTGTGACACATTCTAAAAAAGTGGGGACAGGAGCATGTTTACCCCTACATCACAACAGCGTTCCTTTAACAACATTTAATAATCATTTGGGGACTGAAGACTAAGCAGTTTTGCAGAAATTTTTGTCAGTCAGTCTCCTGTTATAAAAGTCTTCAGTGGCAGAACCACACAGGGCCTTTGTTGTTGTATTTTGCACCACACATTTTCATTGAAACTGTGTGAAGTACAAGCATGCCAGTCTAGCACCCACACTCTCTTGCTCTTGTAACAATCTCGATACGACTTCATGTTGAAATAAACATGGACGATGTCTAGAAGACAACATATGTTGCTTCAAAATATCTTTCAACATTAATGATGTTTTCACAGATGTGCAATTTACCCATGTCATGAGCACTAATACACCTCCATACCATGACACACCCTGGTATTCTCTGTGGAAGCATATCAGTATCAAAATTAAAATAAAGATCATTTGTTAATCCACTTTGACGTGTATTTAAATGAAAACAGTGCAAATAAAAGATATTTAATGTTTTGGCTTATCAACTGAAAGTAAATCAGTATCAAAATAAAAATGAAAATGTAACATGCAAAATAGCAATGTAATCCTAAGTTTGAATTTCAGTTTTCCACTCATACATGCAGGCTTGGGCTCAGAATAAAGTTTAAAATTCAATAATTCTGTTTACATTTGCCAGTTGGTGCACTAGTGTTAACATTTCATTTACACAGAGATTTAGATCCTTTATGAATACCTTAGGTTTAATGTATTTCCAGAACTGCATATTCATGCTTTATGTGATTATGCAGTAATGGCGTCAAAATGATGATTAAAATGTAAATTAACTTCTATGCATATGCACCCTCTAATTTGCATTATGAAAGTGAACACCAAGCTAGAAAGATGTTAGAATTCAAAAGTAAATGGGAAAGAGTGCCTCTGCTCTTTGCAATTACCTATTCTCACCTACTGCGCTAATTCCGTGTCAAAATGCCTTTGAAAAAGCATTCGACCAGAATGAATTTTCATTTTCATGGTCTTCCCAACCTGTCAGTCATCCTGTTAGGGTGGAGCCAACAGCACACACAACAGAAAAGGATTTATCTGGACCATGGTGGCCAATCTTACATTAGAAGATGGAGTGAAACAAAGCAATATATCCACTTGTGATAGTTACTATGTCTTTATGCACGATCCCCCAAAAATCTTTCATCGAACCTGTTGTAGATTTTTCTGATTTAATAAGTGGCCATGGGTCGAAATTGTTGTCTGTGTCAGCCAACCATAGGCTACAGATAGAGAGTAATCCAGCATCTTCTTCTAATGTACACAGTGAGATTTGGATATATAGCTGTGTTCCACTATCTGTTACCGAAAAATGTACTCATGAAATGGTTTAGTTGTAACTAGTACTGGCACACATAGACATGTGTGAATCACATACCCGCCTTTTCAGTGAGTTGACAACAGCTGCTGTACTGTGTCAGTACTGTATCATATTTCAGCTGAATTCAGCTAGGGAGTCTATAATGTCCTGCTTTTTAAATGAATGTTACAAAAATCGCTTGATATGTGTGGGCGTCAGTGAGCTGGGTCATTTAGCCAGCTGGTAAAATCAGCAGATGGGGGCTTTGTTTGGGAATGTAGCATTAGCTAGCATTAACAATGGCTTTTAGTTTGCTTAATTCTGCAGCCTTCCACAATTTGTTTAGTGTATTAGCAGGTGAGGTGATGACAGGTCAGTATATCCACATCTGATGCTCACTTTGTAGAAGATATCCCTGCATGGCATCAGCTGGAAACTCTATGTCCAGCCTCACTTTCAGCCACCGTTGTCAAACCTATTTTCAAAGACGCAAGGCGTAGAGTAGTAATTTCACATTTACCTTTGAATTTTGACATCTTTCTAGCTTGGTGTTCACTTTGATAATGCAATTTTAGAAACATTGTTAGAGATTAAATTACATTTTAATTATCATTTTGACACCATTATTGCATAATGATGTAAGGCATGAATATGCAGTTCTGGTAATACATTTAACTTTAAATAAAGCTTCTCTAAAAGCATCTAATTCTTTCTTTAAATTAATTTCAACACTGTTGCTCCAAATGGCACATGTAAATGGAATTATTGAATTAGAATTTTCATTTTGAGCCCAAATTTGCACGTATGAATGGAAAATTTAATTTCAAACTTTCATCGATTTCATTGCCATTTTGCATGTTATGTTTTAATTTTAACTTTGATACTGATACACTTCCATAATTGATAAGGCAAAACATTAAATATCTTTTCTAAATACATGTCAAAGTGGATTAACAAATCACTGTTTTTATTTGCATTTCACATGCTGTGTCAACTTTTTTGGAATTGAGCACTTCCATGTCCACTGTAAGTGCTTGACAATTACATTTTACAATTACATCTGTCTGTGCTTCCAGATGATGATCCAGACAGCGCAGTAGATGACAGAGACAGCGATTACCGCAGTGAGACGAGCAACAGCATCCCTCCTCCCTACTACACCACGTCTCAGCCCAACGCCTCCATGCACCAGTACCCCATCCGACACATGCACCACAGTTCCCGCTATGACGACATGCATGACTATGACTACGATAATCAGAGAGCCATGAGGTAAGAAGCGCTAGGGTCTCTTAATGTGTTTGTAGCTTTGATTCCTTTTTTGAGTACTCTGCTCTGCAGCAGTGTAGATTGTTACTTCTTATGCTAGTGCAGCTGACTTCAGTGGATGTCTCATTGTGTGTAACTATGAATTCACTAAATCCTTGTCAACTTCCTCAGAGTATTCGTTGGTCCCTGTATACAAGTCCTTGGAAGAGCTGCCTTTGTATACACACCATGGGTGCTCACTGGCACCCTCCCATGACTCGAATACTGGAATCACCTATGAGCCAGTGCTCCTCCATAACCACTCGTTTTGCAACCCAATCCAAAACGTGCATCAGTCTTCTTTCCATTTTATCGTTCAAAGCCTATGTTCCCCAAACTGTTGCATTGCATGCTGGGATGCATTAGTACATAAAGACTCCATTCCCCCTTTGAAAGGCACACTCATTGAGAGGTTTTACAGCATTTTGTTAACTCCTGAATGGCTAAAGATTGTATTTATGCTATGAGACAGCTTTTGTAAAGAGTCTTTATGCAGCCTGGTGAACCAACCCCCACTGGCTACATTGGGCCTTATTGTGTTCACTATGGCTGTCCTTTCAAAGCTCGATGCAAAGAAGCCGTAACTTATGCTCCTCCTCTTCCTGCCTTGTCCCCTCCCCTTCCCTCCTCTCAGACGCTATGATAGTTTAGACTCCGCCACCAACGGCCGCAGTGATCTCGATTCGGCCTCCGGCTCAAGCAGGCGGACCAGCCGCCAGTACTCCTTAGACAGTAGGCACTCGCTCTCCGATAGGTGGGTCTCTGTAGCTCCTTCACCTCCACCCTCCTCTTCCTCCTCCTCCTGCTCCAGCCTGTGATTCCGTCCCGCTGTGATAATGTCGTGGAATTGGACGTGTCTGGTCCTGTGGTCCTCGCTGTGCTTGCATGCATGCGCACAAACCCTCTTCTCTTACATGCGTTCTCTACATTTATATTGATATTGATATATATATCTGTATCTCTTTTTCTCTACATATTCTATGCTGCACCGTGACTGCTGTGTCCTTAATGATGCTATTGTGATACATTTTGTGGTGCCTGGCCCTTGAATGTTTCCGGTTCTTTTTGCTCTCTGTTGTGCTGTGAAGTCTGAGTTTAGTGCCATGTTAGGTCGGTTCAGTGTTGTGAGTTACTTAAGGAGTATGGTGTGTGTTTTCTGCTGGTAGGCTGCTATTTGCTTGTCCTATGCCTGACAGAGTTAGTTTGCCACTCTATGATTCTGTGTGTCTAACTTCAGCTACAGTAATTACAGAGCTGTTAGAAAGCCCAAGCCCAGAGCTGGCAGCTGGCAAAGCTGCGTGGATGGATCGGGCCGTGGCAGAAGGGGGCACGTTTTACTGCATGATCTACTCTGGGTTCACTAGCATACTCTTTGTTCTGTGCTGGTAATTATGAGGGTATATGAAAGAAAAGAGCTGATAGACGTGTTTGGTGAGAAATAGACCCTGTGTCTCAATTCAAGCACTATGCATCATGTTCTCACACTCTACACTTTGTACTTAACTATCTAGTTTGTGGTTTTTTTACGGGTAGTATTGTCTCAAATCTAACATTAACTGTTTACACTAAATGAAAATGACAAATTTCGAAGTGACTTATGTCATTGAATCATTCCTCCAGGCAAACAGTAGGGAAGTGCAAGGACACTACAATACTCGGTTAACCATTCCAGGTGACAGTTTTTTAAACCTGAAATCATTAGTCAGGTATTTGTTACGTTGGCTAATCAGGGAGAAAATTTATAGGCAAACATTTGAGTGAAACACTGTTAACTTTGTAAGAGAGCTGTAAATTGCGACAGTTTTCCTCCTGTTTAAGATTAAGTACAACAAAACATAAGTGTGAGAATGCAGAGTTAGAGCAGCTGTAACTAGCATAGTAACTAGCAACTACTCCAGCTGGGGTAAGCTAGAACCAAAAACAATGGAAAAAAAGTATTTGTATCTGTTCTTAATGTTACCTCAGCAAATTAAGTAGAGCCATTATCTACTGCACCGGTTTGCTCTAGTGTTAGTGTTAGCTCTTAGGGGCAGCCTCAGTTACTCAAGCATAGTGACCAAAATATTTCTCTTGGGTATTTTAAAAATAATAATACATGTTTTAAAAGTACAGCTCTGTGAGCTCCTGAATTTGTTAGCCTTGTAGTGCCAGTGCAATATCATTATCATTAAAGCTTACAGATACTCAAGTAAAACACCAGTGTTTACCCTTAGAACCCAAGTTATTAGTAGTTTTTCTGTACTATATAAATGTAATACATTTACATATTTGTATTTGTAAGTAAAATAAAATAAATAAAATAAAATAAATCTTTTTTCTTCTATTTGTGTCATTTGTTGCACAACAGTACCTGCTCATCGAATTCCAATCATAAAAGGTCTCCCCTTGAACACAAATTTGGCAGCAAAAGTCTAAAATCCACATTTCAGGCAGAATTTCTCCATGTGTTTTAATGAGCTATGATTAAGAATGAACAAATTTAAGACAACTTTGGTTATTTAAAAGGGAAGACATTTAAGTACTCTGGGTTAAAACAGTAGATGAGCTTATACTAAGGCTAACAGTGTAACGTTAGAGTGACTCGGTGTCACCGAGTTGCAATTTTATTCTATTTATAAACATCTATTAATCGCTGACTAAAGAACTCAATAGGTTGCTAGGCTAAACATAGACATCACTATACTATTTTATACAACTATAGTAACATGCAATTTACTTTTGAACAGTGTAAACCTTTAACATTTACATTTTTTTGGTAGCATCAACTGTTTTTGTTACACCAGTGACAACTGAATTCTAAGGGTTATCAATGAAAATATAAACTCTTTGTGCTCCTACTTTGCGTTTGTGTCTCGGTCTATGAGTTTTAAGGATATTTTGAAAATTTCAGTCTGCAGTGGTCTCAGCCCGGTATTAATATACAGTGCATCACTATTGTATTTCCCAGAGAGAACACACTATAGAAGTACTCGATTTGAGACACAGCTACAGTGGAAATTGTGTGTGTGTGTGTGTGTGTATGTGTGTATGTGTGTGTGTGTGTGTGTGTGTGTGGGTGCGCGTGTGAGTATGTAAGAGTGAGACTGAAGGTGTCAAAAGATAAATAGTTGAGTTCAGGTTAACTCAATAGGTATAAATTGTTTGTGCAGTCTATGAGTGGGTGGTGTGTGAGCTACTCATATTTTCTTCTGTCAGCAAATCAGGTACATTCTCTGTTTGTGGCTCAGCGCCTGTTAAACTTTCCAGCTATTCTTCTTGTCTTTTAATCATTATTGAATCTGATGACCTATAATCTGTGAGGTTGAAATTAGTCTGTCTATGGAGGGTTTATTTTTTTTTTCTGACAAAATTAATTAAGTAAATGAATAAACAAATAAATATGTGGCATAATGGTGCAATAAATTAATAAATACAAAATTAGGACCGAGACATAACTACCAAACTGAATTAACGCAAACTAGCTAACTAATTAAAAGGTAATAAAGTGAGCTAAATGTTACATCACTTTCAGCTAACTAGGTAGCTAACTGTAGATTCAGTACACATACAGTTAACACCAACCCCGGGCATAATTTTTTTAATAACTTTGTTTTCTTGGCTTCTATTAAACTTCTCCAAAAAAATAAACAATTGATATGATATGAACCAAACCAATAAGCTGTGATATGAACAAGAAGCATCAGAAGCTAGGATATTTTGGTGCCAGTCACTCTGTCTGGGAATTATTCTGTTTGTTGGACAAACAGATAATACTGTGATTTTAAACTGGAGCAAAAAAGTCATCTTATAGGAGAAGCTGAGAGCCTTTTTTAGATCATAGTTCTCACTATGGATATCTTCAAGACATGCCCTCTTAAATGAACAAAAAAGTTTATGTCGACAACATTCGAGCACAACTGTTGTTTGAACAAAGGCATACATTCTAACTTAATTCTGGCTATTGTCAAAGTCCTCCTTATATGAAAATCTGTCCACTCGGCAGCCACTTCGGTAACAAGGCAGTTATTACCAGTCATACAAGATCGGCTTGTATTTTTTTTTAGCGTGGAGAAACTCAAGGCCAATTTAGCATTTCAAAACATTGTTGAAATCACTGGTAAAAACAGACAAATATCCCAATAACACACAAAAAAATATGGCTTTGTGTTTTTGGTCAATGTGGCTACTGCACTTACACATATCTTCACAACTGAGCCCAAGTAGAGGGGGGCTTTATTTCCATGCAGCATAATCAGCAAGCCGATTGGCTCTTTTCATTCAGGGGGCGTTTCTCAGACGACATGTTGGGCGTTACGAGCTTTCCTATTCACTTTTCATAGTGACCTGTCTCTTCCTTTATCACTGTAGCCAGGCTGTTGGGGAGTTGTTGGAAAATATGGTGCTGTGGGCAATAAATGACAATTAGATTAAGTTAAAATAAACTAAAAAGGAGCTTTATTTAAGCTACTGAACTTTAGCCATCAGTAACTGAACTGAGGAGCAGCAGTGGCCATGTTAAACTGCAGCTGTTATAGGTCTTTCCACAAATACTCTACCAAACACCAGTCTCTGTAGTTTGATGTGCCAAAATGACAGTTTAAAAAGCTGTTTTTCATGCCTTTAATATGAATGAAATAAATAGCTGAATACATAAATATACATATTTATTTACATAATTTAATAATTACACTCATTCATTAAAATACATTTTTTGTCACATTTAATTATTTACGTTAATTTTAATTTATACCATTATTTATTTATTGCCACATCACACTATATTCAGTCGTATGTAAAAGTTTGGGCACTTCTGGTCAAATCATTTTTTTTCTTGACCAAGTACACATCTTCTACAGAGAGCTTACTTTTTCATTTTAATACACACTTTATTTTTCTATTATTTATTTGCTGAATTCAACATGTTGGAAAAAAATAAAATATAAGATGTGGCCTGTGCAAAAGTTAGGGCACATTTTATGTTTGTTTTATTTTTATCCACTATGTTCAACTCCACAAATAAATAGAAACTGTGCACTATAATTTGCAGAAAAATGTCATATTTAAGTTTGTTTCCTGTAGAAGATGTGTTAACTAGATAATCAGGAACATTTGATATTTGGGTATTCAAACATTTACATGTGACTGTATTTAATTATGAAATATTTGATTCATTTGGTCAAAAAAATATATCTCTTGTCTCTCTTTCTCTCCCTCTCTCACCCTAAGATGAACGAATTTGTTATCACTATAGACTGTTTCTTGGGTCTTACGTTGCTTTTGTGTTTTGAGTTCCCTCAGTGGTAGAGGGCAGCTTCTTTGTTAATGTGTTGTATCTGAGATTTGCTGTCTGCTTCTTATACAAATCAGTGTTACTTAATTACTGTTAATTACTTGAACTTCTTTTCCGTTATGTTGCACTGGTCTTCCACACTCCTGCATTCACACACACAAACACACAGACAGAACCTGTACCTTTTACCTCTTTGTCAGTGCTCCCACTTTTTTCCCCTGACACTCTCACTCTTCTCCTAATGAACCGCACCTGTCCTAGTTCCACTTCCCCGGTTGCCTTCCCACTTGTGTCTGACTGCTCCCTTTTTTCCGCAGCCCCACAGGCTCCAGCCGCTATGCCTCCTCGGGTGAGCTGAGCCGTGGCAGCTCCCAGCTGAGCGAGGAGTTCGGCCCCGAGGATGGTGAGAGCTTCCGCGGTTCAGGAGAGTTCTACGACGAGAACGATTCCTACCACTCCTGCCACTCCTCGGTCAGCTACGGCAAAGACTCACCTGGCTGGGACCCAGATGAGCCTCAGGGCGTCTATAGTGATGAGGGCAGCTACATCAAAGATGGTGGGGAAGAAGGCGCTCTGTACGAGGATGAAGATGGAGAGATCTATGAGCAGGAGGAAGGGGATTACCCCTATGAGGAAGAGGAGGAGGGAATGGTCTATGAGGAGGATGAAGAGTACCCTCTGGACGGCATGCTCAGCGAGGACCAAGATCTGCCCTACACGCCCACCCCAACCAGCGTGGCTCCTTCGTTGGCTCCAGAGATCTCCAGTAGCCGGCCACCTCTAGAGAAGCAGACGTCTCTGCACCAGCAGCAGCCCCCACAAACCCAGCCACCATTCCAGCCCACGGAGCTTCACACGGAGGCTGTGCCAAAGCAGCAGAGCTTCGATGATTTTAGCAAACCCCCCAGCCCACCCCTGGACTCCAAGCAGGAACCCTTTGCCCCTGCAGCACTTCCACAGACACCTCCAGCAAAGCCCATGGAGGAGCACCATCCTCCAGCTGAGCCTTCAGCCACTGAGCACCCACCTGAAGCCCTGCCTGAGAAAACCGAGGCTCCCCCAGAAAGGTGAATAATAATGAAAGACTGAAAGCAGTCAGCAAAACCATGGCAAAGAAAGTCTAGTGCAAAGTACTGGAAGAGATTCAGTGACAAAGAAAGGGTGTGAGAGGGTCTGTACTGATAGAGGAGCTCCGGTATAATTGTGTTAGTAATCGAGTTGTCTAGCAATTATTTTGACGATTGTTTGAGTAATCATATATACACAATTTATAACAGAATACATTTAGTTTTACTTCATGCACATGACATTTTTAGCTACAAACATATGCACATTTGGAGATGCTGCTGGGTCTCATGGAAAATGAAAATTTAAAGGATGATTTAAAAAAAAAGTACTTGATTTAATTGAGTAATAGTGACAGCCATAGTTAGTTAACTTTGTGCTGAATACAGGATAATAGTGGTAACCAGAGATTGCATGACACCAATACCGATATTGGGTCCTTGAGTATCAGCTGACATCGATCCAATGTTTTCTTTTTAAAAACTACTTAACTTTAAAATTAGCTATTTCTCATTGACACAATGTGAGTGTGTGGTGTTTCGAGCTAGATTTGTTACAGAAGTAGATCAGATTAATTGTTTTTTTCCATCCAATGTCTGATCCAGCATTTTCTGCTGATAACGGCCCGATACCGATAGAAGATGGAAAGTGTATCAGAAAGAAGTATCAGATTTGTGCCATCTCTTCTAGTATCCAATAAAGTCAATCTAGAATAAGCTAGACTTAGTGGGAAGTGATTGCTTTTTAAGCAGTCAAAGCTAACCTCGTATCCACAGAGCAAAAAGTATTGGGAAAAAAAATCCAATTTTTGCTCAGATCTGATATTTCTAACTTAATGGCTCACATTTGTGTATTTGAGTGACTCAAATCTATGATTAATGTGAACAAACATGAAATGACCACGTGCACATCGTAATAAAAAACGTCACATGAATGAAAGGCGTTCATGAACAACAAACTAAGTAGCACAACAAGCCTTTGTGTCAAAGATCATTTGTTCTAAACTACTTTCAGCTGCTGATTATTACAGTAAGATGAAGGTTGTCCTTGCTCTAACACACCCACTTCAACTCAGGAAAGGTTTGTTGAGTAGCTTATTAGTGGGATCAGGTGTGTTTGAGCAAGTAAAGCGCAAATGCAGGGCAGGAGTGATGTACGTTCAAAACACAGGGAATCACTAACTTATTTGGTATAATAAGGTAAAGACAACAATACAGCAAGACAAAAAAGAATATATTGGGCCCCTAATGTAACATTTTAGCTATAATATTCATTGTCTCTTTTTTTCAGTGTGACGAGGCGTGATGAGCTGGTGGACCCTGCTGAGAGGGCCAAAGCTAACTGGCTGCGACTCTTCAACAGGGTGCGCCTTCAACTGCAGGAGGTGAGTGAGAGTGTCACCCATCCAGACACTGGCACCGACTCCCTGGGCTGCCCTGTTTTTCGTGTTTCGCCGGAGAGTGGATGCGGTTCGGTGAAGCTGACCTAGGGCAGCCAAGGGACACATACAGCAAGAGCAGAGCAAACTATTTGTGTGGATTTTTTCTTAGCCCTCACTTCGGTTCTGTTTGCCAGAATCACTCCATTAGCACTTTTTGTGTGTGTTTTCACTCCTTTGCTTGCCTGTGTTTTCCATTTCTATTATTCTTTCTGTTGTTATATGAAATCATTTGTTAATTATTTGATTGTTATTCAGTTTTCTTTTGAACTTTAAGTTTGCCCTTTATTTATGTTCGTCTTCCACCCCATTGTTGTTTTGTGTTTTTCTTTTCAGTTTTGTGTCATTGCCATAGCGATTGTCTTGCTCTCTCCTGATTGGCCAAGGCTGGATAAGCTGTCAGAAAGGTGGGTGTGTCTCTGTGTGGACTGAAGTAAGCAGTCTCCCTGCTGAGGAACTGCTGCCTTCAGCTTGGGAAATGGATTTGCAGTTATGGGAAAATGATGATCGTAGATAAAGTTAAAGCTAGCACATGTATCCGGTTTCATTATGCACAAGGGCTACCTATGACGTCAATGAGAGCAGCAGGCGCACATCTCCAGGCCCCTTCTGGGTCCAGTCACAAATCAAACTATGGCCTTTTCCTCTAATAGAAGCAATGCCCAACGAAAATAACAGGCTGTGGGTTTCGAATTGTTGTAATTGAGGAATTTAATATAGTCTAGCAGAGGGAGGAAGAGATAATTGATGCACCTCTGAGTCTGAACCTGTGTCTCTGGTGTCTGCAGGCCCGGGGCGAAACTCCTGGACTGGCATCACTGTTTCTACAAGCTGGGTGAGTGACATGGAGAAAGTAAAAGAGTGCTGAAAGTAATGTCATTTTTGGCCAAAAGCCCAGTGACGCATGTGAACAATACCTTTGGGAAAACAGAATGATGCTTAAGCTCATAGAGAGACTCAACAGCTACAAAACCCGAACTTCAATTTGCACTAATGTCTACAGCTTTAACTGTAATTGACTTGGAAAAATTAGTCACCTGGAAAGCAAGTGAGTCAGTATACAGCACTGTGCAAAAGTCTTAGGCACCTAATCACAGAGTGTAAACCACTTACATTGGCAATTGTTTGTTTTTGCCAGTAAATATATATCATTAGAATAGATGCCGACAAACATAAGTACAGTAAAAAGCAAGAATTTTTTATTTTTGAAAAAAGTAGTAGACATATATTGTGATCTAGTTTGAAGAGCAAAGTTTGGTTCCAGATTTCTCCTCGATGCCCTCAGCCATCACATGGATTTGTTAAATTCAATCGCCAGCACACTTGATTCAGGGCAAAGAAGCATTAATTACCCAAATCAAGTGTTGTATGATAACTACAATTAATACTAGGCTGCCATAAGGAGATAATTAGGCATGGTTAAACGAACACATTGAGATATGTAAAGTCACTAATTTTTATATTAATGTTATTTCTATGTATTCTAATATTAGTGTTTTTTCAGAGCAAATAAATGCTTACTCGCCAGATAAACAGCTTTTTCATTCTAATTTGCTTAGATGCCTAAAACATTTGCACAGTACTATATATTAACAAATAAATAAATAAATAAATGCATAAATAAATAAGTTGCACAATGCGATGCCCTCAAACATGCCTACAACAAGCAATGAACTATGTTGAACACAAGGGTGATGATAAAAGGTTCATTTTCAGCTCTTTTCACCTGTGTCTTTGCGCAGGCCTGGAGGAGCTCTGTACAGCATAGACAGCATGCCTGACCTGCGCAAACGGAAGGCCATCCCTCTGGTCCGAGATTTGGTGAGTCATGTTGATGGTCACAGTGTTCTTGCTCTGCTCAAGGTTTCTACATAAACTGCACTCTCATGGTATTAACAGCCCAGCAGCCCTGTAGGCTTATAACCCATCAGTGAGATGATCCTGTTTGGCTGGCAGGGTTTGGTCACTCCTGGTTCCTGGGTTGACCATTATTGAGACTTACTCAGCTCAAGTTTCAACTCTGATTAATGAGTTTTGTTCACTCCCTCTCTCAAAATCTCTACTCCCTTGCTTAGCTATGTATTCTATGTGTGAACCTGTTTCCACTCTTTGCCTCTTTACCTTGTTTCCCCTCTTTGGCCTACTTTCTGAACTTGTTTGTAATTTATTCTTGATTCTTCACTTACATTTCTATTTATATCCCAGATCTCTTCACCTGTGGTTCTAGTTTTATTGAACCTGTATATTTCGTGGTGATGCGTGTGTGTTCCTCTGTCATTGTTTGAAGAGTTGTTTCTTTCTGTGATTGACTCCGAGAAGATGGAGTGTCTAAAGCAGCACATCTCTCTCTCTCTCTCTCTCTCTCTCTCTCTCTCTCTCTCTCTCTCTCTCACTTTCTCTTTTATTTTCCCTTTCTGTACAAAATCACGTCATGGCTGTCTACATACTCCCTCTCTGCTTCTCAGCATTATCACATCTGACGATGATAAGTCTCTTTCTTTGAGAAATGAATAACAATATCCATTTACTGCCTCAGATTGTAAAGGGATTTCATTTTTCTTGTAGCAAAAATACCATCAATCTTAGACAAGAGACTACTCAGTGTGGTCGAGTCAGGGAGTTTAGTCCCAAAAACAGCAGATACCAGTGTGCCTATTGCTGTCATGCATTAATATTGTTTTTTTAGTTTTAGCAGTAGTGATGGATAACAAAAACATACTTAATTAAAGTGCTTTAAAAATAGTTCAAAATACAGTGATGTCCAAAAGTCTGAGCCCACATTGAAAATCTGGGATTTTTTTTATTTTAATTTGATGAAGAATACTATTCAAAATTCTACTCTATTTAAATTTAAGCAGATTTGTGGCATTGATCATGTTAAGGTCTTTGGACAAAAAGATCTGTTTTTTATCGTGTTATCGCTGTCATTAAAGCAACAAGTGGACATTCAGAAATTCATGTAAATATTTTAGAGATTCTACTTTTCTTTCACTTGTTATGCTGATGTTATCATTTGTAATGAAACATATTTGTATTAAATGAGAAAAGAATGTAAAATAGAAGCATAGGGTTTCTGTCTGGTTAACAATACTGTCTAAAGTTCCCTTCAGTGTCATTTTAAGACAGTCCACATAACACAAGCTTTGTTAGGTTTGTGAGGCTTAATTTAACAAAGTATTCCAGAGCTCATTATGCCAAAACATGGGTTCATTAACTTTATTAAGGCAGACTTATCATGATACCGTGACATATTGGCAAAGTACTGATAATGAATTTTATTAAAATTGCCCAGTACTACTCCAAGGATGGCAGGACAGGGATATGTGGGTGCTGCTAGATGATATACTTGATTCAGAACATTTCAGAATCAAGGTTGCAGTAAATGGACTAAAGGAAGCAACCTTAGACGAAGGAGACTGTTCAGTCTCTGAATGCTCTCCAAGTTTTGAGTCTGACTCAAGTGAACACCGCTGGCTGAAACTGAACAGACCTAACTGTGAAACTTCTGACTCAGGCTGAACGCTCTGACTTAAACCGATCACGATTGACGTGAGCACTGTTACATGCTGTGTCAGAGAAGGCAGCAGCACCACTCTCTGCTCCACGCTCTGAATCCCTGTTGAAGAGGGAAAAAATTTGCATACTGCACTAAATAGTCCAGCGGTTTGTCTGTTTTAATCCAGCTTACTGTCAACCATGGGAGCTCTCCATGTTGGAGCTGGCCAGCCTGACAGAAACAAGTGCTGACAGGAATAGGATTAAAATGCATGTCAAACACAATTCATCTGGGACACAAAAGACTGGCCTCCCTGCTCACCTCTTCCTCTCCTTTTCCTCCCACTCTTCTTCTTCTTCTCCACTTTCTATTCTGCCTATTTTCCTCTTCACTCTCTTTTCCATCTGACTCTTAGTCCCTATATTGCGGTTACGCAAGCACTTTTCAGAGCTTGTTCATTTTAGATCAGACAGTCTCTATTGCCTTATGATGACTTTGGATTGATCTCTCAAAGGCTTTTTCACAAAGGCTTGTCTGTTTTATTAATGTGATTGTACTTTGATTTATTTAAAAAGGGTTTTGGATGTTGAGAATTTGTCTTCATAGTAATGCCTTGTTTTCTTTTTTCTTTTTCTTTGCCCCAAACACTTCATGTACAACAGGCAATGGTGAGTTTTTATTATTTTTTTGAGTTATAGTTGGGAAAAAGTTACATGATAATAGAGAATTGTCTTTCTTCATATACACATAAAGAACATTTTGATATTGTGTCCTATTCAGTTAATGATTAGCCAAGCATTACATGATTTCCATGTATGCATAGCATATTTAGAATTAGATATTTTGACTGAAGATTATATACACAGAAAGTCAGATACTGCCTATTATTTGAGAAATTTCCAGTCAAAACAACTGTTAAGTACATTATTATTTCTGGGGAGATTAGATGTAAAATGATGCACTTGCATAAAGAAGGGGAAGGTAAAAACAAAGTGGAAAAACTGGAATTTCCAAAACTGGAGTTCAAAGAATTAATAGAAGGTACAGTGAGAATGGGACTTCTAACAAGTAAGGAGCTCGTAGACCACCAAAACGGTCCCCATCAGATAAACACTACTTAAAGCCTTCTGCTGTGAGAAGATGTCTCAAAGAAGTCTTAAAGTATGAGTCAAGAAGTTGATACTGAGAAAAGAAAATAGACAAAAAGAAGAACAGTTGCTCTGGAACGCCTTGCTAGACATCTGGTTTTATGGACTGATGAGACCAAATTTATAATTGAGATTACTTTCATTATGAGAAGCAGAAAATGCAACCAACTTCTAAGACTGAACTTTAATTTCTTAGAAAAACTGAAAACAAGTCCCCTGAAAAGAATGGAAGCTGCAATAATTGCAACGGCTGGACACACTAAATACTGAAAAGTTTGGAAGTATATTTAATACACCTTGAAGCCTTCTGGGTAATTTTCTGTTAAAATTATGTTTTCTATTTCTTTCTGTTGTTTAAAAATAAAGAAGTTGTACTCAATGGCTGCTTTGACTGGAAATTCAATAAACAGAGGGTGGTCTCTGACTTTTGCACCATGTTATACATATTAATTTTTTGTTTTCTCCTTCAGTCCCTCGTTCAGAACTCCCGCAAGGCTGGAATCACCTCAGCGATGGCCTCCAGCACTCTCAACAATGAAGAGCTGGTATGCTCACACATTCTTTCACCCTCTTTTTCCTCATCTCTGTTTGATTTACCTTTTTTTTTTTACTGACTTGATTTGTTATATCCCCATGTGCAGAAGAGTCATGTATATAAGAAGACCCTCCAGGCTCTTATCTATCCCATCTCTTGCACTACACCCCATAACTTCGAGGTGTGGACAGCCACCACACCCACCTACTGCTACGAGTGTGAGGGGCTGCTGTGGGGAATCGCACGGCAGGGCATGCGCTGTACAGAGTGTGGGGTTAAATGCCATGAGAAGTGCCAGGACCTGCTGAACGCTGACTGTTTGCAGAGTAAGGCCTCATGTCGTGGGAAAAACATCACTGCAGATCTTTGATCTTTGTCTGTTTGGTCCCTGTTTTCTGTGTTCACCAAGTGAATATATGATACCATTCTCACTGTACAGACATTCTACCGAAATTTATTACAGGTAGTTTGTGTTTTATTTTCTGCAGTGGGGATCATTATGCAGATTTAATTTGTTCTGAAATCTAGTTTATGCAGTGTCTGCTTTTTTGTCTGAACTTTGGAGATGTTTTGAAGCTCACTAATGAATTGCTAATGAGTCTCAGTCAAGTTGTTTGTGCAGTAGTTCTAAAACTTTCCTCACATCCTTCCATCTCTCCCTCACTCTGTTTATTTCCTGTCTTTCAGGAGCGGCAGAGAAAAGTTCTAAGCATGGTGCAGAGGACCGCACACAGAACATCATTATGGTGCTGAAGGACCGCATGAAGATCCGAGAAAGGAACAAGCCAGAGATCTTCGAGCTCATCCAGGATGTGTTTGGAGTAATTAAGGCCACTCACGTCGCAACGATGAAGCAGGTCAAACAAAGCGTCCTGGATGGAACATCCAAGTGGTCAGCCAAGATCAGCATCACAGGTCAAGAGTCACCTACCTACACTGGCACACATCGGCCGTTCTGTGACTGCTCACGTCACAGTCTAGCTGTACAATGAGGGATAGTTTTTCTGACCTAGATTATCTGTTGGACAAAAAGAAAGTCATCATGTAAACTACTTTTGTCGTATACAAGGTTGCAGACTATGCTCAAATTTACAGAAAGTACATAACAAAATGGCAAGCGTCTGTTAATCCTTGGTAATTTTGACTGTCCTTAAATTTTTTATTATATACAACCAGTTCTTGTTTTATTGCGTACTACTCTTATATTACTATACAAAATATGTAGTAGTATGTATTATATACTTGTCACATACAGTTCTATGCAAACATTTGGGTACCTTTGGCCAAATTACATGTTTTGATGATTTTTAGGTAAAAAGTAAAGACAATATAAGAATAAACACAGCCTCTGCAGTAAACTGTTTTAAAAAATAGCATTTTACTGCAAGTGTTAATGTGCAGTTATTTTATATTTGATTATATCACAGCTCACAAATGCTTTTTGTAGCCATCTAGGAGTCTTTCTATTCTTTTTATTCTAGGAATTTCCACCCACCACTCTTCCTTGCAGAAGACTTTCTAGTTATGCGATATTCTTGGGCCATCTTGCATGCACAGCATGTTTAAGATCTACTCAGAGATTTTTAGTGATGTTCAAGTCAGACAACTGTGAGGGCCATTACAAAACCTTCAGGTTGTGTTTCTTGAAGTGCTCCATGATATGTGTTTTGGATCATTGTCCTGTTGTAGAAGGCAGCCTCTTTTCAGCTTCATTCTTTACTGACTGTGTTTCTAGAATTTGCTGATATTTAGTGGAATCCATACTTCCGTCTACCCAGTCAGTGTTTCCTCAAGTACCAGCTGCCACACAACCCCAAAGCATAAAAGATTAACCCATCTGCTTAACATTTGGCAAGTGTTCTTTACATCAGATGCTGTTCAAGTGCTTTGCTATCATATGGCAGTTTTACTTTGCCTTTCTGGCTAGCATATGAGCAGTGTTAGCTGAGAGTTTTCTTGGTCTTAAGATCTTGCCTTGACTTCTACAGTTTCCCTTAACTGCAATTTCTTAATTACAATTCAGACAGTGAAAACTGTAAACCAGAAGCACTTTAATATCTTTTTATAACCTTTCCCTGCCTTGTAGGCAACAGTTAGATTCATTTTCAGGTCCTCAGCCAGCTGCTTAGAGGAGCTCATAGCTGTTGAGTGTTAGCACAAGGTTTGAATTATCAGAAAATTTATTATGCTCTGGAATTCTTGACCTGCCTAACCACTCCTAAAGAGTCAATCGAGGTCTAACAATCTAATCAATTTCTAAGACTTTATTACTTTATAACTGCATATGCAGAACAATGTTATTGTTTAATATTTTGCTGCCGAGGTTGTGTTTACTTCTTTTTATGTCAAAAATCTACAGTGGTGCCTAAACCCTAGTATACCACTGTGCATATGAATCCATGTATAATTGGGCAAATTCACTCACTAACAAGAATATAAACCAAGATTCCTCTGGATCAAAACATGGTGTTGCATAGGCTCGACATTTGTTATGCAGAACAACCCACCTTTGAGCATTATGGATGAGTGCGTGGGTGACTGTTTTGCTGACTTGAAAATAGCAAAGGAGATGAATGTAAATGCATGAAGAGCTCTGTGCAGAGAGAAAAATGTTTTGAGCAAAGAACTTAAAAGAGGCTTGTCCAAAGCACTTAAAATTGTTTACTCTCTTGTTTGCTAAATCTGCAGATCTAAAACCAGCACCATAGAAAAAAAATGCAGCGGTGTCTTTAGTTGTTTGTTTTTTGGGCAACATGCAAACAAAATGCACTGACTGGAGATAGAGCGTGTGCTGCTGTTTGGATTTAGGGATGTTTGTCCTGGTGCTTTCCATAGACATTGTAGCTGCACTTCATGTTAGATGCATATAAAGTGCTCTCAAAAACTATCATAACTAACAACACTGGGGGGCTCTGAAATAGCTTTAATGTTTTGCAGAGATTTTCAAGCATTTACTAAAGCAGATATGTTGAAATGTATGACAGCAAAGCTGTATAGATCTTGTTTTGTTTTAAATACATTATGTCAACAAAGAAAAATCAGGCACCTTGGTAAAATTGTTGAAAATTTGACCATGTCAGTAAAAAACAACAGTCAGTTGTTATGGTCATATGCCAACAGTAACTGGTTTTGAGAAACTATCACCAACTAATTGTATTTTTGTTTTAGAATAAGTTTGTAAGTTTTTGCATGCTGCTGCTGGATCAGAAAGATTTTGGCTGATGTAACAATATGAAAGAGCAATTGAGCTGTGCCCTAAATCCATTACTCTCCACAGTGTTATGTGCCCAGGGCCTCCAGGCCAAGGATAAGACTGGCTCCAGTGACCCCTACGTCACAGTGCAAGTGGGCAAAACCAAGAAAAGGACTAAGACCATCTACGGCAACCTTAACCCTGTGTGGGATGAGTCCTTCAATTTGTAAGTGTTTGCTTTTGCTAAAATGTTTGTCTTAAATGTTAATGAACATACAATTACATGATTCTTCTTATTATAGTTTTCTAAACTTTTAAATTATCATTCCTTTTATTGGAGATAAAGATTTTTAAAAACCTGTATCACCTATGTGAAAAAATAATCGTCCCCCTAAACTTAATAACTGATTGTGCCACCCTTGGCAATAACAACTGCAATCAAACATTTGTGATAACTTACGGTGAGTGTTTTACATCACTTTCTGCCCACTCTTCTTTGCAGAATTGTTTTAATTCAGCTAATTTGGAGGGTTTTCGAGCATGAGTTGCCTGTTTAAGGTCTTGCCACAGCATCTCAAGTCAGGAATTTGACTCAGCCACTCCAAAATCTTAATTTTCAGGTCAACTCGCTTGTGTTCTTTAGATCATTGTCCTGCTGTATAACTTAACTGCACTTGAACTTTAAGTCACAAACTGACAGGCGGATAGGCAGAATTCCTGGGTCCATCAGGTATGTCAAATTATGCAGGTCCTGCAGAAGCAAAGCAGCCCCAGACCATCAAACTGCCATCACCATGTTTGACTGTTGGTTTGTTCTTATGGTGGAATGCAGTGTTAGCTTTACACCAGATGTAACAGGACCCATGTCTTATAAAAAGTTCCACCTTTCACTCATCAGTCCACAGAATATTATCCCACAATTGTAGATTTTTTCAGGCAAATGTGAGACAAGCCTTTGTGTTCTTTTTGGTCAGCAGTGATTTACACCTTGCAGCTCTCACATAGATGCCATTTTTGCCCAGTGTCTTTCTCATTGTGGAATTGTGTGCATTTACCTGAACTGAGGCAAGTAAGGCCTGCGGTTCTTTAGATGTTCGTCTGGGTTCCTTAGTTACCCTTAGTCTTTGATGCGCTCTTGGTGAAATTTTGGTTGGCCGGCCATTCCTGGGAAGGTTCACCACTGTTCCAAATTTTTTCCATTTGTGGATAATGGTTTGCATTGTGGTTTGTTGAAGTCCCAGAACCTTAGCAATGGCTCTGTAAGCCTGTCCAGACTGGTAGATTTCAATGATCTGTATTGGAAACTTTTTAGAATATGAAATCATGTGCTGATTTTTGAGACCTTCTAGCCTGTTTCACGTTGGCAGACAGGTTCTATTTAAATGATGTTTAGATTCATCAGGTCTGGCTGTAATCATGCCTGTGTGGACAGTGAAATTGAACCTGAAAAACATTTTATGTTTACTTAGGTTATCTTTGTCTGATGTTAAAAGTAGTTTGATGATCTGAAACATTTGAGTATGACAAATATGCAAAAGGTTTGGAAGGGGCAAATACTTTTTCACAGCACTGTATATGTACTGTAAACTCATGAATTAAAAAGTAGTAGACTACAACAAGACAGGAAGAGATGTGTATGCATGTGATTTCTTGAATTATGTACGTGTATAAGTTTTTACTCTTTATTTTATGTGTTAAACTTCTATAACTGTTAATCCGTTTTTCCCATTTACAGTATGTTTTTACCTGTGTTTACAGCACATTTGGGTTGCATGATCAAAATATACAGATTGTTGTGTCTCTTTATTTATTGCAGTAACAGGTTGTTATGGTAGTGTTTTAACTGATTTCCCCAGTGGGAAAGAGCACCTATGAGGGCACAGTTTGATTTAGATGGAAGGTAACATGTTTTTAAGACAAATATTTGAATCTTCTTGTAGATGTTTGATGTCTAGTTTTGGTTATGTGTTTGTAGTTTAGGGAACAATGTGCATTATTTCAGGAAATATGTCTATGCTGTTGAGAAAGACTGTAAGGAACTAGCTTCAGATTGCAAGGAAACCATTTGATGTAAGAGGATATAAATTAGGCCGAGTCTGATCTCTACTTTCAGCGAGTGCCACAACTCCTCAGATCGAATCAAAGTGCGAGTGTGGGACGAGGACGATGACATCAAATCACGTGTGAAGCAGAAGTTCAAGCGAGAGTCGGATGACTTCCTAGGGCAGACTATCATCGAGGTGCGAACACTGAGCGGAGAGATGGATGTCTGGTACAATCTGGGTGAGTCAAATTTCAACTTTCGCAATGTTTGTATTAGGGAAGCCAATATAAGAATGTTAATTAAAGTCTATGCTGGTGCATAGACTTTTATTAAATAGAAAATGTGGGACTAGATTTGTAATCCTGCTATATATATACATTTTAGCATAGCAACCCAGCATTATCTAGCCACTCTGCTCTTCCTGTACAATAAATACATTATCAAATATCAGTTTAAAATCTAAATGTCTATCCAATGCCTAACTTCTCATTAATACTTTATACACCATTTTACAATGCAGCTGCTCTACAACAGTGGTCACTAACACTGGTCCTGGAGATCTAACTTCTCATGTCTTTGGTCTGCCTCTTGTACAGACAAGCGTACAGACAAGTCTGCTGTGTCAGGAGCCATCCGCATGCACATCAGCGTGGAGATCAAAGGAGAGGAGACGGTGGCTCCTTACCATGTCCAGTACACCTGCCTTCATGAGGTCAGTATGCCACTCAACTTACATGGGCAACAATGATAGTGATGTATAGGAGCTAACATGGATGGTGCTTTCCAACCAGATTTAGTTTAAAAAAATCTAGTCTGTAAAATAATTCAGATTGGTAAACATCATCCCTTTCTATGTGCAGAACCTCTTCCACTATGTGACAGACCTCCAGAATAATGGTGTGGTGAAGATTCCAGATGCTAAAGGGGACGATGCCTGGAAGGTCTACTTCGAAGAGACACCACAGGAGATTGTGGATGAATTTGCTATGCGTTACGGAGTGGAATCTATTTACCAAGCCATGACGTGAGCATCTGTCTGAAGGACAATTAATAACATCAGTATAATAATTTATTAATCCTTTAGAGAGTTTACTTTAGTTTGGCATCAGTGCCATTTATACTCAGGATAAGAGCAGCACAGAGTTATTTTCTGAAGTAAAATCTGTGAAAGATTGATTTAATATGTCTATTTTTTTTTGTGTTAGACACTTCGCTTGTCTGTCATCTAAGTACATGTGCCCTGGAGTTCCTGCTGTGATGAGCACTCTGTTGGCTAACATAAATGCCTACTACGCCCACACCACTCAGGCCACCAACAACGTCTCTGCCTCCGATCGCTTTGCTGCCTCCAACTTTGGGGTAGGTCACTCATACACAATTCATACGCACATATTCATCAAAGCAAGTGAGAGAAGCACCCAAATAAGAATAGTGAGCAGTGGAATTATGATAGTACTCTCATGTTTTAAACTTGTTTTCTGGGTTTTGTGTTTCATTTATAGAAAGAACGCTTCGTCAAGCTTCTGGACCAGCTACATAATTCACTGAGGATTGATCTCTCAATGTACAGGGTACTGTGCTTTCTCATTTCCTCTTATAGTCGCTGTCTCTATTTCAGCCTTTCTAACTCAGTCTCTATGTCTCAGTCTGTGCTTCTCTGTCACTCTCTTTCATGCTCTTTCGCTCGGTCTCTCTCACTCTGGCTTTCTCGCTCTGGCTCTCTCTGAGGGCTTTGTTTTAACCACAGCACACAGATTAGCGTGGAATTCCCCCAGTTCCCTGCAGGCATGGGAGTTCTCCTCTCTATGCTGTCTGATTGTAAGAATAAGGATCATGAGCTAGCAGAGTTGACAGTGTTACGAAATAACCAGGGTCATGAAAGATGGACTATGTAGATTTTGCACAGGAAAGGATAATGAATGAGAGGGACATACTGTAATCTGTCCCCTGAGATTCAGCTCTCTACATCTTCCCGAGAACTGGCTGTTAATTTTCTCTTTTGACTGTCACAGAATAACTTCCCAGCCAGCAGCCCTGAGAGACTGCAGGACCTCAAGTCCACTGTGGACCTACTGACCAGTATTACTTTCTTCAGGATGAAGGTAACTCATTCTCAGCCACACAGTACACAGACATGGTACATCTTTTATTTCAGCCTTAGAAGGCACTGTATAAGTACTGTGTAAGTAATTTTATTGTTATTATTAAGAGGAATGCCACAGATTTTTCAAATTTTCTGCTGAGTTCAATCATTGAGAAGTTCTTCAGAGAGGGTTGATGTCAAGTGGTGCATTGTAGAGAAACGTATCGATTTCTTTACTGTGGCGGTGATGGGAACCAGGGGTCACAATGTCTACAGCACACACATAGCCATTTTATTTACTATTCCAAACAATCAGTGAACTTACACGTCTTTTGGGATTTAAATACTGATAATACTAAAATTGTGATAAATCTGAAAATAATAAGGTTTTTGGGATACTTTTTGCATTACAGTGCTCTGCATGTATCACTCTGTTATAGATTTAATAAAATACATTTAAGGCCAAATTATCATGAACCAGGTATATGGCATGGTATTCACAACTATTTAATAAAATAATTATCTTCTGTAATAGCTTTTAGAGACATTAAACACTTCAGACATGTGGCTTTCTACCAAATGGAGCATTTCACATCAAACCACCTGATTTACCTTGTTTACATCTTAACAGTATGATTATGCAGAAATCTTGAAAAGTCTGTCGAATTTCCTTTAAAAGAGCTAAAAGAGGATTCTACTCACTTATTATCCATCCTTTGAAAACATAAATTTATTATGCACATTTTAACAAATTGTCCATCTAGCTGAATTACACCCGTGTGTTTCCCCAGGTCCAAGAGCTACAGAGCCCACCTCGTGCTAGCCAGGTTGTGAAAGACTGTGTGAAGGCCTGTCTCAACTCCACCTATGAGTACATCTTCAATAACTGCCACGAGCTCTACAGCCGCGAGTACCAGACTGACCCGGTAAGCCACTTCTCCATGGTGTAGCAGCCCTGCTTGCCCCTTGGGCACATAGCTGCTGTGGACCCTGACTGCATGGGGCTCAGCTCATCTGCAGCTAGCTTACAACTTTTGTCCATGCCTCATTAGCACATCAGGATATTGTAGACTCATGAATATCAAACGCTTAATTTCCTTTGAATGAAATATGTGACACTGAGGCTCTTGGCATATTTTGTAGAATCTTCACCAGATCATTCTCTATCTTGCTCCCCCGCAGCAAGTGGTATAATTTTGGTTGTTTGTTAGCTCAAATGATCTGTCTCAGATTACAGTGATCGTTGAGGTAATTTCTTAGGGTGTTTTCTTGTGGTGAAGAAACAAAATGAGTTTGAGCCTCTAGCTACAGTAAAATAAATGTTTGTTCTTCTCACACAGTCAAAGAAAGGTGAAGTTCCTCCAGAGGAGCAGGGTCCAAGCATCAAGAACTTGGACTTCTGGTCTAAACTGATCACTCTCATTGTGTCCATCATTGAGGAGGACAAGAACTCTTACACCCCTTGCCTTAACCAGTGAGTTTATTGCTAAACATTTCACACTGTCCATCTTCCCTGCACAATGCCAGGGCTATACTTTCATGACTCACATTTCTTGCAGAATATGAATAGAATTTGGAGACTAGATTTTCTTGCTCCATTCACTATGATTATACTTTTTATCTTGTTTTCTGTCAGGTTTCCCCAGGAGCTGAATGTTGGGAAGATAAGTGCAGAAGTCATGTGGAATCTGTTTGCCCAGGACATGAAGTATGCCATGGAGGGTGAGTCTAAGATACTGACATGTCTCTATTGTGTTCTTTTCAGTTCTCTAGATATACATTTTTAATAACAATCACCTGTGGGTTCCAAATGTTTTAAAGGGCCCATATACAAAACCATAATTCATTTTTTCCATGACTATTTTCTAACCTCTCTTTATCCCTTAGAATTAAACAGGCTGTTTAATGTTTTTGTTTTTTTGCCTTGTTACTGTTCTTTTAAGACTGAAATATATATAAGTGACCTCAGTTCTGATTGGCTGCCCTTTTGTGGGCCTTGTTCAAAAAGCAGTCTGGGCAGAAACACCCCTTATGACTTCAGCATGAATAGGTGAAGCTAAAATGCTAAAAATGGATATGTAAATGTGGTGATTTTAGTGACATCACAGAAACAGAATTCAAAATGGTCTGCTTTTGCCACTTAGTTTCTATATATGGGCTACATGGACTGGGGAGAGAACAGTACTTTTAACAGTAATCAAACTCCATTACTTCAAGAATGTGAGATAATTGTGTTCCAGGATATGAGCCCTAACTATTAGCACATTAACCTCAAGTCTTCTTGATTTTAAAGAAGCCTAAAAAGTGTCAGCTGGGTGGAATTTACACCAATAGATAACAGATATCTTTTTTGTTGTTTTGTTTAATGAATGCCATATTTACATAATTAGTCATTGTAAAATTGAATTCTGCCACTGATTCATGCTCTCTTGCTCTGCGTTGATGTGGCTTCATCCTTTTTGTGTCCACCTGGTTTGTAATGAAGTGCCATTGTCTTCACCTCTCCCACTCACAGAGCATGAAAAGAACCGCCTGTGTAAGAGCGCTGATTACATGAACCTGCACTTCAAAGTGAAGTGGCTCTACAATGAGTACTGCAAAGACCTGCCTTTCTTCAAGAGCCGTGTGCCGGAGTACCCAGCGTGAGTGGCTTTAGTGTTTAGTCAGACAGTAACCTATGAAGTTACCAGTGAACCTGCACATACTAGGACACTGAGACATATGTAAAAATATAAATATTACATACATACCTCTGAACCTGAAGTCCATGTGTTGATCTGCAGGTGGTTTGAGCCTTTTGTCATCCAGTGGCTAGATGAGAATGAGGAAGTTTCTCGAGACTTTCTGCATGGAGCTCTGGAAAGGGACAAAAAAGATGGAGTAAGACCCAGTTTTCTTTTCCTTCCATCTTAAAGCTGTACTCTGTAAGATTTTTTTGTTTACACTGAAAGAAGTATCATTACTGAGTCATGAGAAAAACACACACTAAAATATGGTCTCTGTGCGCTGCTGCGAATCACCCTGTTAAGCTTGAAATAATAATTTAAAAGTCATGGTGTCAGGTCATTTTTTGCAGGAGTTCCATGGTCCTCCTCATATGTCTTGACGTTTTCATTTCACACTCACAGGCTGAAAAAGAAGGTCCAATGTTTAGGTCTAAATGCAAAATACTGATGAAGATATGATAACAGTATTAGATAATTCTTTAACATCCTTGGAAGCTGCGTCCTTCACCAAGTTTTGGCTGAGTTCTCTTTGAATACTCTTTCAGTGCGCTCACAATCATCAAATTCATCCACCCAAAGAAGGGTTCTGAAATACAACCGACATTACAAAATCACAAGCGTGCCATTTCACATTTCCACCAGGGAGGTCTTCACATCCCCAAAACTTGCATAATGTAGCTTTAACCACTCACCATGACCATATGTTTTGCCTTTTTACATGCTTATACTCTTTAAAAGGTAGCAAAAACGTGAATTTTTAATGTTTTGGTGCATTTTCACAGGAAGGTTTTAAATCATGCCATATATACTATTTTTAAATATATGTAATGCCTGATGTTGGTTTGATAGTCTCTGGCGAAGAATGTTTGATGAATTGTGTAATGTTTGATGAATTGGCCACCCTGCTGGTCCAGCTCATTTCCCATCCAACATGAGAGCTCTTCAGTTCATTTTTTTGCCCCCTTTGAGAGCCACCACTGCCTCACCTCAACCCAATTACTCCTAGACAAGAGAAATCACACCTGCTGGTGTCTGGCCACAAATAGCCTGCTGTCTTTCTGGCTGCAAAGCTTCCGGAACTTTCTCTGACCTGCCCACTCACTTTTCTTTCATCTCTCCCCACAGTACCAGCAGACTTCTGAGCATGCTCTTTTCTCCTGCTCAGTCGTGGATGTCTTTTCCCAGCTTAACCAGAGCTTTGAGATCATTAAAAAGTTGGAATGCCCTGACCCACAGATTGTGGGCCACTACATGAAGAGATTTGCAAAGGTGAACATTATGAGGGCTGTTTAAAGTATACCTTTTCTGATTTTATTAGATAATATTTTTTAAGCTGTCAGAGTTATGACTTTTCATGCCTTTTCTGTTTTTTCTTTCTGCAGACAATAAGCAATGTTCTGCTCTCTTATGCTGATATAATTTCCAGGGACTTCCCCAATCACTGCACCAAGGAGAAAGTGGTAAATGTCTGAATGTTTTTGTAACAACATTGTTTTCATTGAACATTTTTATGGTTTTGCTTATCATGATGTATTTTCTTTACCATTCAATTATAGAATGCGAAAGATGGCGCTATAAAGGTATGATTTCAGCCATTGATGAGTTTGAACCTTTCAAGGAAAACATTTATAGTTTAGAAAGCAGGGATGCACAGTGATATTGGAATCATATTTTATATGATGTATCGGCAGCTAATAATTAAAAACAAAATATTGGCAGCAGACAGATGTTTAGAAGTGACTTATTTCAAACGGATATTTGATGGTGAATTTACTGTATTCTGGAAGAGAAGAATGTTTAGACCACAGTGGACTACTATGCTAAAAATATGGATTTTAATCATTTTAATGCATTTGAAAACCTATAGAAATGAATGTTATGTTTCTACATTTTGTAAATACTTATGTACAGTCATATGCAAAAGATTGAACTCCCCCGGTCAAAATGACGTTTTATTTATTTTCTAAGTCAAAACAAGTTAACACTCCTCGGTCTATCCTCTACTGAGAACACAATTAAATCAAGTTTTGGTGCACAGTTTTGGATTTAACAAAGTTTAACAAAATTTTAAAATGTTGGAAAAAAATAAAACTTAAATTAAAAATGTGCTATAGCTTTTGCACCGGCCTCATGTTAAATATGACAAATAACAGTAATTGTGCATTAAAATGTATGCAAGTGTGTTCTCTGCAGAGCGTGTGTACTTACAAAACATGTAATTTGACCAGGGGCATCCAAATTTTTTCCTACGATTGTACTGGTATCTACATCTACCCACGGTTACCATTTCGATGCATCCTTATCAGAAAGTTAGCATTTTGTCAATGTAATGACTTTTGCTCTTATTAGATGAGTTACTTTACTAGTTGGTTACATGGTGTTGAGTTGTTCATATTTTTGTGGTATTTCCTTTTTTACACTAGCCTTGTATCCTGATCAACAACATCCAGCAGCTCCGAGTTCAATTGGAGAAAATGTTTGAGGCCATGGGGGGCAAAGATGTGAGTCAAATCAAAAACTCCAATGTTTGGTTCATTTATCCTGAGATAGCCAGTAGGTACAACTGAACAGAAGTAGACTTGTTTTCTGTGTGGTCAGTTTGTATTTGGCTCAGTGTTGTTTTCACCAAGATTATCATTTGTTTCAGCTGAATGTTGAGGCCAGTGACATCCTGAAGGAGTTGCAGGTGAAGCTCAACAATGTGTTAGATGACCTGGCAAGGATCTTTGCAACCAGGTAAATTAGGCAGATATGGAGGAAAATCCACTCTTGATTTTCCATTCTGGCTCCCTGACATTGACAGTAGGGCTGGGCAGTATGATAAATATATATTGTTATCATGCTAAATTATTCCATAATGCAATACAGTATGCTTTTCTGAACATATAGATCGTCAGTGCTTGTACAACTCTGACCAGCTGCATGTTTCATTATAAAGATCAAAATTAGTCCTGTTTAACTGGAATTGTTGTATTTAGTTTTTTTATTAAAATGTAGCACTTTCGGTTCTTTTTTCTCTGTGCCAACTGATCAGATGTCTGAAAAAATAAATATTGTGACATATTGTGTATCGTTAAAATTTCTTGAAGTATTGCAATATTTCATGTTTTGCCATATCGCCCACATCTAGTTTACAATATGTTCTTCAATTACTAATTTAGTGTGTTTGTTTGTTTGTTTTGGCTAAATACTACCGATGAACTGTCCAAATATAAATGAAGACTCTTAGAAGAACTAGATTTTGACCTCTCACCTCTAGTTAGCTTTTAGTTTTGTTGAACACTGTAGTAATTTTTTCCCTCTGACTGCCTCTTACAGTTTCCAACCCAACATAGAGGAGAACGTGAAGCAGATGGGAGATATTCTGAGCCAAGTGAAAGGCACGGGCAATGTTCCAGCTAGCGCATGCAGCAGTGTGGCGCAGGATGCAGACAACGTGCTGCAGCCTATCATGGACTTCCTGGACAGCAAGTAGGTTTTCTCAACCAGAAGGGCTATGAGAGCATTATTTAATGTTTTAGCTGTCATTACATGCTTCATTCAACTCATGATGGTCTTTGTAAATATCTTACAAATTAAAAGAAATCCAAAACGGAGCAACACTGCTGTACTAACATGGGCAATTAGATGGCGAGCGCTGATCCTGGATTTACAGTTCTTGTCTAAGATGTGTTGGTACACGAGGGCTTATGGCTTCGTTTTTCACTTACGCTTTTCTCTTTTTTGTATCTGCTTAGCCTGTCACTGTTTGCTAAGATATGCGAAAAGACTGTTCTGAAGCGGGTGCTAAAGGAGCTCTGGAAGCTTGTTATGAACACCATGGAGAAGACCATTGTTTTGCCACCTCTAACTGACCAAACGGTGAGGGCATTTCCAAATGAACCCTTCCTCTGCTTTTGTGGCTTAGGACTCTAATGTATGCTACATTGAACTGGTGAATTTAGTAGTTGGTAAAGATGTTAAATACTTATTTAAAAAGTTAGATGATTACCTGTTACTGAGTTTTGCAACTGTTTTCCTGTATGGATCCTGAAGATCGTCACAGCTGAAGAGTGACGGGGTCTTGCCCACTAGATGCGCCAGTAATCTCCCCTGTTCCCTGGCCCAAATATTCACTTGCAAAAAGACCCATTCTTCCATTCACCTAAAAATAATGAATAAGGGCCAAGAGAGTGCACCATTATCATCCTAACACCCGCTAAAGGCTGCTCTTTGTTCTCCAAATTGGGTTTTCATGATATGTTCTTGTTAACAAAGATTAAAAAAAATCACATTCATGGAATCAGAGACCAGCCTGATCTTTTATTTGTGTTTATACATTTGTTCTTATTTGTGTTGTTTTGTTTTGTTTTGTTTTTTTTTTCTTTTTTTTGTTTGGTTTTGTTTTGCTTTTGACAAAGAGCCCCATGTCGTTACTTAAAATTCCCAGTCTTTGGGATGGTTTCCAGGCCTGTGCTGGGCTAAAGGCTAATGGCTAATGTCCCTTTGCTAGTCTTAACACTGAAACTTAATAGTTAGGAACGCAGAAGACCTGAAACTGGCATTTTAACAAAAAACGCTACTCAGGGCATTTTTTGATGTTGATACTGCTTTGCTTTGATGTGGGGCTCTTCACTGACCCTTCTTTCTGGTTATTATTACATTCTCGCTCGCCCCCCCGCTCCTCCTCCACAGATGATAGTAAGTACGGCAGCACTCCTCTCTGTGCGTCTGTCTGTCCTGCAGTCCGTCAGTGCCGGGTGCCCCTCCACCCCCCACCCTTTCCTTTTGCTCAATGTGGCTGCAAAGTCGTCCCCCTCTTCCACTGTGTGTCCTCATCTGTCCATTACATCCCTTCATCTTTCTCTCTTTCACCCACTCTCTCCATCCCCCTGTCCTCCTCTCGTTTCCAGCTGAAATGGCCGCAGCATGGTGCATTCCTGGTTGACTCGGACAAGGCCTTCCTTAACAAATCCTTCAATCTGGTGGTCCTCCACACTTCCTCCAGTCCCCCCTCCCAAGACCTCTTTTCTTCTCCTTATCCCTCTCTCACCCTCACTTTCTCCTCTGGAAGTGGCACTTTCTCTCTCACGCTTCCACTGTCACCTGTTGCTCCCCTGCATCGCGTGGCGGGTTTCTAGCCTGGGTGGCTCCAGTGGTGGCTTTGTGGTTCTGGTCAGTAGTTGGTGCCGCCCTCCCCCCACTCTCACTTGTTTGAACCCCTCTCTCCTCTGTCGGTCCGTTGCTTGCGTCTCAAATTCTCGATTCTGACTTTCCAGTCTGCGCTCTTTGCAGACTTTGTTTTGTCAATCTTGTCCTGGCATTTGGTTTTTGGTTGTGTTCTTGAAAGTGGTTAAAATTAAAACGGCAGAGTATCACACTGCTTTGTGTTCTAATCCAGGCTGTAAGCAAATTATCCTTTTTATGTCTGAAGTGTTTTAATAAGGTTTTGTTTAAAATTTTATGTAAGTGGATAATATGGGAGTATTTGTTTGTGTTGTTTTTCTTCTTCCTACTGATATAATTTTATGCATAAATAGAGTAAGGCTAATTTATGTGATTAATTTTAACTTTTCATTTTTGCTTTACTGTTGTCCTCACAAGGACCAGTCATTTTTCTTCAAAATTGTTCTCCTTTTTCTGTCCTGACTAGAAAATGACCTTGAAATTAATTTTATGATTTTAATCTTTTTTTCATTCCACCGTTTAGCTTCATTTTCTTCATATTGTTTCTCATTTATTGCTCAAAAATGTGTTTCTGCTTAGATGTTTCTACTTGTGCTGCAGTGATATCAAGATTTCATCAGATCAGCCAGGTCTGAAGCAGCTGGGACACATCATAGATAGAAGAATTAAACTTGAAATTGGACTGTTCCTGATATGACTGTGATCTCAAAATAAGAACACTTATAATATTGTGTGTAGTTATGCACATTTTTATGATGTTCATTTGGTTAGCCTGTCAGTCCCTGTCAGTCAGCCAATGTGAGGAAGGCAGAAGCACTTCTGGAGTTAATAACGCTGTCCTCTCTTCACAGGGCAGGGTGAAGCTTGCTTGTCACAGTGATGTAAGGACTAAAACCCCTCTAGTTCAATGTGTCCTGTCTTTCTTTCTCTCTCCATTTCTAAATGTCTCTCTTCTCTGTGTCGCCTGGGTCCCCTGTCTCCAACCAAACCGATGGGAACAAACTGGTTTCTCACCCTTGTTTTCTTCAGATCCCCCTTAGCAGTAGCTCGCTCCATCCCAACGTCCCTGCTTCATAGCTGAGTGAATGATACAGACCTCCACATAGCATTCAAATCCTTTAGGATAGACCAGAAAGTGCATGCTTTTAGCTGGTTTGGAGCCATGGACAATGAGTTAAGAGTCCATGTTGGTCTCAGTGATTACTTTTGTTACATTTTTATGGTTCTAGAAATACAGAGTTATTTCTGTTGTATGCAGTATGCTGCATTCTGTGTCTATTTACTGAATGTGTTTAAGCCATAAGATGTAATTGTATGGACACTGGCACAATGTTAAGGTGCGCAAGCCTTTTTCACTAAGTGATATATCCTTACTGATGTATCGCCCAGTCCTAGATACCAGATATATCACCACAGTGTTGTCGAATAGGCTGTGGACCTAATGAATTTGATAGATTTTTCAACTCTCTCTCTCTCTCTGTACAGTTCTGTCAATTGTGTCTTCTGTACATAGCTAGTTTGCTGTCTTGCATTGCATTCTATAAAGGCTATGTCTGTGTGTGTGCGGGCTTGTGTGGGAAAACTCTTCTAGGTTTGATGAAACTGTATGTGTGGGACCTGTGTGTTGTAGAATGTGTGTTTGTCTGACTTTTCAACTGTCTGTTGCTGACCTCTGTTATGTGGCATTTCTATCTTAAGCTCTGTTCACCTCCATAACCTCACTAATATCCTTTCCCTTCTCTCTGTCTCTTGCTTTTTCGTTTTCCTTTTTTTTTTCCTCCTCCTCCTCCAGGGTACGCAGCTGATCTTCAATGCAGCTAAGGAGCTTGGCCAGCTTTCCAAGCTGAAGGTAACCCATTGTTAACTCTATTCAGAGTTTAAGGGCTCATATCATGGAAATTGAATTTTACTTGCTTTTGCTTTCTTTAAATAAAAGAGTTTGATGTAGAATGTAAACACAGTTAAAATTCCAGAAATATCCTGTTCACTCCCCAATGCACACAGTTCATATTTAGAAGCTAAGCTGCAAAAACTGCCCATTTTGAGTTACTTGTTTTTGTGATGTCATGAAAATCAGCAGGTTTACCAATCCACCTATTCAGCTCTTAGCAGTTTATCCCTACCCATTCACGCTGAAATTGTAAAGAGTAATTCAGCTCAGCTTTTTGAATGAGGCACAGCGCATGGCGCTGAGAACAGAGGTCATTTACATATCGGTCTTAAAGACACAGTAACAAAATCAGCCTGTTCAATTCTGAGAGATAAAGAGAGGTAGGGAAATGGTAATGTAAAAATTAATTCTAACTGATTTTGGCACACAAAGCCACACAAACAAGTGGACCTCAGAGAACAAAAATAAAATACATGAAAAACGTAGCATATGGGCCCCTTCCCATATATAATGCAGTGATCCGATCCATTCATTTTAGTTGGTAAAAGCAACTTGTGGACACCCTTGGAGAATAACCAGTGTGTGTTTCCTCTTTCCAGGAGCACATGGTGCGTGAGGAGGCCAAGGCCTTATCACCCAAGCAATGTGCAGTCATTGAGTTGGCTCTGGATACCATCAAGGTAAAACCTAAGTTCTTTAAAGAATACACATACCTCATGCTACAAGCACAGGGTTTAGTATTTCCAATGCATGTTCAACATGAGTGAAATCTTAATGTGGGTCATAATGTAAAAGCAACTGTCTATATTCTGATAATGCCTTAATGGAACTGCTATATAACATCCTCTGGGCTTAAATTGGGTGAAATATTTTGATAAAATTCAGTACAGTTCTGACATTAAAATCCTGTTTTGATGCCATGTTTTTGTCATAGTTATTACTATATCATTTTATTTTAGGAGATGAAGATAACAATAATATGTGTAATTATAGATAACCATAGAGCTGGATTTAACAAGATTTTACACTAAAACGCATTTACATGTATATGCCTCTTTGGCCTACAGCAGTTTAGCCCTGCCCACTCACAGTTAGTTATTAGAAATCTTTGAGCCTGAATTGCTTATTGAATAAGGCACAGAACAGGACAGCCAACGAGAACAGTGGTCATTTACATATATCAGCCTTTAAGGAACAGTTATGAAAAACAGCCTGTTTAATTCTAATGGATACAGAGAGGCTGGAAAATGATTATTTAAAAATGAATTTTGGTTGTTCGTACATAAAACCACAGGTTTAATAATAAATATAAATATGAATATAAAAAGAGAGTAAAGGCAGAGTAGACATTAACTTACAAGTGTTTGTTTAAAATCCTTCTTAAGGTTTTATTTTTGAGCCCTTGTAAATATATCTCCTAATATTTTAAATTAGTAGTGTTTTACCCTGAGCAAACAGTGTCATGTTAACCATTTCTTGTCTTTATTCCTCCTGTGGTATAGATGTATGTAAGTTGTCTTATTCTGCAGGTAGGGCTGAGTTCTGCAGAGTTTGCGGTAGGCAGCCAGAGCACTGATGCTAATGTTTTATGTTGTAGCAATATTTCCATGCTGGAGGAGTAGGACTGAAGAAAACCTTCCTGGAGAAGAGTCCTGACCTGCAGTCTCTCCACTATGCCCTGTCCCTCTACACACAGGCCACTGACAAGCTTATCAAGACCTTTGTCCAGTCACAGAATGCACAGGGTAAGGGTCCGACCCTCTCTCTCTCACTCTCACTATCAGTTGGGTTTTTGTTGGCCTGGAAAATTGGCTTGTTTTTTTGTCTTGGCTGAAGGTTAATCTTTGATAAAATATTTTGCAGACAGCATGCTAACATGTAGATTTATTATTTAATTATAATTGGCATTTCTAAATGCCTTTCTTTTTCTCTGACTAAAGAACTTTTTGGTTAAGATTAGTTCTACATGGGGCGGAGGGGTAATGTAAATATTACCAGTGTTTCTCAGTTCAATCCTCTTTGATTTCGCCGTGTCAGTCTGCTTTACAGACTGTGCACTCCCACTTTAGTAAAGATTCTGGACTCCATATATATTTGTTACTTACTGTAAAACAAAGTGTAGAATTATTATTATATTATTCTGGTGTGACTTTGTCAGTAATGTCAGTAAATATCTCATCATATTCTGTGAAAAAAGCGTTTTTTTCTTAAATATGGCAGCTCTTGAAGAAGCAGTTACCTGTATTTTTCGTGGCCCAAAACAATTGAGTATGTGTTGTGCTACTCAAGTGTACAACCCAGGACATTAAGACATGACAATAACAGAAAAGAACTTTGATTTCATTCAGCAGTTCACTTAAAACAGGGTTAGGGTATCATATTATAATTAAACTCTATGTTTGGACCTGTTTTCTACTTGTGGGGAGCTGAGTGTATTGCCAGTGGAGCTTTTTGGAGTGACAGCAATGCGTAAAATAAAGTAGCCACTCCCATCTCTGTCATTTATGCCAAGATTTTTTATCCCACGCCAATCAGTCATAACAATTAAAGATGTCGTGGTAAAATTACATTACCCCACCTCATTCCTGTATAACTAATCCCAACTGAATAGTACTTAAGACACTCCCTCTCACTGTTTCTCACTCTCTCTCTCATTCTTTCCTTGTTTCTATGATCTTTCCCTGTTATTGTAGACATGATTGTGCTGTGGGAATCCTGACACAGTTTGGCTCTTCCTGCCTCTGGCAGAGAAGTCTTTTTAATGAATGATCGCTTGAAATTTAATTAGAAGAAATGCTATTCTTTTATTTATCTAAACACATTAGAGAGTGATAGGCAGATCAGTTGTATCTGTATTAAACTTTGAAAAATATCAAAAAGCCAAGGCCAAGAAGTGCTTGTTAAATTGCTGGTTTATTTCTCTCTTTCTCTCTCTGTCTCACTCTCTCACTCTCTCTCATTCAGGTCTCTGTCTCTTTTTCTCTCTCTTTCCTTATGCACTCTCTCTACTCTACACTTGTCTTTTTTAATGCTCCTTCTCTTTCCTCCTGTTCTCGTCCCCCTCTCTCTCCACCAGTTCATGGAGGGAAGGGGGTGAGGTTCACCCATAGCGAGGATGTGTACCCCGAAAAGGGTACGTCTACACTGGGCCCAGCGCCCTGCACTACCAAGAATCAGTGACCCACCTGAAACCATCCCCCAGTCAGATCATTCACATCCCATTCAAAAGGCCCAATCGCATGCCCTGCAAGCACCCATACCCCCCTACAGAGGCAGTCTTGGTCAGCCTGACCGCCTTGTGCATGTACAAGACCTTGGGATTGACTTGCTGTATGTGCACATACATCGGTTGGTCATGTATATTGGCACTACAGAGAGAAGAAAGCCCAGAATGAAGTGTGTGATTTTGAATGGCAGAGAATGAGGACTGCACACACACTTCTGCAGTGTGAAAGGAGCACGTGCGCGGTGCCGAGGGGAAGCCGTGACTCACGACTGCTTGGGCTGTATGTGTGTGTGTGTGAGTGTGTGTTTGTGTGTGGGTGCACAAGTGACAAGCGAGCGAGCCGAGACAGCGAGCGAGATGAGTGAGAGACTCTTCTGGAGGTTTTCTGTTTTTCTGAGCTCGTCTGAGGAAACTCAGAGCTGCAGGTTCTGTCCATCAGTGAATCAGGGAAGCAGAGCTTGTAGGGCTGTGAATCTCAGACCTCACGATTCAGTTTAATTACAGTTCTTCAGGAAACCATTCAGTGCATCATTAAATTTCAAATGTCACAATTCAGAATTGTTTTTAATTACACTGAATAGCCAAATGTGCCTAGAGGAACCGTTTACACAGTACTGGGATACAGATGGTTGGAGTGGGCTGGAACCACTATCGATTTATCGATAATTAGTGATAACAGCCATGAGTTCGGCATTTACTCCATTCCTGGTTTTACTTTATTTACACATGCACAGCAGTGTAAGCCTTTTCTGCAGGCCTCCTAGTGGGCATTTCACCAGCAGAATGGAAATTCATCAGATATTTTATTAATATAATCAAGTAAAATAGTTTAATTCAAATTAATTAATTTAAATGTTAACATTTACTAATTTAATTAACATTTTACATTTCACAGGTGAACTAGGAGACCTCCAAAACAGGCTAAAATGACATTTTATGGCTACTATGTAAAGAGGTTAAGCAGCGATGGTGGCAGGGATAGTAACAGCAGTCCGAAAAAAAACATGATGTCCTACACGTGCAAATTTGACTCACTGCTTCCTGCTGCTGTAGCCTGCTGTTCTACTACGACAAATGATCAGTTTACTGTAGTCGCTAAAACATGAGGTTTATGTAAGTGAATCTGATTCTTTTCTTGTGTTGAATTAGTCACTATTCCTTCAAAGAATTCTGTGCCAATTTTTCAGATACAGGTTAATTTCCATTTTCTAAAGATATGTCTTCAATAGAGCAAAGACAGTGAAAAACACCCTCGGCCATTGATGGTAAAAGCCATTATATTTTGTGCTTCATTATAGTGTAATGTTTAGTTGTCACTCAGAGTCATCTTTTCTGGATTTAATGCACTGAAACCTTCATGTCAAGTGAGAACTCTGGAAGAAGACACAGAAAAATAAGAAATTGATTCATCGAGTAGTAACAGCCATATAGAGCTCCAGGAATTAAAATGAATGAACGAACTGCAAGAGTGTCCATGAGCTCTAGCATGAAAGATGTAATTCATGTTAATGTTTGTTTCAAAGCTAAACCTCAGACTCATTGTGGAGTTTCACTCCCCTCTGGCACAAATGGAAACTGTCTTATATACAGTGAATATATAACTGCAAACTACCTGTGGTTTTAAATAATTAAAAAATCTAAATTGATTTTTATTTATTATTGACTTATCAAAATTGCTCATCGCCTCAGGCCTGAGTACAGATTTTTATTAATACACCCCTTTGAAAATAGCCTGCAAAGTTAAAAAGTGCAAACTTCACTGAACATTAAGATAAATTGAAATCTATTTTAACATTCCAGAATCCAGCAGCACCTTCAGATTGATTCTTCGTGGTGCCTCTATGCATTTCTACCCCCTTATTGCTCACTCATATTGCTTATTTATCTACTTGATGCCTGAATTTGACTGAATGTTGGAGTGACAGTAATGGGTGCTGACTCAGTGTGTCTACAGGCAGGGTCTGTCCTGTGTGTCTCTGTACAACTTTCAACAAGTTGTCCCTCCCCCTACCCCAACTAGCCACCACCCCCAACCCCCCCAAGCTTCTCCCGTCAGGCAGCCAGAAGATGTGACAGCATGGTCTCAGCCAATCAGCAAGGTCCTCTTAAGTCATGTGACACTTTCTGTCAGTCTGCATCAGCATTCTGGGGTCCCCAATTGGCCCTTGAGGACCTTTAGGACTTCGTCACTGCCGGGACTCATGCTGCCACATGCACACTCAGTCAGGCCCTCTTTTGCTTACGCTGCAATACGTGGCCTTAAAGTCAGAAGGGGGCCGTTAGCCACTACAACCGCATCCCAGATCAGCCTGACATTTATGTCTTTTGTGTGTTGTTGCTTTCTGGGCAGCATTGTTTTCTTATGCTGCCTGTCAGAGCATAAGCTGCACAGAGCTCCACAGAGCTGTACTGTAGGCAAAAAGAGCGGCAGCACCCAGCACATAGAATTCTCTATGAAACACACTCTATATCCATGTGCTTTCTTATTGTTGTCTTACTTGGGCAAGGTGGCTAATGTGAATGCTTTATTAAGTCCAGGATGTCAATGAGCAGTGTTGGTTATTAAATTTCAGTATTTGTATGGTACTGACCAAAGTACTTCAATACTGTAGAGTACTAATTTTTTTCTCTGTAGTGGTGTCATTCAGTTCTAAATTTCAGTACATAAGTAGTCAGTATCATTGAGCCAATAATCTAGACTGGTTCTAGATTTGTTCCAAAATAAAGACTGGTGATTGACTGTCCGAATTGCATTCCAAATGCTATTAATGTCAGCACTAAATATACCCACTTCCAGCACTCATTTCTGGTTTTATCCATAGCAACATTTGGTTTTTAATCTAAAAGACACTAACAAAACCCAGCCCTTTCTGTTAATAAATGAAATAGAAAAATGAATTATACATCAATTATTTCAGGTTTTTTTTTTTTTTTGGAATCATCAAGAATGTCACAAAATCAGCTATACAGGGATGGCTTCAGACTCCAGATTAGTGAATTGAATGGTAGAAACAGAGAGACTGTTATAACTAAGGCATTGGAATTAGTAAACAATTAATAATAATAATAAAAATAATAATAATAAAAGCAACAATATATTTTATCTCAAGTGCTACAGAATAAAACAGACAACACATTATCAGAGCAAAAAACACAAAGGCAACAATACTAAAATGAGCAAAATTAAGAAATAAAATAAGTGAATACATTAAATACAAACACTAGCAAAATCAGTAAGCATCAAATACATGACAGCAAAAACATAGTGCATAGTCAAAAAAAACCTAATTAAGCAGGGTAAATACATAAAACAAGCATATATGTAAAGCCAGTACAGCAACACAGCAGAGCGCAGTAACGTCAGTAATATAGAAAAGCTCAGTTTATTGAAATAATCAAGAGTTGGGGCATTTCTAATACAATCAGCGATGTATTCTGTAACTGAGGAGCACTAAACGAGATGGGTCTCTTACCTACAGATTTAAGTTTGCAGTGTGGCTGCTGCAAAGTGAGAGAATGAGAAGGCTGGTAGGGCTTAATTAAATCACAGAGGTACTGAGAGGCTGTGCTGTGAACTGTCTTATGCCTTCCTAATAATATGCCCCAATGGCTGTATATAAATACAAAAAAGAATAGGCCTGAGGACAGACCCCTGAGAAATGCCCTTACCTTTGATGAAAACAAATTGAGAACTATCTTATAGGTGAGACTTGAACCAGTCACGAACCAGCCTGATAATTCAAGCCACCTTTCCATCTTGTCTGTAAAAGAGAATGATTCACTGTGTTAGGGTTAGTTCTCGTGTCTCCTTAGCAGTCGTGCTGCACCAGCAAATACAGACTGGAATAAGATTTAGCAGTTGGAACAACAACAAAATTTTTTTTATTGTTTCTTTTCACGAGTCCCTTCAGGTGTTGAATACTGAGTACCTGAATGTGCTATTAGCACCCTAAATTGCTATTTTTAACTTGCTTGGCTGAGTGCCTGCTGAAACTGTACTGTCTAACTGGGCAGTGGTGCTGAGAATGGAGATCCTGTTTTTTACACTTGGACACAGCACACTCTGCCATCAGCCTGTTTCACAGTTACACCCGCACAAACACATACCTACCCAGCCTACAACCTAACAGTTGATCTCAGGTAAATATTGGGGGATATATTTTGATGTCATCTGAAAATGCAGGAAATGAGGTGAAGCAGGACTTGTGTGTGTGTTTGTATGCGTGTGCACATCTAAATGTGTTTAAAAGTGTGTGATAATTTTCTTTTACTTATGCATGTATAAAGATATGGATCCACTGGAGTCCATGGGCATAGAGAGTTGAACAGCCTTACTGCCCCCTAATGGATGAAATAAGCCAGTACCCGTTTGCATGACACCTCTTCCCCTTCCTTCCCAACATTAGTAGCATGGAGCACAGGCCCCAGCAAGACTCAAGATCCTGCTCACTCACACGGACATCCTGGTAGAGGGGTGGTACAGTGCATTCACATAACTGAAGACTCATTGTTTGCAACTTGATTATTCAACATGATGCATTCCAAATCAGGGATTAGAAACTAAAGAAAGACAAAGAACATTGAACATCCCAGTACATAAAAACTGGAACAAAGTTGGGCAAAAAAGTGCTAATTTAAAAAGTGATAAGCTGATTAATAGCGTTATTGATTGAAGGGCAGTTCCACCAGTGTTTCAAAATTTCTGTGCAGTTCAATTGTTGAGATGTAAACAAAATCAAAGTGGTCTGATGTGAAATGGTGCATTGTAGAATTTGCAGACTTACAGACTGACTTACAGGTGATAGGAACCAAGGGTCACAATGCAATGTCTACAACACAAATCTTATTTACTATTAAAAACCATTAGCAAACCTAGATGTGTCTTCTGCGCTTTTATATGTATTGTTGATAATGCTGTATGGTAAAAATACTGGTAAATAAGTTTTCTTTGTTTTGCCTTACAACGGCTTGCATGCACCTTTCCACCGTGAATGGAGTTTAAAATATATTTCTGGCCAAAACCTTATTTCTCAAATATTGTTTAATGTTGAAATTATCGCCAGACATCAGGCAGCATACTCCTATTTTATGTGATAACCTTGTGTGAAGGAGCTTTTAGGGGCATTAAATTCCTCAGACGTCTGGTTCCTATCACTACTACACTGAACAGTTCTAACTTAGTAAGTTTCTCAAGAATGGAGTATTTCACAACTAACCACTCTAAATGACTTTGTTCACATCTTGAATTATGCAGAAATGTGTAAAAATCAGTGGAATTCCTTTTAAATTCTGTTTAATTTTTTTCCTCATTGTTGTTTTTTTTTTTTAACACAAACCGTATAATTCAATTCCTGCTCCAGCGTTTCCCCTCCCCTGTTGGTGACCAGTGAAACAATATAAAAGAACAGGTTAATAGCGTTCCTCTGATATTGTATACTGTCCCTGTATTAGACCTGTTAAAAATCTATTTCAATGTATTTTAATAATTTTGATTACATTCTGTGAAAAATGTTTTTCTTTTTTTCTCTGTAACCATTTCTAATGCCTGATCTTAATGTTTGTGACTTTCTTGAGTACATAGCATAGTGCAACCCCTCTAGCAGAATGTCAGTCAGATCTGCCTTACAGTGGCAGCTAGGACCAACCACTCAGAGGTGGCGGGTCTATATCTGGAACTCTGAGCCACAAAGTGAGATTGGGCACAGTTTGGCATGTCCCTGCCTGCGTTTGAGTTAACGGAAGGGAGTCCTGTAAAATGCCCTACCTCTTCTCATGTTTGAGTGGTAGAGCCTTCCCTTTCTTCCCCATGGTGCATACCTCCTGCTCATAAACAGAGCAAGTGATCCTCCATGGCATGTGTGCAGATCAGAGAGATCTCACATGAAATTTAATGTAAATGTTTGATCCCAAGCAGTTCTCCTTGTTGTCTTTGGATGTTGCATGTCTTGGGAGAGTCTGAATCTGAGCTTAGTTCGATATTTATGAATTAGCAAGAGATGTTTTCAGCTATTAAGTACATTTTCTTCTTAAGCCTTATGCCGTTTTATTCCTCCGTCTTTACGTAGACACTAAAGCTCTGAAACATTATTCATGAGGATCATATGTGAAGGGATTATAAATGAAAAGACTTTGTACATTCCTCAGAAAGTTTCACTAGCTTTCAGAAGAGATCATTTATAAAATCATTTCAAAATATACTGTACAGTTCAACAGCTAAGATCTTCAATAGTTATGAAGAGTGAGCAGAGCAATGAGGTCTCTATTTCAATGTCCTCTGGCTGAATGTGACCCAGGTGCTGTTTCAACAGCATTTTCTCTTCTCTGTGATGGTCAGCCATTACTAAGAGACTGCATACAACAGAACAGCTTGTAAGAGTTATTTTTCAGTCATGCAGGAGCAAGTTTTCCAGGCAGACCAGAGTATTTGCTCAAGTGAGAGACTGTTGTATGACTGCTCTTCTTTACCAAATCTCCTCAGGCTCCGGTGTGGAGGATGCAGTGGGAGAGGTGTCCATCCACGTGGAGATCTTTACTCATCCCAACACTGGTGAACACAAGGTCACAGTGAAAGGTCAGTGGTGGTTATTTGCTGGTGTTTGAACCATCTAAAATTGTTTGAGATTTCTTCTAGAGGTACTCTGGTGAATGAATTTCCTTCATTATAAGTTCATATCAAAAGAAAGGAAATGCCTCTCTTTTCAGTGGTGGCTGCAAATGACCTGCGGTGGCAGACATCAGGAATATTCCGGCCCTTCGTGGAGGTCTACATTATCGGCCCCCACCTGAGTGATAAGAAGAGGAAGTACGCCACCAAATCAAAGAACAACAGCTGGGCTCCCAAATACAATGAAACATTCACATTGTAAGTAAAACATGATTTTTCCATGCTATTTATTCAAATGTATTTAAACACATGTAACTGCTGTGTTGCACACCTAATACTTTTTTGTATGACAAAACACCCCGTTGTTGTTTGTGGACTTGAACTTGCACTTAAATCTTTTGAACAAAATCATGTCCAGTTTGCATAATTACTGTCAAAAAGTGACTTTAAAATATTTTTCATAACATTTATTTGCATCACATTTGAAAAAGACATCAACTCCTATTTTTTTTAACATTAATCTACCTATAAATATAATATTTATCTATTTATCTGTGAACAGCACGCTGAGCAACGAGGTGGGGCCAGAGTGTTATGAGCTGCAGGTGTGCGTGAAGGACTACTGCTTTGCACGAGAGGACCGGACGGTGGGCATGGCCGTGCTGCAGCTGAAGGATGTGGCGGCGCGGGGCAGTGTGGCCTGCTGGCTTCCGCTGGGCAAGCGCATCCACATGGACGAGACGGGCCTGACCGTGCTGCGCATCCTCTCACAGCGCAACAACGACGATGTGGCCAAGGAGTTTGTCAAGCTCAAATCTGACCAGCGCTCGGCGGAGGAGGGCCGGGGTAGTTAAGAGAAGGTGCCAGTTAGAGAAAGGAAGCTTTGCAGCGTTGTGAAATCACTGCCCACCTCTTCTTTCTTGTAGTGTTGCACTGACACAGACACCTAAATGCACACAAACAAACTACACAGAGCAGATTACACTCTACCACCCCAACAAGGACCAAAAATCATTTTGTCCGTTGGATAGTAATGCCTAGGACACTGCCATAACCTGCCATAAGGCTTGTCTGACAAGCACAGTTTGGCACCTAAAAAGATACAGGCACAAACCCTTGTATCTCTTTAATACTTGATGTTTGTGATGTCCTTGATTTTTAAAGTTATCATATTATACAAAACATCATTGTTGAAAGATATTTAAAGAATAACATTTATCTAGTCATTCATGCATATAAGAAATATATTAACATTGCAGATATTCTATCAATATAAAAAAGATACAATTGTCTAACTTCATACTGAAAGACATATATATGGATCTTTAGGTTCTTTTTCCAAGTGCATTTGGGAAGAGTAGGAAGCAGAGATATGACAGTCTAAGTGAAAGCAGGGTTGCTACATGTCGTACCATTGATGCCTCCCACCTCCCCTTTTCAGATCCCTCTTCCCTAACGTCTGTTAATGATGTCTGAGACTCTATGGAAACCTCTTTTGTAACTGCCTTGTTCATTTTGTCAATCATTTGTGCACCTCCTCATGGGTGATCTATGTCAGGGTATTTCTCTTTTGCTCTCAGTGTGATGTCCTTCTCCTCTACTACTGAAAGGCACACTCTTTAATAGGGCCAAAACCTCCTGTGGTTCAGCTTTTGGAAAATTATGCAAACTTTTAGATTAAGCACAAGAAGACTATTATCAAATGATACACTGGCTTGCAGTGCACATACTGTGGACCAAATACATCTCACAAAGAAGAGACTACATTTCTTTTACACCCCTCATGTAATGATGTGAATGGAAAGATGGCAGTGACTTGGCTCCTCTCAGTAATATCAGAGAATGTGTAATCTAGGCGTGTCGAATAGTATAAAGTACCTTCTCTGATCTGTGTCTTTCACTTAAAATGCTAATGTACAATACTGTACAAAAGTCGGAGACCACCCTTTATTTATTTAATTGTCTGTCAAAACAGCCTTTAAGTTCAAGTTATTAATTTTTTGGAGTGAGGATAAAATCAGAAAACGCATTACTTATTATTATTTAACAGAAAATTTTGCAGAAGCCTCAATAACTAAGCGTAATAGCACGTTTCTGTGTTCAGTGTCCATCTTTTTCCTTTTTTACAGCTTCCATTCATTTCATGAGATTTGCTTTCAGTTTTTCAAGAAATCTGCAGGGATGTTTTTCCACACCTCCGAAGTTTAGTCTTAGAAGTTGGTTGCATTTTCTGCTTCTCATGTTCCACGTAATCCCTAAGACTTTCAGTGATATTAGGGTCTGGACTCTGGGGTGGTCAGTCTATTGTTCTGAGAACACCGTCAGCTTCTTTGTTTGATTTACAAATGATGTTCTTTTTGTCTGTGTGCTTTTCTCAGTGAGGCTTCTTGACAGCTACACATCCTTTCAGACCCATAGCACTGTATTGTCTTCTAACAGTGGAAGGATGGACAGAAATACCTATGTATTTTTTCAGATCTGAAGCAATCTCTCAAAAATGAAAGCTTTAAATACTGTTTATGTGGTCTCTTAGGTTTTGCACAGTTGTTAGGAATCCCATTTCTCTAAATTTTCTAAACATTTTTTGGAAACTCTTTTCATATATTTTTCTTGGTGGGTAGACTTGTATCTTACCTCCTAAGAAGTATCTCCTGATAAATGTATAGCCTGTACTTAATAGCCATTTTGACTGGAAATTAAGTAAATGAAGGGTGGTTTCTGACTTTCGTACAGTACAGTAGATAACAATAAATGACAGCTAGTGAACAGGACTAAGGTTTAACCCGCATAAAGCTAACATTAGCATTTTGGGTGAAGTATTTCTCTAAGCACACTGCCAGTCATCACCCTGTCCAGTCTCTGTATGACCTCAGACCAGCTGCATTGTGTGCAAGCGTGTGCGGCCTGCATGTGCAATACATGTGAGCGTATGACTGAGACTTTGTAAATAAGGTGTTGTGGTGTTGGGTAAGGCGCGTTGTGGTGCGACTTGTATCAGACACCAGTGTTGCCTGTTGGTGAATATCAGCAGTCTTGCTAAGATAGGACCTTTAAAGAATTGCTGACTCGTTTAGATAATTTTGTGGTCGTTTACTTTTATAAAGTAGCATCTTTTAAAAACTTTTTACTTATTACATATTTTTTTCCCCTTACATACCACAGCAGACACAATAGAAGAAAATATGGAAAGTATTCTCTATTCAGAATCATTCCAGTGCTGTTGCCATGGGAACCTCAGATCGTCCTGCCACCCGTCCAACTAGCAGAGCAACACAAAGCGAATGCAGCCCCCTCTGTATTTGTGTAACCTGATTAATACATGCCTGCTCTATCACGTCCTCTTCATTTTACAGCCACTGACCAATTTGGGCCGTAAATGCAGCCAGTCCACCCTCTTGCATTCTGGAGAGCACAGTATATATTAAGGCTTTGGAGGAGGGTGTTGTTTTTCTGAGGGGGAGTGGTACTGGAGCCTCAATTTAAGCCTGCCAACATGAAAGATCTCAGCAAGCTATCTGAGCTGCGTCTCTAAAGGTTTTAACAAAGCCCTTTTCTGCTATTGCAGAGATTCACTGAGGAACTCTCTAATAAGTGCTCAAGCACAGGCATTTTGAAGCTCAAGTAATTTTGGAGATCTAAAAATCCATGGCCCGAAATGGCTTCTGTTTGAAAACGTCATGCCATGTGCCCTTGTTTAACTTCTCTATGCATCAGATAGCTCTAGTTGACAGTCGTGTATTGTTTACATTGTGGATTATCAGCACAAAATCGTCTGTTGTGATGGCACTGCTGTTTTTTTTAGAGTCTAAATTTGAAAACTACAGCCACCCTCTTATTTCTGGGGACTGTTTGGGTTACTTAGATGGTGGTTAGTTTAGTGGATGATAGAGGACTAGTGAATGTTGAACAGGTTTGAATATTCTTTGGAAATCTTTGGAAAAACGACAAGCACCTGATTAGTTTATAGAGGAGACGGGTTTAAATTGTTAAACAAAACTGTAGCAGCAGCTAATAGCTGCAGGAGGAAGACGAAGGGATGGTCCGAGTCATGCTGCGGGATCTCAAGCTGTGTGCGAGATGCTCTTAGTGAATGTCTGAACGTAAGAAATGAGTTGTGGAGACTTAACGTGAGCATGTAAACAAATGATAGAGAAGCACACAGAAGTCACACTTTCACCACCAACACGCACACACGAACACTGCTGTCTGACCTAAACCAAGACTCCAGACCTGTAAATAAAAAGCAGTGCATGTTGGGAAAGATCTCTCTTGTGCCAGCATGTGTCTTTGACGTGATTTTCAATTGTTGTCTTTTATTTATTTATTAATTTATTTATTTTGATATTTGGGTATTATTTTCTATTTTTGAAAGGCTTGTGAATATATAAATATGTATTACTGATGTGTAGTGATACAGAGTACTAGCATGAGAGACTTTTTTTATACACAGATGTTTATAATTTTTGTTTTTCTAAATATGATTGTTCTTAAATGGGGATGAAGGTGAAACTAATAGCATTTTTGCTGTGTTTCTACTTAAATGGTTATGAATACTAAATAAATGGCTATAAAATAATTTTTTTTCTTTTTCATTTCATCTTTGATTCATGTAAACACCTAAACACAGACACTGATCACACAAAAATAAAATAAATCTAAATGATCATTGTTTTTTATATTGTATATATAGAAACTCTCAGCATGGTCTGTAAAAATGTCTCCAGCATTCTCAGTATTGTAATATACATCCCAACAACATAGCATTATTAGTAATAAAGTTCAACCCAGACAAATTCATGGATCAGCTATAAACATGCATAAAAATAATAAAGTTTTGGTGCTTTGAAAAAGGTGCCTGTTAGTTACAAAGGGGTCCAGGGTCACTATGGGACTGCCATCCTTCACACTTTGCGGAGAAAAGAGATCTTGAGAGACTCTGGGATTTCCAACTGCTCAGCACTGACCAGTGGGGGCGGCAGGTACGGGAAAGTAACAGGGAAGACCCTCCTAACGTCCAGCAGCAACTGAGGAGGGTGCCCATCAGAGCGTCCCTTCAGCAGCCCCTGAGAAACCCCCATACAAGTATTAAATCCCTCTCTTTTTGACTGAATAGCTATAATAAATATGAACTAAACCACTATTTTTGCATAAACGCTGGTAAAACAAACATCGTGCATTCTTACCTGAACGATACGAATAAAATTGAGCGTTACTCTCTCCTCAAGATCACTCTGTGGCGTGTACTGTGTCAAAATCTTCACTATCTGCAACACAAGACAATGTCACTGACCAACATATAACTCTCTGAGTTCATTACAGTAGCCTGTCAATATTTAAATAAGGTGCTCCACCTGCTGGCTTGACAGGACATTGCAGGTTTGTACTATGGCTTGTCCATCCACCTCTGTCTTTTTGCTCATTTGCAGAAGCTGGGCTGCCTGGATAAGGGGCTCCAGAGCGGCCGCAGCACCTCCTGTCCACAGGCCTCGGCTCCGCAGCCACTCCTCTAGCAAGCTTACATTGTATCTAAGAAAAAAATGACATGGCATGCTTTCCTCAGACCCTACAACACTTCACAACTAGGAGAGTATCTGAAACTGTCAGCAAGAATGATGGTCACATATATACTTCCCTTACAAAAAAGTCATTTTTTCAAGTGTGCTATAAGTATTATCGGCTTATACTGACAAACGTACAGAAAAGTCTTAAGTATTTTTGGCCTACGCTTGTAATTAATCTTTTGATCTAGACATACTTAAGAAAAGTGTATGTATTTTTGCCTTATATATGAAGTTAAGTATACTTGGCTTATAATTTGGGGAGGAATATCTTAGGGTAAATAGTACATTTGTGGAACAGATATTTTATGAAAATTGTAGAGAAGTATAATCTGTTTGTGGGCTGTCGGTTGCATGCCACAAATTCTAATATCAAACCTCCCTAAAGAATGTGTGTGTTTGTTGTATTTTATTTGGATCTGGAATGTCGATTCTGAGGTGCTATGTTCTTATATTTTTGCATCAAATACAATATTTGAAATTTTTGATTTGTAAAGAAAACAAATATATGTTCTTAATCCTGAGTATGTCTTGTGAATTTTTTGAAGTGTAGTCCACTGTTAGTGTTCATATTAGTTAACTTCAATTCTACTTAAAGTATTGTTAAAGGTATATTTTAAGTACAAAAATAATACCTAGATAGATACCCAGCAGTATTCTTTAGAGTGCAAAAATAATTTATGAATAGTAAACTATAAGTATTACATGTTTCATATATATTACGGGATACGCTCCAGCACACCACCGCGACCCAGAAGGATAAGCGGTTTAGATTATGTATGTATGTATGTATGTTTATATATTACGTATTTCATAAAAAAACTACAAGTATAATTGCAGTATATAAACTATTTAACTGGTAGTTTACTTTAAGGTACACATGAAAGTGTACATTCATAAACTAAAATGTGGGATATAAGTATATAACTAGTAAATGAACAGTATATCTATAAGTTCACTTTTACTGTAGTTCTAATATAGTTGTACAAAATAAAATGTAATATGTATTCTAGTTGTGTTCTCAAAGTTTACTACTCTTACACCTAAAGAACACTTAAAAGCATAGTTTTATAACTAAAAAGTGGGCCAATTTAGTATTGAAGTACTGAAATAGTACACTTACAAGTATGCCACCAGAACATTGATACTAGTATACTTACTATATAAAGTATACTTGGGAAACTTTACTTAAGTTTACTTAATGAAATTAACTTTAAGTATTCTTTTTCGTAACATCTCAGCACATTCAGTTTTAGCTCTAATATAGAGTCCTTTACAGGTTATATCTCAGACCATAAGAACAAACACTTTGCTGAAGACTGCTTTGTTCTGACCGGATCTGCAGGCCGCGGTTCCAGCAGCACATGTCCTTGCGCAGCAGCAGGCTGTTAAGAGTGCTTGCAGCCAGCAGGTGTGCGAGCTGCCTGAAGGCCTGTTCCAGCAGGGCCGCAGGCAGATCCTGCCGCTCCAGCGCAGTGTGCAGAGCCCCAAACTCCCTCAGCACAGCTGCCATGCTGGCCACCTCCCCAGAGACCGCTGGGCGCGGGTCAGAGCCTGCGCGCTTACGAGAGCCAACCAGCTTTACCACAGCTCCGGACAGGCCTGGGATGGTCTCACTCTCTAACACGGCTGGAACTGGGCAGAGGAGAGGGAGAACTAAGAGTGAGCAGCACTCCCTGACAAAAAATACAGTGGATAGATGTTGTACTATTATAATTAAAGGCAATAACTTGGCAAAAAAATTTCATTTATACAATTTTCCCTTCACCCCAAATGCAGCCGTGGCATGCAGGAGGTCCACAGTTTGTGCCTCATACCGCCTAAACTTGTTAAGTAATCTCAAATAGACTTGCTTATGTGGTTTCTGATGCTGTATCAAATACTTTTGTTTATAAAAAGGAACAAAATTACAGACAAAATTCAGGCTTCAAGGTGGCTGGTAATACCCAGCTTTGACTCTAAAATGCTGCTCGCGTGGAGCACCGAGTGTGTTGATGAGGTATAAACCCATTTTGTTTAAACCGAGGGAATTATGACATATAGTCTTTGTAACTAGAACTAGGCTGGTCAGCTAGCTAACAGGCTAAAAGATAGCTAACAGGCTAAACAACTCCTTCATTAATATCACAGGCTTGAATTAAAGTACTTACGATATGATTCACTGTAAAACGGCAATTTTAAAGTCTAAAGAATGGCACTTGAATAGTTTACACGCTTCAGATGTCTGTGTTTAAGTCAGAAGTAGCGTCAAACCCAGGCTGAATCCCAAACGGCTTCGTACTCCCTAAATAGTGTGCTAGCTATTGATGTTTAAACATCCTAGCCTCTACAGCCACGTAGTAGTACTTGTCGAGTATGGATGTGGCTGAATCCCAAATGACTATTTTTAGCTGTATAGTGCATTGTTGGGGTGCAGGATCCAGTATCTAAATTCCTACGTAGGGTACTATGTAGGGATCAGAGAGGCATTTGAGATTCAGCCCCAGTGTGAGAGGAGGGGCGCCGTTGGTTTGGTGCGGTGATAAATTTGGCGACCAAAAAGTACTTATAAGCGAAGGTTTTTGTATCAAATAGTGTTATGTTATCATATGTTCATTTTTATACGACAAATAATTAAAAATTTAACGAAATGACTGCAGTATACAGTGACGGGCGACTGAACGTTCTTCTCCTCATTCAGCGGTCCATGGTTGCTTGGCAACGATTCCATAAACTAAAGGAACTACATTTCTTGGCGGAATGCTTGTTTATGTCGATTTTTATTAGTAATAACAAATTATTTTCTGAAAAATTGTGTGTTTTGTCATATTTTATGTTGACCGCCGTTTTATAAAAACACCGCTTCGCTTCGTGCCTAAAAACGCCCTTCCCCGTGATAAAATCGCAGTAACATGACCTCTTGCGGCTTATTACTTTATTATGTCTTGATGCAGAATTAAAGCATAATTATAAATGTTGTTTCTAAGTGCATTTAAAGGGGAATTCCACCAGTTCTTTAAGGTTTCTGCATAATTTATTCATTCAGTCATGTAGAGTGGCTTGATACCTTTCCATTCTACAGAAACTTACTTAGTCAGAATTGCTTACAGCGGTGGTGATATGAACCAGACGTCCAAACCGTTTAACGCCTCTGAAAGCTCCCTCACACAAAGCTATTACATGAAATGGCTGCGAATTAACTGCTTAATGCCCAAAACATTGTTTTACAATAGTCATGAAATGAAGTTTCATGACTATGAATGGCTTTGCTTACAGCTGAACCACTCAGTTATGTTGGCATTTTGAAAAATCCCCTTTAATGGCTGGACAACACAATAAACCATTTAATGTGTAAGCATACTTCACCACACAAGCTACAGAATGACAACTGTATGTATAATCATGAGAAACAGGGAAGCTGTGATGAGAGCTGTACCGATGATGGGCTGTAGGTGGCTCTCAGAGATGGCGAGCAGCTGCTGGTAGGCCTGAATACACACGTCACCGAGCACCCGCACCTGCTCCCTCAGCTCCACCTGCAGAGGGAGCACCTCCTCACCTCCACCTACCACCTATACAGCCACAAACAAGAGAGAGCCCATGCTTAAAAGTTAAACCTCTAAAATGGCCGGGGCCCATCGGCGGGCCCAAAGTTTTATTACACACTTCTATAACCTAAGAATAGCTCAACTAGTTTGCATTGAAGTCCCTGTAGTCACTGAATAGTGAGATTTAGTATGCAATAAGCGCTGTTCCAGCTGGATTAGTGTTATGGAATCTGTTACGGAAAAAGTATATCACAGGTGTCACTGTCCACAGAGAAACTTGTATTTCCAACACAATAACTTCACAGAAGGCAAAAACCTTCTTAACTTTAAATGTAAGTTAATGTAAAGAGGATTTATTCCAAGCAATTCTGGAGCATTTCTGTTAGTACGTTCGTCATGAAATTGTAACATAATGAAAAGGACAGCTGTTCAAATTATGCAGAAAAATAAAAATAGACAAAAATGGAGGCACATTTTTCTTCGGAAAGCAACGTTGCCAAGATTATCTTAACGTTTCCAAGATTATCTCAATCATTTCCAAGATCATCTCAAATAGCCTGGGTACATGACTCAAATAACATTCTGTAATAACATCACACTGTGCATGTCTGTTAATACTTTTTGTTATTGCATTACCATGAGCTCAGTTCAAACAGGATTACTGTTACTCTGGGATTGCGAAGGTAATTCTGTCTGTAATTATTACTTGTCCACTTGAGAAAACCACAGACATTGCAGATTCACAGAGGATTAAAATCATGGATCTCGTCCATGATCATTTAATTTTAGTACCTCCCCAGCAGCTAGGACCTGTGTGGGTGAGTGCTTGGTGAGCACGTCTTTGAGCACGCAGGCGTTCTTCAGCCACAGAGCCGTCATGTCCAAATCACCACTGTGTTTCTAATGCAGAAAAAAGGAAAAACAGTCTACTGCTTACTAAATCAGCTATATGGTATCAGTTCCATTGTGTCATGAACATAACTAGGTGTAGCCAATTTCTGGAATCCTAATCCGCAATGGTCCATATAAAGGCTCTCAGAGAAGGAGTGCTCCTCTTTGTCCAAAATGGGCCTTTAGTCCTAAAATATTGATAATTTAAAAGGCAAAAATTGATCCTAGCAGGCACTAATCCAGTATGAGAGACAATCACTTCAGCATATTTACTGGGTTAATATCAGTCACACAGAAAACCATCAGAGACTGTGCTGTCAGTTTTGATAATGCTGTGCTATATTTGTGTTTTTTTTACCTTTAGGGCTGTTTTGAAGGCTGCCAATGCAGCGACGCACAGGCCTCGAGCACGAGTGTGATCCCTGCTGACGTCTGCCTGCCGCACACACAGGAAGAGAAGCTGTGCTGCCAGGCCCGGAGTCAGAGAGAGAGCTACTTCAGCTCGAACATCTGCAGAACACACAGATGAGAAGAGTTACTTTAAAAATGTGTATGGATTACTGATTAATGTACTATTTTAGACTTAAGGCTGCTGTAGTCTAATCCACAGGATTACTATGTTAGTAATGAAATCTGATTAGTTTATGTTACTTTTGGAGAACCTGTCTTTTTAAAATCATATAATTAAATAAAGACACAAGAAAAACAATGACCACGTTCTAGAACAAGATAAACAGAAGTGCACAGAAACAATACAGGTGATGTGTAACAGTCTGTACAGCTTTATGTACATCCATTTAAAATTGTCATTAAATGTTTTGGTGGAGTTCTTCAGGTATTCAAAAAAGGCATGCATAGTTTAGAACTTAGAAATGAAATATTAGAATATTGTACCCAAACAGCTTTTTAACATTCCTACTCTGTTGTGCATGGTGACCTACCCTTCAAACTGCACTCACTGGAATGACACAGATTTCCTGTCTGAGCAAACCGTTTGTACCTTTGTCTATACGATTCAGACATGGCTGTGTTACTGTTCTCAGTCTGGCTCATTTTCTGTGCTGTGTGGAAAGCTTTTCATCCTAACTTGATTTTTAATGTCTCTTTTTAATCGTCCCACAAAGATTACATGCAAAAAAACAGACCAAGCCAAAATATAATAGTTTTAATGATGGTTTTGGGTCCAGATTTAAACCCTATAGAGAATGTTTGGTCTCACATTAAACACTACGTTGGCAATGTTTTTCAGCTGTTTGAAGCCATCAGTGCCCTATTTTCTATAAAAGGCTGTCTGCAAGTTTACCCACAAGACTTAAAGAAATCAAAGAGAAAAAGCTATTCCATAACAAGTTACTTAATCTATTTGCATAATGATTTGTTGTTAAGACCATTAAAAGCATAATGTTTGCTGCAACAGCAACAAAAAAAAAGACCTTGGAAGAAAAATGAAATTTACCATAAAAAGTGATAAAAGTTGACTTTGTAAACATGCTGAGTTTTTTCTTTCATGTGAGCTTGCCACATCTTGCTGTCTCTGTTCTCTTGCAACATTGTATCGAGCCTTAATAAATCAGAACAATTTAGCTCCTAGAGACTAACACAGGCAAGAAAATAGCTAAGAGTGGTTTTAATGTAATCCTGGTAGTGATCACTCTGTTTTCATAATGTATCTGTAGTCTCATTACTGTCTTTTTTTCTGTAACTGTAACAGAATACAGTTACACTTCCTGTATCCTGATTGCGTGATGTCATTACATGTATTCCATTACTACCCAACTCTGACAGTATTCCACATGGAGCTTTAAGACAGTGGGGAAGATTAGTGACAGGTTGAGTGAGAGCTAGTGAGAGTGAGTTTGTGTATGTGTACCTGTAATCAGGTTTTTCATGAGCCTGCTCTCGTCTTTCTTCCTACATTCCAGTAGTCCAGTCAGTGCTGGACTCAACTGTGTGGAGGGAGACATGGGCTCCTGAGACACAGACACGGCCAGGCCTGAGGAGAGGACAGTGACACTGTTACATACACTCATGGCCAAAACCTTTTCCTCAAAATGTAACAGACAGCACTATGTTTATTATCATGTCTGCAGCAGTAATGTACAACTGAATAATCCTTCATTTTCTCATTTTTTTAGAGACTATCCTGCAGTTTTATTGCATCTCTAATCATATCCACCGGGTTCTCATGTTTAGTGAAGTGACAGGCGTTCTGGCTCTTTTCAGTGAGTCAGATCAATAGGCTTTTCATTCAGTAGCATCGTCAGTTTGTTCCCAAAAAAAGTTATTATCAATCATAATTAAAAAAAAAAATTATCTACCTTCTAATTAATTAACGAAAATGCATTGTTTTTCCTTTAAAAAATCAAATAAGTCAGATGTTAGTTTCACTGGATGAATAAGAGACAGAGATTATGAAATAGACAGACAGGCAAACTGCAAACAAATCTGTCAAACAGTCATGTACAAGGAAACCAGGGAAAGTCAAAAATCAGAGTAACTAACAAGACACACTTGGAAGAACGGCTAAAAATCAGCTCTCAGTGTTCACCTTAAAGAGACGATTTGTTCGCAAAGCATACATCGCTAATTCAAAGGCTCCTGAAAGCTTAATAAGCTGAATTATGTATGTTGAATTTTAAGTTTGCAAATAATTTTAAACTAATCAATGTAAGGACGGTTATCAACAATAAGCATGGACTCTTTTCCAATATATTACAGCACTGCAAACTAGGTATGAGCTGATATAAATATCATGATAATTACCTATACTATTATCAAAGTTTAGAATATTTTGATAATATTGTTTGAAAAAAACTACATAATTTACACATAAGATAAACATTCATGTTGTTTTCATGTCATTTTCATGTCATTTTAATAGTAATAATGGCGGTTGTACTTTTTGGAGATTTCTGCCTTTAAAAAAATCGTACATGATGGCTCTTTGTATAAAGGACGTAGCAGACTTCATTCATATCTGTAATGCTGTTTTTTTAATAGATGTTTAAAGGTGAGACATTTCTTTGTAGTTTCAGTGAAGTTTGTACATCTTGAGATGTACAAATACGTACAATATGAGATTTAGCTATTAGTCTTTTGCTTCTGTTGTGTTTATGTAAAATGTCTGCTCTTGCATTCTGTAGCAGTATTTTGGGTATATAACTAATGTATTCATAGAAAATGGGTGGGCTCCACCTAAACTCTGAGGGGATGATGTTACACCGTGCCAGTTCTGTTTTTTACACGCGTTGCATAGTTGTAGTAGTCGATTTTAAAAATGCTCTCAGGACGTTGGTGTGTGCAGTAAGTCTGTGAATAAATCGTACTGGTATGTTTTACCTTCATGAGATAATGCTAAAAACTGAAATTCCTACTGGTAGCTCACTCATTCATGTCTTTTATGATTTCTAACATTATATCATAATGACACTGGCTCGCCTTGAGTTTGTTTGTGTCTTAAATTAAAGGGGTAATTTCAAACAAGTTTTTCTTATTTTTTGCCTAACTTAATGATTAAGAGTTAAACAAAGTCATTCAGAGTGGTTTGAGTTGAAATGGTTCATTGCAAAGAAAATGATCACCTCTGATTTCTTTACAGTGGTGGCGTTAAGAATCAGGGGTCACAATTTTTACAACACAAATGTAGCCATTTTATTGACTATCCAAAACCACCAGTGAACCTACACTTGTCTTCTGAGTTTTTATATGAATGTTGATGATGGTAAAATAGTGATAAATCTGAAAAAAAAAAAATTCTTTGGGGACCATTTTGCCATACAACACCCTGAATCTCTACCTTAAACACAGTATTTAAAAAAAAATGCATTTTAGGCCAAAATTTCATCTCAAAGCTGTCATACAACAACGTCTCAGTGTATTCATAACCATTTTATTTAATAACTTTCTGTGAAGTAGCTTTTAGAGGCATGCTTCAGACGTCTGGTTCCTATCACCACCACTGTGAACAATTCTGAATCAGTAAGTTTCTCTAGAACGGAGCATTTCACACCAAACCACTCTGAATGAATGAATGAATGAATGAATGAATGAATGAATAAATCTGTTTACATCTCAACAATTAAACTACTTAATTTTTTTTCTTAAATCAATGGAATTACCCTTTAAGGAGGCCTAGTCCAAAAACGTTTCATACAGGCCTGGGGATGACTTGTTACATCACTGACTGAGTGTGTGTTGAATTTTTTGTAATACCTTATTACTTAATATTGGCACATGCCTACTGCAAATCAATGGAGTATTTTGGAAATACTCTTTGGCTACACTAGATGTCTTTTAACATGTTGTGTTGTGCTGGATGCTGACAAATTGTAAAATATTTTGAAACCTTAAAATGAACAACAATGCATACATTCATACTTTCGGCCTGTGGCGAATGTCTGTGCAGTACATTACAGACCTGCATAAGAGAGAATTTTTCTGAGTGTCACTGTGTGTTTCAGCTCCTTCAGTTCCCTCCTCAGCCTGCAGCACTCCTGTTCCCGAACCTCCATCTGCTCCATTAGATCCTAAACACGCAGACACATACAAACAACCATCAAAACCGAGAGAGCCGTGTATGATAGAGCCTCGCAAACAGCTTTGATGCAGAGAGAGGCACTACAAAGAGAGGCTGGAGATGAAAAGCTCTGAGTGAAGTTGTTGCTGGACAGCAGTGCATAGCAGAGTACAGGTTAAGATGAGGGTGAGGTCTCGGTCACCTTCAGCTCTTTGCTGGCCGGAGCATCTCTAGCCTGGGCCTCCTGGAGCTGCAGCATGAGAGCAGCTTTCTCCTGCTCCCCCTCAGCTCTCTGAGCTAACAGCTGCCTCTCCAGAAACCTGCAGCACAGCACAGCACACACCATCAACAAGAATACACACACATGAACACAAGCGCAACACACACTTATCAGCAAGCCCTCAATTCAGTTCATGACCAATAAAAAATACATTTGCCTTTACATTTTGCATTTTGTGCAGAACAACTGAAATAAATGGTAGGTAAAAAGGAAAGAACTGACTTGTTGGCCACTCGGACGGCATCGTAAGCGTGTCGAAGGTCTTCTCCTTGCATCTTCCCTGCTGTGTCCTTTGGCACACCCAGATCCTCCATTAAGGCATTCTGCACACAAAGGGAATATAGAGACTTATATTTCAGTTTTTTATCATTCTTTTTAACTTGCAGTTTATAAGGTAAGACTTGATCAGGCAGACTTTATTACTACAGAGGCTCTGGCTTAGGCAATTATGTCCAATCCATACTAATCAAATTATATTTAGTTGTAAAATCCATTTGAATATACACAGAGTCGCCAGTTTATTAGGTCTTTCATCTACATTCACTAGCCATTTTATCAGCTACACCTATATGCAGGTTAGGGCTGAGAGACTAACATTTTTACAGTGGAATCTTAATTTAAAAGTGCAATTTACAAATCGCAATAACTGCAATTTTTATTATAGCCTATATCATCAACACAGCACCCATGTGTTGTGTGCATAACACAACCACCACACAACTATACTGATAGTCTAGCACATTATGTTCAGAAATTACGCAAAAGGTGTATATGCTGGCCTTCATAGCCATAAAATCAAGACTGGACCTTAATGATCACAATTTAAATTGCAGTAAAGATATTTGTCACAAATAGATATTTCGCCCAAATCGTTCAGGCCTGATTCAGGTATTCAGCAACTGATCGTAGCCTATTTGTTGCTGCACAATATGACACACTACTTGCCAACAATGGAAAGGATAGACCAAAAATACCTTTCTAGCTCAAAAGTGGACAAGCTTGACCTAAAAGATTAATAATAAGCATGATTAATAGTGCAGCCTGGAGGTCTCACCAGAGGCTGCTCAGGGCTCCAAGGCCTCCTATCGAAAGGAGAGGTGACACTGATCCTCCTGCCCTCTTCAGCCGAGGAGAAGTCAGGAGGACCGCTAAAGGATGGAGAGATGGGAGATGGAGGCTCCAGAGACAAACTCTGAGTGGAGTCCGTCCGCCTGTGCCCACGCCAACGCTGCAGCACACACATGAACACATGTACACTGACCAAAAGAAACATCTGTTAAAGAAACTGACATTTTTCCCTTGTTGACAAGGGATTTTTTCAGGACAAAAACAGGTGCAAAAAAAACAAGTATCTCTCTCTCACACTCTGTCTCTCACTCTCCATCAGCAGCAGTACCTCAGCAGTAGGGAGCATACTCATGTCCCTCAAGTTGTCATATCTCTGCTCTAGACGAGTGAACTCCCTCAGCAGGCCCTGATACCTCCTCCTCTCTTCCTCGAGCTCGGCCTGTACCACTGCTGCAGCCTGTACCTCAGTCTGCTGTCTGCTCTCTAAAAGACAAACACAGTCAGAACAAATGCAAATAAAACAAATGAACACAAATAAACCAAAGCACTTGTTAAACATGGAGTACAAAAAAGGGCACAGATACCAAACTATTTATTTATTTATTCATTCATTCATTCATTCATTTACCTTCTTGAGATTTTTCTTGCTGCCATAAACGAGTGTTGAGATCATCCCTCTCCTTTTCCAAGGAGTCTCTCTCCATTCTCAGAGCCTCTATCTCCTACAGGATGGAAGTGAGCAGCAATCAGCTATTTCAGTTTACAAAATGACAAATAAAAGAATGAGGCTGAAAGGCAGACAATGTATAAGATGTGAACACAAGACCTGTGTGAGGCGCTGGATCTCCTGGGCTGCTCTTTCCTCAGCTTTCTGCCTCTCCTCCTCCTGCTGGGCTGTAACAGAGGGAGCAGCGTGGCTCTGTTCCTGCAGCTGCTTCTGCAGTTTGAGTAGGGCCGAGCGGAGCTGCTCCAGTTCAGAGCTGTGAGACTCGCGCTCCGTGTGCAGAGCTTCCCGAAGAGACGCACTCTCTTTGGCCTTGGGAGACACAGAGCCCACAATCAAAAAGAAAAACACACAGCCGTACACAATCACACTCAATTCTACTCAAGATGTTCTTCTCTTTTAAGCCCAATAGACATTCTTCACTAAACTGAATAAATGTGAGTAAATGACATGTTAATATAGTCTACTGAATAAAAGACCATGGTACACTACTGTTCAAAAGTTTGGAATCAGCATTTAAAAGGTCGGAATCAATATTTTCAGTAAGAAACCAATTTGGTTTCAGACAAATGTATAAAATGAAAAATGAATAAATATGCTTGTCTAGGGGTTGACAATATGGCAAAAATATGTACAATATCAAAAAGATATTTATTTATTTATTTACTCAGTTAACTAAATCTACATAAACTAATTATGGTCTCATTGTAAGGAAACATGCAGCTGGTTAGTGTTCTTTAAAAAAGCATATGGCGACATAACGTGACATAATTTGTCACAATTATTACACAAACATCTAATCTCAATCATTTAAGATGTTCACGATCACTTAACCTGACTGCAGTAATTTTCCACAGTCGTTAGATTTCACAGTCATATTATGCTGCAGTAAACAAAATTGGACACATAAAATCAATAAAAGAAAACAGTAAATGCGTTCAATTAGACCTCATGTGGCTTATTAGAAACTAAAAAACTTATCACTGGGTGGTCTAATACGTTTAGAGGGCAGAGATGATTTGTTTGTTCATTTGTTTTTAGCATGCATGCCAGCAGAATGAGAACATGCAGCTTTGTTAATGTTAAGCCTACACATAATTCTGTGTAACTGCAGACATTTGTGTGTGCGCACAGTATTGATTCAACAGTGCGACCAGTGTTAACAACTAAGTAAACAAAGTTAGCAGGTAAGGTGTGTTTTAATAGCAAACACAGAACAACAATTAAATCATTAATTTCATTTACTTATATGACAATCGGTTGTCACCTAAAATTTCATGATTGTGACAGCCCTAACGATAATGACAAATATTATCATGTTATGATATCACCACCCCTTATGCATATCTTATTTATCTTCACACAGTATGAAGTTAGGAAGTAGTTAAAAAAAGGGTAAGAAATTTTAGATAAGTCCTTATAAGTGGATCCCAACCCTGGAAGGTAGAGATCCTGCCTTCCTGTGAAGTCTATTTGCAACTACAACCTGACTGGCTGGACTAGATGCATTAGTTAGGCAAGGAGGGGCAGGATATTAAACGCAGGTTGGAACTAAACTCTGCAGGAAAGTAGCGCCCCAGAAAGAGGGCTGGTGATCACTGGTCTTGAATGATGAAGCAACTACAGATTAATCTAAAATGCCAGAGGAAATTATACTGCCATATATAATTATAGCACTTACCAAACAATTAATAGTCATTACTGAAGTGGTAAAATCGATAACTAAATAAGCCTGCAGTTTAAAGGCTTCACAAAGCTTATCACCCCTCTTTTAGCACTAACCGTTACACATACACACAGACACACACTCTCCTCTTTCTCACCTGCTGGTCAGCACGAAGCTGCAGCTGCATGAGTTTGACCTCCATGCCCTTGTTTAGCTCTCTGTACCTCTCTACAGATCGAGCCTCAGCCCTCAGCCTGCGCAGTTCCATCCGCGCCGCCCTCCTGCGCACACAGCACTGCAGCAGCACCACCGCAGCCCTGATGCGCCTGAACCAGCGGCGGGTCAGCCAGCAACGCACCCACGCCTGCACACGCACCGCCGCCCGCTCCTCCAGCAGCTGGACACAACCAGAGGGTTAGAGATGCAGCATCCATCAATCAGACTTACAATCACATATACACCTGCACTATATATATATATATCATATATATCAAAGTATATAGACTTTTTCAATAACATAAAAGCTTTTGCTATAAGTTGACCTTAGGGGAGAAAGAAAATAGAAAAGGATATAAGAAATTAGCTGAAGAGCAAAGGACTGTAGGGCTTCACCAGTCTGTATGTGCGGCGGGCCTGCATCCCCCTGGCAAAGGCCTGGATGGTGATGGTGGCCTCTCGGATGGCAAGATAGAGCTGCCGCACCATCACCATACGGTACGTCTTCTGAATGATCAGAGCAGCCCGCGTGTACCGCAGGGTCCACGCCAACCTAATAACATCACACATTCAAAAAGATGCTGTGTTAAAACCTAATTCAGCATAGTGTAACGTATAATGAATTCAACGTGAATGAGTTATAAAAGCAACACCAAAATATACTCACACTAACATAGCACTGTTTGTTGTTTTTACTCATTTCCTTCAGTTACTGCCTTTGTTGTTGTTGTTTTACTTTTATGTTATATTTTATGAATTATTTTCCTTCTGTTAATAAAATTAACTACACATTACACTAATGAATGATATACACAATCAAATCAAGTTATTTTAATGTATTTTCAACACACACACAAACTCTCAAACACCCTCTCACACACATAGCCGGTTACCTGCGGGCCAGTGCTCCACGGGTGTATCTTTGCAACGTTAAAGTAGACCGGCGCAGCTGCAGGTACCTCCGGCGCTGGATCCAGCCTCTCACCCAGCTCTGGATCAGCACTCCGGCCGACCACAGCCTCTCAGCCCTCAGCTTCTCCAGCACAGCCACCTGCCCCGCCCGGAAGAACACCTTCGTCTTGCCAAAGCAGTACTGCTCAGGGTCCGGGATGAGGTTAGGGATCGCCTTCTGACAGGACACCTGCAGTTCATCCTGAGCAGATGAGCCATGAAGGAGAACTCTGTAGCGTCCAAAAAACTCCTCATACGTCCACCTGGAGAAGAAGATGACTGGCATTACCTAAAGGTCAAAAGCCCTTAGATTAAAGGGCCCGTAGTCTCCATTTTTCTACTTATATATGTGCAGTTTTGTAAACCAAAAATCATCATCAGTCATTTTACATGACCATTTTCCAGCCTATTTTTATACCTAGGCTGTTTTTTGTTACTGTGCCTGTAAGACTGATATATATAAACGACCTCTTCTCCAACTGGTGAACCTTTCACAAGTTAAGTGACACACATAATGGTAACAAAAGTAATTGGAAAAATAAACTATAGCCACTTATTTGGGATCTGTGGATTTTTCGGAATTCTGCAATGATTTATTCAGGAATAGCATTCCTCCAACATTCTCCTCATCATCAGCTCCAATAATAAGCTACAGACTTATCACTTATCACTTGTGAGTGGGCAGACTAAGACTTGTGAATGGCAGACAGGCCTAATGTAAATATGTTCATGGTTGTAACATCACAACCATAATAAATTTAAAATGGGCTTTCCACATACTGTGCTTTCCATATACTGTGCTGGGGCATTAAAGGGCCATATCATGGAAAAACAAATTTCCTTCACTTTTTTTAAATAAAGAGATTGGAGTAATATGTAAACAATGTCAAATATTTAAAACATCCCATTTACTACCCAGTCCATACAGACCATGTATAGAAACTATACTGCAAGAAAACTTGGTTCTGTGATGTCAAAAGAACCAACTCATTTATATTTATCCACCTGTTCAGTCTACAGCAGTTTAGCTCCACCCATTCACATTGATGTTCTAGAGAGTGTTTCAGCTCTGAGTCCTTTTTGAATGAGGCATGGTAAAGGGTAGCCAATCAGAACAGAGCCCATTTCCATGTGTCAGTCTTAAAGGCACAATAGAAAAAAGCAGCCTGTTTAATACTGTTAAAGGCAGGTTGGAAAATGATCATATAAAAATTAATTGAGACTTTCTTTTTACTCCAAACCACACAAATGTAATAAATAGACCTTAAGAGAAAAAAATAAAATACAAGAAAAATGTAGAATACAGGCCCTTTAATTGTTTTCTCCTCGTCTTCAGCGCCGATAATTCTGTTACAGACCGACTGCAGTAAAAGCACAGTGTGCAAACTGCTGTAGGCTTAACAGGTCAGTGTGCAAACTGCTGTGGCCTTAATGGTCAGTCATATGTAAATATCGCTGTTGTCAGTTTAAAACCTTGTATCTCCACAATGGTAACTTTACAGGAGAAGGAAAAAAACCTACTGTACTTTAAATGTAGGTCAATGGAACCAGACCTTTTTCCAAGTAATTTTTCTAATTATATCAAAAACTGAAAACGTCAAAAATGGAGATACAAGGTTTTGTTCTGACAATAGCAATATGTTAATGGTTCTAACATGTACTGTATGGGCTAGAAGATTAATGTTACATGTTGAAACATTAACAATTTTACATAGTACATCACTTTTTTTATTGTAATACAAAGTTTTTAGCTTTTGTCCACATTTTAGGGAGCAGAGTTGAGAGCAGCCTCTCCCAGGTTATCTACAGTGTAATTCTATGTGAGGAGTTAGATGTGAGAGATGTTAATATTGCCTGGATGGGTAGCCTGCAGCACTGATGCGGATTGTCTCCAACACGCCACAAGCTCGCAACTGCTGCACTGCTCTCTTAGGATCAAACCTGAGAGAGAGAGCGAGAGAGAGAGAGAGAGAGAGAGAGAGAAAGAAGGGCAAGTTACATAACACATTAAACAGACTGACTCTTAATGACCAGAGACCCTCACACACACAGGAAAGGCTGTTTAAGGTCGTTGGGTTTGATGCAGCGGACGTAGTGTGGAGTGGTGCTGTTGAGCGTGCCCATCAGGAGGTGCAGGGACTGGCGGAACTGGAAGCCCACAGTCAGTTTGTGCTCACGGTGGGCTCTTTTCCCCGAGCGTACACCCCCATTAGGCACAGAGGAGACAGAGAGAGAGCCTCCAACAGGCTTCTGCTGGAACAACTCTGCAACCAGTTCTGACTAGGAGACAGAAAGTTTACTGAGCTTGCATCTGATTTTGAATCTCAGCATGTATCTCACAAAATACCAGACTGGATGGGCGAAGAAGGCAAGGAAACCACACCTGACTGGCTCTCATTATATTAATGGGCTCTTCGAATATTGTGTCACGGTTCTTATCTAAAAAGCCATCACATTCATACTGGACCTGAAACAGAGAAAGACAATGACATGCACAGATGTAGGACATTATGCACTGCTTGTCAAAACTTTGGGGGCACCATGTTTGATTTTTAATGTAAGTAAGAATTTACCAGCAAAGGTTTTGTCAATTTCAAACTGCTATTCTCTAATACTGTGTTTTCAGCTAAACGGTGAGGTTTTGTTCATTTTTAGATTTCACAGTAAGTCATAGTTTGTCCTAAACCACACTGACAAGTCTCCACAATCTTAATGATGACCTGGATGTGGTTTGAGCAGGATAGCAGGATGATTTGGAGATTTACAGAAAAAGATTTGAGTGACTATTGGTTTATAGTGTTTGTTAGCAATGACGGACTCATAGATCCAGCATTAAAGTAAAGAAGCAAAATTTTGCAAATCTGATTTTTCACGGAACTGTTCTTTTAACCATCTGTAAGTGCTGATGTTTTCTGATGTCACAACAAAGGGATAAAATGTATAGCCTTTTTTGTTCCCAAATGAGCACTGTCATAATTACTGTCACAAATAGTTATGTGTGGTATTTACATGCTTTTCACAAAAGAAACTAACAAGTATTTTAATATGTACTTTAATATGTTAAGTTACTGACAAACAAAGCATGATCATTGGTATTAAAAACATGAAGAAAAGCTAGATGTCCCCAAACTTTGGACAGTGTACTCAGCATATATAGCTGTTTTAAGTAAAATCCAGGCTTAGTGTCTGACCATGTCAGCAAAATGAAGTACGATGAAGGCTGAGTTGGACATGCGTGGCTTGCGGAAATTGGGGCTCTGGTTCAGGTGCTGCTCGTACAGTTTCCGTGCCCAGTTTTCATCAGAGCCTTTAGGAACCTGATAAAAAAAGTATAGGCCAAGCAATTTGACATCTTATTCTCGTGGTTTACATAAAAAGCAAAACCCAATATCGACAGGCAGTTATATCAGGGACCTATGTAGATTCTTTACTTAACCCAATTCCATAGATCTGCCTCATACATATGTGCTCTTGCTGAAAGATGTGTGAGGCAAAAATTAAAAAAATAAAGAAAATGCACTAACCCCCTTAAACACTTGTAACCATAATTAGCTCTTTTGTATAGATCTTCATTGAAAATAGTCTACTGTTTGTAGACTTTCTCCCTCAGATCAAATCAAGTGTTTGAAAAGATGCTAGTGGAAATGTCCCTCGTCCCTTTTTGAGAATCAGAATGCCCTTCAGGATGATGGCAGGGAATCCCCTGAGGGCAAGTGCAGAGGGGAAGTCTAGGCGTGCCTTTCTTTTTAAGAATCAGAACACAGGGCTATTGTTTAAGACAACAAACTCTAAAGTTCAGACTTGAGTGGACTTCAAATGGACTTACTCGGCACTCCTCATCCAGCAGGTCCAACAGGCCCAGAGAGCCCTCTATGAGGGTGATGCAAGGCTGGTTATCACTAAACTCAATACGGTTCCAGGGCAGCTCCTCTCGCACATACTCTTCCTGTTCCAACTGGAATACATGCTGGAGAAACAAGAACAGCTAGCAACACTGAGACAATTCAGTCTGATTTTGAGACGCGTCCGTCTTCAGTCAATCTGATACATTGCAAAGAAATAGTTTGGCTGAAAAAATACTATGAATATATACAATTTCATAGCTGAATGTTACATGCTTGGTGTACAAAGTTTACTTCTTTTGTTTTTAGATCTTATGACACACTCCTATCACCACCACTTTAAAAATCGGTAGCCAGTAGATTCAGTGGGTTTATCTAGTGCTGAGCATTTCAAACCAAAACATGTTTACATCTAAGCAACTGAATAATGCATACATTTTGGAAAATTTGGGGAACTGCGCCTTCAACAACTTGACACATTTAAGGCATATGTTTGATATATTTGAACATACAGTTTACACTATGCTAATGTAAGGTATAAGTTTAGAATTCCTTGTTACATTAGCCCCATAATTCCAGTGCAAAACATGCGAACTTTGGACACCAAACATGTCTTGGCTGATCAACTACAATAGGCCTAAGAGGAAAATAGCATCAATTAAAATTTTTGCTGAACTATCTCTGTAACTTACCCTGTTGAACTGCTGCTGAAGCTTCTCATTGGCATAATTGATGCAGAATTGCTCAAAACTGTTTCTGTCAAAGGTCTCAAATCTAGAAGATGGGAAAAAAAACTTTGTCACAACTTGATCAGCAACAAAGAGGCGTGGTTCTGGTGTAAAACTATACCATAGTTAACCAACTTTGTGTGCTCACCCGTAGATGTCCAACACTCCTATAAAGGTCTTGGACTGCTCTCTTTGGGCCCGAAGAGCTGAGTTCAGCCTCTGGACAATCCAGGCGAACAACTGCCCATAAATGTGTTTAGCCAGAGCGTCCCGTGCCTCGTTAGCCTGCTGGCCTGACATGGGCTTCACCAGCATCTCACCACCCACAGCTAACCGCTGATGACACAGCCAGTGGGCCATCTGAGAGCCCTCCACCCCCATCAGTTTAGAGAAGACCACCAAGGAGCGGTCATCTCCCTGCCAATATGCATAACATGCACACATAGTAGAGAATACCTGTGTGTTGTGCTACTATGTTTGCAAATTGTCACTGACTACTGGTGACAGTGTTCATTCACATGGAAGAATGTCATCTTTGTTCCTTTAAGGAGACCTCTGAGTTTTCTCTTACCCCAAATGCAATCAGCCAAGTGTCCGAAGTTTGGTTCTGTAGTTTTGTACACCACAGAACAAATGAAAACCACAACAAACGAGGGAAATCCCAACAAGACAATGCAAGATCCCACACAGTTCAATAAGTGAAATTTAGGCATGACCTAAAAACTAGATACTAGAAAACTGAAACTAAGGGTCTTGTGGGGCTATGTTGGGAAGTGTGTGGAGATGAAAAGTCTAACCACTGTAGATGGTTTATAGACAGAAAGTGAGGGAAGCAGTGAGGGAAGCAGTTCCTTTACATTATAAAAAAATGGAAAATATGACAGAGCAATGTGAAGTTGTTTTCAAGACTAGACTAAGCTGATAAACACTAGAATGTCAAAAATAACGGCTTAAAGATTGTTGATAATGAACACTGACACACCAAAAAATGAAGGCAGAAGAGTGAACACACTCTAAAATATTAAAGTGTTATTCATTTAAATCAATTTGTTAAAATGATTTATATGAACTGTTTTTTAGACCTGCTGTCTATAGACCATAGATAGTGGTTGGATTTTTCTTCTCCACACATTTCCCAGCATAGCCCCACAAGATCTCAAGGGGTTTTAAATTGTGTCTGAACTTCATTTAATAAACTGCATGGAATCTAGAAATGTCAGTCCATCACAGAGCAGAAACACAGATATATACAGTCACACTCACACATTCACACCCAGGGGCAATTTAGCATCTCCAACTGGCCTGACTGCATGTCTTTGGACTGTGGGAGGAAACAGGAAAACCCAGAGGAAACTAACACAGACACGGAGAGAGCATGCAAACTCCACACAGAAAGGACGCCCACCCCTATGAACATCTAATGGGACTCAAATGTATATGGTATCAGTGGTTAAGAATATGCTGCCTGATGCCTGAGACAGGCTTTTTAGTTTCAATAGTTTTGAGATTAGCTTTTGGCCTAAAACATTTTTAATGCATTTATCACAGAAAGGTACCTGCAGGGCATTGTAAGGGAAAATAGTCCCCACAGAAATCATATTTGTTCAGCTTTATTACTATTTCACCATAATCAGCATTACATATAAAAACTCAGAAGATATGTGTAGGTACACTAGTGATTTTGCATAGTAAATAAAATGCCCATAATTGCTTTGAAGACATTGTGACGGCTGGTTCATATCACCACCACTATAAGTGAAATCGATATGTTTCTCTCCAATGAACCATTTCACATCTAACCACTCCATATGACTTTGATTTTGTTTACATTTCAAAAAGAATGTAAACTGTATGGCACACAGGCACATGAGCAATTCAGCCAGTGCATTTGGTGTAAGGAGAAAATTGGGTAAATGTGTTTTTTTTTCCCTCTAATTATCACTCTAGAGGGCCATAATTTAACTGCCATAACATGGTAATGTTGAGGCCTACACTCTTAAAAAAGAGGGAATGGTTCCATTTAGGACCAAGAGTTCCATATAGAACTATTTCATGCTTTAACACTTATTTCATGCTTCTATACAGCACAATAGAGTTCTTCTATTGTTACTTCTACTGTTACTTCCTTAAGATTATAACAGTAGAAGAACTCTTTTTGATGCACTATAGAACCATTTTCAAAAATCTACAACTCATTCTCCATCAACCTGATTAAACACTTCACTGTGCAAAAAAAGTTTAAGCATGAAATGGTTCTATATAGAACTCATGGTTCTAAATAAAACCATTCCCTTTACTAAAGAACTCTTGAAGAGTCATTATTTTAAGAGCTTATGCAAGCAGCATTGTTTCAGCCATATGATTATAACTGGTTACATTGTGGATGCATGTTGTATTGGCCATACATTGATGTAGCTGCGGTCACCTCCTCTCCCACTGGCTTGGATGTTCACATTTCCAAGATGCAGGACAGCTGCCAGTATCCGAAAGAGCTCCATCTGCTGGTCAGGCTGAACTCCTGCAGGACAGAATCAGAACATTTCACATCACAGGTACCATACATGGAATGAGCTTGTATCAGTTTAGTGTGTATAAAGAGGTCACTTACCCAAAATAGTCAATGCATTTCGAGTGTGCTCCAGCTCCATGGCATCATCCGTGCCTGGAATGTTTATGTCCATTCCTTGGTTAGTGTATCGAAAATCCTCTGCAGAATCTAGAAACAAAAGCATTGATTGATCAAAAGGTCTTATAGCAAACACATGGAATCAAACTCTTGTATTTTCGCTGAAAGAGGCCTTTAGCTTACTAAGTTTGAGTCCCCTCATTTCTGGTAGATCTCTGGAGGCACAAAGCTGATAGAAGACGTGATAGTTTCTCTCCTCTGGTGCCTAAGAAAGCCATTATTTAGTCACTTTGAACAATATATTGTTATGAACAACTGAGCAGATATCAACAATAGATGTAATAATTTGGCACCTGAAAAACAACTCTGGATTTCTCCAACAGGTAGGTTCTCATGTTTGCTCCAATTATATCTCCTTTAGATCCAAAGCCAATCTCAATGTATTTCCCAAACCTGCTGCTGTTATCATTGCGAATAGTTTTGGCATTTCCAATAGACTGCAATACAGAAAATATATTGATACCATATGCATTTGAGTCCCATTGTATTGTATCTTTGTAATGAAACAGAAAAGGGGCCATTACCTCCATGATAGGGTTAGATGCCAAGACCTTCTCCTCCACACTGGTCTGCTGGGCTGCTCCTCCAACCACAGCAAAATAGCGCATAGTGAACTTTGCAGAGACGGTTTTGCCAGAGCCAGATTCGCCACTGATGATAATGGATTGGTTCTTCTCCTCCCTGTGTGTGGAAGTACAACCATTTGCATTCAGTATGTGATTATTGTTGTTACATTTCCTTAGCTGTACACCAACCGGCCACTTTATTAAGTACTCCTACCTTGTATCTACAGTCTTTGTCCATTTTTCACTTTTTGTCCATTTCTACTTCTAGTTCTACAGTTACATACTGTATTCTCTCTGTTTCTCTGTGCAATTTATTAGCCCCCTTTCACCCTGTTCTTCAATTGTCAGGCCCCCCAAAGGACAACAGGTATTATTTGGGTGGTGGATCATTCTCAGCACTGCAGTGACACTGACGTGGTGGTGACGTGTTAGTGTGTGTTGACCAGACACCAGTGCTGATGTTTTTAAACACTGTGTTCACTCACTGTTTTGGTGCACAGTTTGTGTTGGTTATCCTCTCGTCCCTCATCAGTGGTCACACCACGCTGCTGGCTGGATGTTTTTGTCCAGCAGTGACACTGAGGTTTTTATAAACTCCAGTGTCTGATCCTCTCGTACCAGCACAACACACACTAACACACTAAACACCATGTCAGTGTCACTTCAGTGCTGAGAATGATCCACCACCCAAACAATACCTGCTCTGTGGTGGTCCTGTGGGGGTCCTAACTATTGAAGAATAGAATAAAAGGCAGCTATAAAAATATGCAGAGAAACAGATGAGCTACAGTCTGTAATTGTAGAAATATAAATTGCACCTGTATGTAAAGTGGAGCTGATAAAATGGACAATGAATATAGAAAAAAGGTGGAGTACTTAATGAAGTGGCCAGTTGGTGTATATATGATGTCTTAATATGACATTTTAAAGAAATCTGTGAAAGCGTTCCTAAGGTCATGGTGAGTGTCCTGGGGTTACCAAAGGGGGACAACGAGGAGTGAATTTTAAATAGGAAAGTACATATCCCTGACTAGGCTAACCTCAGTGAGCTAATTAGCTAATTAGTTAAGGGTGTCAATGATCCCACTGTTAGCATGAATGCTAACTATGTTAATGTTTTGTAATATTCATAACATTTAAGTTTAAATAAGGTGTAAAAAGACAATACATTCTCATTCTTGTTCACTGAAATGTACAACTAGGCTGTGTCTCAATTAAAAATGTATTTTGAGCATGTGCAAAACCCAGTTTCAGATATTATTTACTGAACATCCAGTGTCAGACTGTTTGTAAATGTGTGGTTTGTATGTATGTAGGTAAGGATAGGGGCCATGGAAACATGGAGCCTTGTTTCCTTGAAATTTCAATAAGCAAATAAAGAGCCCTGGGAACATGTAAGTGTAGGAGCACAAGCCTATATTTTCCATTACCTAGGGATCATCCTTATGTCACATTCTTGCCTCAGACTGTGTAAAGTTTTAAATATAGGTAAAAAAAGATCAAAAGTACACTGCTTAGCTAAATGCAGTAGCAGCAGCCATCTTGAAATCTGCCTATTTTGTCCACACTTTTATCCATTTGTATCAACAACGGTGTTTTGTACAAACACCAAACGTGTCTTGGCTGATCAACTACAGTTGGTGTAAGGGGAAAATTGTGTAAATATGATTTTTGGTCAAACTGTCACTTTAAAAGTCTCCTTGGGCAAGATAACCCACAGGTCCAGACAGAGTAGCAGTGAGTGGTCTTATAAATCCTGCTGGTAACCACTTACATTTCCTATTTCTGTTTATTGTCACACCTTTTATTGACAATAACCAATTCAATTGAAAGGGTGCATGTTAACCCATTATGCATTCAGGTGGGTTACCAAGATTTGTGATTCCTAAATAAAGCCAATAAAGGAAGGCCCACAGTGTAGGCTGTGTGAAAGTGAGCGTGGCTACAGACTATTGATCACCTCGGACCTGATCATGGTGCGGTATGCATCCTCAGCTAGTGAAAAAATATGAGGATCCATATCAGCCATGTCCTGCCCACTGTACGCATCAATCACCTCCTCTCCATAGATGGGCAGCTCCTCATATGGGTTTAGAGCCACTAGAACAATCCCTAAAAGAGACACAGTTGGAAGGACATAAAAGACTCTACGTTACAGCTTGAACTGAATTCTATTACAACCAATTTACAACTGGAGAAACCAGCTGCGGGCAGGCCGACTGGCTAATGTTTACAAAGAAGTTTTAAGAGGATCAACAAAACAGGGAGTAATTTTGTGTGAATTATGCCACTGTGAACTTTATCCCCCATAAAAAAAAAGAAAAGAAAAAAATCTCTTGGAGTGTATATCACTAACTGTAAAATACAGATCCCACATGAGGACAAGGTGGGGATTTTTATAATGAGCCACTGTAATTTTTTAGGTCGAGGTCTGGAACACTTTCTTTGTATTTAAAGTCCCAGGGAACACAGTGTAAAACATAAAAAATATTTCTAGGGTACTAAAACTGAGTGTCATATTAAACATACAGCAAAGTTTGAATGAAAAAAAAAAACAAGATAGAAATATGATAAAACCTTGCCTGTAAACTGCTGATCAGACCTATCTGAGATCTGTCTGGGTGTGGTCCTTACATTATAATGAGAACACATGATTGACATCATGCTGAACTAAACACAGCAGTGTGAGTGATAAGAAATTAGTGAAATGTGCTCAACGCCAGACACCAGGCAGACAGATGAGCTAGCTTGATAGCCCATTTATGCTTGGACAGTTAGCTTTTGCTTGCTGTTAGTTTTCGCTCACAAAGTTTTTCCGACTCAAACAGAGGGCCTGAGAGAGGTGTTGGGGATTGAATAGTTTTATGAAAAGTACTTTGTGAGAGGTAAATTACTGAGTACAAGCCCATTCTGGGCTTTGTTTCTTTCTTTGCACATTATCTTTATTTGTTCATATTTATAAATGCTTATTTATAAATAGAAGTTTATAAATGTTTTATTCCAATAAGCATAATCTGTCATAAAGGCTACTTTAGCTACCTTTGATCAAAATCGGCAAAAGTACCCTTTATATCTAATGGAACCTATTAGAATAAGCATTTTTAAACATTTATGTAAAGTTACGTCAGTTGTTATGACAAGCTTATGTAGGTGTCATGTAGCTATATGAACAGTACTCCACAGTAAAATGTTGCCAAACATACTTCACGTTTAATGCAAGTCAGTGGAACCAGACTTTTTTCCAAGTACTTTTGGGCCATATCTTCTGGTCCATTCATCATGAAATGTACAAACAATGTAAAGAGCAACAGGCATTTTCAATTTATGTGAGAAAATGAAAAATGACAATGCTGGTATGCCGGTCAACCATAAACCTGCATAAACCAAGCATAAACCAAGCATAAACCAGACTAGACCAGCATGGAATTAAGTTATTTTATCTAGTCACCTGTTTTTAAAAAATCCCACCGTGTCCTCCTGCAGGCTCTGTAGTAAATAAAGTAGCTGTGTGTAAATAAGTTGCATGTAGTATGTTTTAGCATCACCAACCACAGTAGGTGTAGATGCTGTTGTAGTGGAGGAAGCGCACACGGAGGTTGTGGAGCACTGCAGGTTCATGGAGAAAACTGAGGGCCGTCAAGTCATTTTCTCCTTCCAGAATGTCGGGGTTCCCCAGAGGAGGGAGACCAACAGGGGGCGCCACTGGGTACTGCACCTTCTTAGGAGCAAGAGATAAGGTTCGTTCAGAAATTCTGCGCCTGTGATAGAGGACACTAAGAAATTCATGTTTATTCTGGTTTCAGTGGGTGCTTATTAGTGTATTCTTTCTAAATGTGCAAAAGGATATAATGCAAATGTGCTAATTAAATAAAAAGCTGATTTTTGTGGGAAACTGAGTGAAAGAATGGCCTATGGCGTGTTTTAAATTACTATGAAACACACTGTTTCATATGATCCAATGGCAGATAATACCTGAATCCATTCTTCTGAGGTTTGTGATTGTTAGCCAAATATTAAAGGAATGCCAAGAATCATTTGTGGAAGGAGATTAATGCATTTATCAGCCATTTATCAGCTACATTCTGAAATTTGCTTGATCTCTGTAGAGAAATATAGCCTCTTGAAGGTCATGGAAGCCAAGTAACTTTGGAAGAAATACATTCCAAAACAATCCTACACACAGTTCTTGTTAACGTTTTTGTTTGTGATAATGTTCTAAACGACTGATGTATCTGTGCATCTCACTCTGCCATCACTGAGCAGCAGTAGGAGTTGCTGGTCTCCAGGCCTGTAGTTCTGCTGTAACTGTGCACACACCCACACTTCTTCAGGATCAGGCACCCACACATTCGCTCCCTTAAGAGAGAGCAGTTCACATGTTCACACTGACAGTATATCACCAGTGATAGCCCACATTACATTTTTAAACTCATCATTAAGAGAATTAATTTATAGCCCACTTCACTTGTTGTATAACAGGACATGCAAATTCCAAAACTGTTATGCTTCTAAAGGGAACAGGAGCCATCTTTAATGCAGGACAGGTCTACTTAAATGTTCAGTTAACCTCACATCTATTATGTTACTTGGGATTAACATTAGAATTAATATCAATACAGAATAACTAATAGTGTTAAGATTTTGCCTTTTATTTAATCTGAAATGGCCTTTAACTACAAGTTACTCATTTTTAAGCAGAAAGCATATATTTAACAGAAACTTACACAAAAGCCTCAACAACTAATGAAAGCTGCCTTTATTACAGCTTCCGTTCTTTTCAGGAGACCTGCTTTCGGATTTCAAGACATCTGCAGGGATATTTCTCCACACCTCCAAAGTTCAGTCAGAGAAGTTGTTTGCCGCAGGTGTTCATTCGGTGAACACCTGCAGCTTCTTTGTTTGATCTGAAAATGCTTGTTTTTTGTCTATTTCCTTTTTTCAGTAAGGGTTGTTAACAGCTACACATCTTTCAGACTCAAAGCACTGAGTTGTGTTCTCACAGTGGAAGGATGAACAGAAACACCTGTGGATTTTTTCAGATCTGAAGCAAGAGTGCAGATTGATTTTCTTCTCTCTCCCAAAGTTAAAAGCTTCAAGTAGTTTATCAGGTTTTGCACAGCTGTTAGGAGTCCCATTTTCTCTGTAGCTTTTAATAATTTTTTTGATAAACTCGTTTCTCCCCTTATGTTCCTTTGCAATTCCCCTTCCTTATGCAGTTGGATTATCTTATACCTGATCTCCTCAGAAATATGTCCAGAAAAATGAGTAATTAATAACCTGTACTTGCCATTTTAACTACTAATTAAATATGTGATGGGTGTTTTCAGAGTTTTGCACAGTACTATATCTACAGGAGCAGTCTTGAGAGGTAGAACTACTTATCTTGGCAGTGTGTTTGTTTAACTGGACAAAAATACCATCAGAATAAACACAAATAAACAATACACTGTGATTTGTTCTGCATGTCAGTGTATTAGCTTAACCATTTCTAAAGATCTCCTCATTGATGTGCAGTATTTGCAGTCATCTAATCAATCTGTCATTAAATTAAATCAGATGTGCTGCTGGTGGATTTCAACAAATCTATAAAATGGAAAAGTCAGAAGCTAAAGCTGTGTTCTTATAACTAACATATTAATATTTACAGAAAAAAAAAAAAGCTTTTTACACTTCACTGCGTTTTACACAGTACTGCATATATACTCTGTTCTCCATTACAGAAGCTTGACTTTCACTGACAGAATAGCCACTATCTGTGTAAGAGAAACTGCCCCATTTTTGAATCCAACACAAAAAGCTGAGCTTCCTGTAAGTGTCCAGGCCAATGACAGCATTTCTCCAGCATCAGCATAATACAGCCTCATGTGCATTAAACATTAACACCAGTCATTCATTCCCCTGTGATGTTCTCACTCTTCATCAGCCTGGAACATTCATTTAAAGCACCGGAATGAGTTTTATTTTGAACTTCTTTCCCTTAAACAACAAATTCTATTGCCAGGATTCTTAATAAAAGTCCTCTAGAAAATTAAATAAAAACCGTTACCAGTAAAACCTTTTCTGTGTTATATTTGATGTCTCCTAATGCAAAACTTATTTCCATTCTTACCTTGGTGTAGAGCTCAGGAGTTGCCATATTTTCCAGGCCACTTTGGTAAACTAGACTCTTGAGGCTTAAGGTTTGGGAGAAATGATGAGAGATTCAAAATAATAGCAACACAAGCAGAGGCTCCTCTCTTCCTCTGTGTCTCTCTCACCGGCCCTGCGCCCTTTGCTCTGGCACAGAGGAGAGACATCATAACCATAATGGCAAGTTAACGGTTAATCTTCACGTGGACGCTGGGAGGGCCATTTAGGTTTAATCACTGCTTATGAACAAGCATCAGTATGAGAGTTATCTTTGAAAGGATTTTTAACAGATACTGAAAATACATTGTGTTCTGATGTAGATGGGGTTGGTTGGCATGTCAGCCAATTTTAATAGACATATTTTATATTATACTCTGCATACATTCTGAATAGTACATACCAAATATCACAACGAGAATGCAGTACATAACTATAACACTGCTCAAATTTACATTAAATGTGTAAGAACCTATTCCTACTGCTAAGCTTTAGGCCTTTTGATAAGTGAGTCTACCTCAAGATGAAGATAACATAACCCTTGATTCTATTTATCTACTAAATAGACATTTTTATTTGAATTGTGTTTTATTTATATTTATGTTTATAAAACTAAAACAGTCCTTTATTGACTAAATAGAAAACCATTGTTTGTAATGAATTAGGAAGTTTTAATGCAGGTAAATGAAAAAAAAAAAACTTATTAGATAAAGTGGCCCAATTTGTTTTTCTTATTTTTCAGTTCATACCAGGAATAAAATACATGAAACATTCCTATTGTTTGAGTAAAAACATCATTTGGTTGCAACTGAACGTTTATATTTTGTTGATGTATTCTTTGAAACTTTTTTAAAGCTTTTTAACATTGTGCAAATCAACCCCGTTGGGGCTAGTTGGCAAAAGGGCTCATTAATATAGCCATAAATGCACCAGGACATATTTTCTGACCTTTTTTGGTAAAGATGTGTTATTTGCTGCTAGTCATCCTAACATACGGTTTGCTTGGGATATAAGGCTGAGAACAAAAACTGTGTGAACTACATGTGCTCATATTCTTACAAAATGAGCTGTATTTGTCTGTTTATTCTGTTTATTTGTTCGTTATGTTTATGGGCACTTTAACAAGGTTGCCACAGTACATCAAATTCTTATTTTCCATGGTACAGGCCTTTTAAATTCTTTAAAGAGGCTCTATAAAATGTGATCAAATGGTTGGAATCACTGACAAAGTGGCCAATAAAAGAGACATTCACACACGGAACATACAGAAACGCTTTACTCTGTAAAATGGCAAAGTAAACTGCAAGATGGTTAAACCCTGGAACTATCATCCCTTCAGAAAAAAAAAAATAAACATGTAGTTTCAACCTGGTAATGTGCGTTCATTCAAAAAAACTTCCAGACATAGTATAAGTCTCCATTCACATTTTGATACTGAATTCAGATGTGCTCAGATTGTTCTGTGGTGAATTTTTGATTCAGAAATGAAAGTGTGAACATAATATAAAATAAAACTTGAAGAGCATATAAAAGAACATCAGTAATTACAATAAGCACCATGGACTGATGAAATACGAAATAAAAATGCATGGCAAGAGTTGTTCATCTCTAAACCATTGTGCCCAAGATAACCATTTATGAACTTATCAATGTCTATACACCAAAGTAAACATAAAATCTACAAACACCTTTGTGGCAGTTTAGAATAAAACATGTCAATCGAACCTGGAGCTCAGAACTTCCTTCTTTTAAAATGTAGAAAGCTAAACGATTTCCAGCAGCTACCAAATCAAACTGTTCTTACACTGAATTTGTAGAAACTTGAAAGGGCAAAAGCGATGCCAGTGGGTTTAATGGAAATTAAAATTGCTAAGAGACTGTTAAAACTGTCCCTAGTTCAAACTGTTTAAAAGAGTTGGTTTGTCCAAACTGCTAGGAATTTGCAATCATGAGGTCCTACTATCCTAAACTGCTCAAAATTAGGGATCAAAATTCAACTATTTTAACGAGGCTACGTCTAACCAGCCTCCAAAACTCAACATGTCTTTCACATGACTCCTTCCGCAGTGCTCTATATTGCACAATACTGACTGCATCATTTTGTCGTCTCTGTATCATGACCACAGACGACTGTATTGTTAAAGGACTAGTTCTTTCTCACCTACATCATCCTAAGATATCACCACACCTACTTTGATTGGAGGATTTAGTGATTGTCACATCACTCCATAGACACATCGTAGCGCCACTTTCAACTCTGGGATCTGCAAATGTTTTGTTCTTATAGACAGTAAAAACACATTTTGAAAAAAAAAAAAAAGTTACGTCTGAAAACCCAACTGACAGTCCTGGAGAGAAATCCCAACCAGTGGGCTTAAATCAGAGTCCCACAGAGCAGGACTAGAGCATCTTGGTAAAGGTGTTGAGCTGATCTGCTGGAGTGGGGAGTTGTGGTCCTGGTTGATAAACCTGTATGTAGGTAGTTTAAAAACACCTGATCGCCCTGAAAGAGAGACAAGATGGAAGGGTAATTAAAGAATCATCACACTCTATTTTGGCTTACAGTCGGTTAAAGGTCTGCATCTCATTCTTGGTTTTATCATATTTAATACTGTCTTATTCTAATGTAATTATTCTTATCCATTCATTCTATCCTCTGTCTGCTCTCTCATGTTCTTTTGAGTGAGCTTCACACTTAAAACTCCAAAACTTTCAAATAGCAATGAAGAGAAACAATATTGTACAACAATAATAGAAAACTTAAGCGCAAATGTTCAAATGTAACTCTTTTTGCTTAGGTCTATCCATATATTACAGAGGTCTGCTATCTGCTGGTGGGGCCCAACAAAATATTAGGTTTCGGGCGGGTTCAGGATGACTTTTCACATACAGTTGGGGTTTGGTTTGTAGTAGATCTGTTTTTATTTGAAAGAATACGCCAAGCAAATTTGGGTTTGAAATTTAGCAGCACCAGTTGGGCCTGCTCAGTTGGGTCTGGATTAGAGAACTAATATGCACACTCACCTTTGTTATACATCATCTTTGTCTTCATGACAGTTCCCCTCTTCCTTAAGTGCCTCTCCACCACTGGATGCCTCTTCTATGTGAGCTAACATATCAGCCATCAGAGCCTCCTCCAGTCGCTTCCTCACGTTGTACACCAGCTCCTCTTGTTTCCTGAACCAGCCAAGCAGAATAAAACTCACAGTTCAGTACAAGCAGTGAATGTTTTTCTGAGCCTAAACTACAGGGGCCCATAAAATGCAGGATAAAATGCTTCTGGTTAAAAAAAACTGGCCAAAAAAATCAGCTACCGGCCAATTTGGCTGCAAAGAACATGGAATCGAAAAATGCCATAAAAATGCATGATTAGTGTATCCCTATTTAACATGAGACACAATAAAAAATAAACCCAATTTCAAAAAAGTTGGGACAGTATGTGAAATGCCAATAAAATTAGAAAGGATATGTTGCTCTGAAATGTGTATATATCTTTCAGTGTTAATGGTACCTTCATAGTGCAAGTTGCCCATGCCATGGCCACTAATTCAACCCATACAAGGACACACCCTAACCCTGGAACTTGTATGCTGGTAAACAATCAGGATGGGCCTTAACCTTTTTTCACCCAGAGATAACAACATCCATTATTTCCTTGAACAATCTGAAAGGTTGAATTGTCACACTGCAACACACATATCCACTAAGTATCAGTTCTGGACGTTGTTGACATATGACTTACACTGTGCACAGTACAGTCTTAACTTGAATTTGTGAATGCAGAAACAAACAGTGTTTACTGACTACAGTCTGTCAAAGTATTTCTGAGCCCATGAGGTAACATCCATCACAGAAACATGCCCGTTTTTAATGCAGTGCCGTCTGAAGTGTAGAAGATCACACGCATTCACTTGTTTTTGGCCTTGCTTTTTATGCACAGAGATTGTTCCAGATTCCCTGAATCTTTTGATAATTACATGCACTAGGGAATCTTGTAATCACTTGTTGAGGTACACTGGACCTTTCTCACCCACTGTTCTTAGAAATAACTTTCTTCTCAACAACCCACTTGCGTAGTTTTCATGAAGATTCTGACATTCACTATTGTTTTCTTATCTGGGGCTTGTTCTTAGTTAAGAACAGAATCTACACATACTCAAGAGCACAAAGGTGTGAACAATTCTGTGGTTTAAGAACACGTGAATCGGACGTAGATGTTTCTTAGGACCTTTCTCAAGAACAAATTTAGGAAAGAACTTCGAAAGATATTGGTGAATAAGGCCTATTGTCCTTCAACCGTTGCATTGTTTGACAACGCATTTTTGCAAAGTGGCAAGCCTTGACGCATCCTTGCTCATCCTGGATGTTTCCTTTTGTACCCAAGCATGATTGCATCACCTGTTTACCATGTTTTTTTGAACATTTCACAACGGTCTCAACATACCAAAAAAAAAAAAAATTGATGAAATAAAACATTAAACATCTTGTCTTTGTACTGCTTTTGTTTAAATACAGGTTTCATTTTAAGTACAGGTTATAATTCATTTTTATTCCAAACTACACGTCTTATTTGATTACCCAATCGGGTAAACAAATACTAAAATGATTTCAGATACCGTATAACTGAACACCAAATCCTTATTGCCTAAAGCATTTTGTTACTTGCAAGTTGTGCAAGTTCAATTATTTACAGTTCAAATACAGTATGGCACATACCTGATGTCCTCATCAGTGACGATGAAAGCCTTGCAGAGGGGCTGGGCCGTGTTGAGCCACACACCGGGGTTCTTCTCCACAGCTGCAGACAGCTGGCCTGTGATAGGGGCAGCACTAGTGTGCAGAGCACTAGCTATCGCAGATAAAAGAGTCTTATCCGTGCATCCAGGGCCAACTCCTACGGGAAGACAGCCAGTCACACTAGCTTTAGAGTTTTATGTTCATGGTTTAATAACAAATGTTAAACTAGCACTGTAACTTTATGATTCTAAATCCAATGTACCCCGCAGAGGATAAAAAGAAACCTATAAGCAGTTTAAATGTAAAAGCCCTGAAGCGGCCATACCCTGCAAACCTTTTGGGAGCTCCATGGTTTTCACCAGCTCTTCAGCAATGTCATAAGCATTAAGTCCACTCAGCTTCTTCTC